TTTAAAAATGTACATGTTGATCTGGGGAGGGGGAGGGAAATGGGAGGCGGCGGCGGGGAGGAGGCAGAAATCTTTAATAAATAAATAAATAAAATGTACATGTTGCATGTGTGCAGGTGCTGGAAAATGGCAGGACAGTGTGTCATGTTGAATTCTCTGGACCTGTAGTTACAAGCGGTAATGAGCCACCTTATGTGGTTACTGAAAGCCGAACACTGGTCCTCTAAAAGATCAGCAAGTGTTCTTAATTGCTAAGTCAGCTCTCAAGTCCCAGCTTGCTTATTGCTTGATGGATTTAAGCTGAGTAGTATATTACAAGAGAAGAATACTACTTGAGAAGGGGGTTGAGAAGAGTAATATATTTCGTAGATTTTCCCTTGGATTATTAATGTGATGATATTAGTATATGTAATTATGTTGATTAAGATGATATTAATTAATTTTAGATACTTATAGTTGTACTGAGAAGAAACATCAAATTTCCTTGAATAATTTGATATGAAAAGTCCCCATAAAATAAGAATGTTAAAAACCTGTATACTTTACAACCAACATCCTGGTTCTTTACAACAAATTTCATAAAATTAAAAAAATAAAACAATAGCTCTCTCTCTTTCTTACTCTCGCTCACACACACATACTCTCTCTGTGTCTCAAGTTTAAGAACACTAAAGTAATAGTACACAATGTAGAATTCTAAGTAGATCTACAGTGATAAAGAAAAGATACTGTAAATTTCACTACTGGAATAATTTTATTTACTATGCTCTTGAAATTAGAGAATATTATATTACTCTAAATTTGGGGTATGATAATGCTATGGCCTTAAATCTTAGAAAATAATATTTGACTGTATTTAAGAACAATATGCTCTGGTAGACAAAATTTATTTTAAAATGGTTCAGAAGATAGATGTGGTGTGCTTATTCACTCACGTATGCCCATGTTTCTGTGTGCATGTGTATACATGCTTGGTGCTGCAACCTGGGATTTTCTGCTGACGATCCTTTTGTATTAGTGATGCTCTGTAGCCTTTGCCACATCAGTGTTCTTTGGCATGCGTTCTTATTTGTGACATCCTCATTCTATGTTTTTCTTTTGTCCACCTCATCTTGTTTAAATTACTTGAGATGAATTTGGTTTTATGAATCTTATTTTCGTTCCATACAGTGAGGAAAACTAACATTGAAATAACATAGGCAGCATAAATACATGCTACTCTTTATCCCCAGTAGAACTGTAAAGAAAATAAGGGAATATTTGTATAATTTCATCACCTGCAAAGGAACAGGTTTAAATATTTGATTTACATGGCTTTACTTAGCAAAAATGGATACTGGGATGCGGGGTTAATATTCAGGCTCTAAACCATGAAGTACATCATCAATAAATAAGATTCCCTAAATAAACTGTTCAGAGCTTATTGGAAATACTTAAGAATTGGAGAATTGTCTTGGACAGTTTGTGAAATGTTCCTTTTGAGGCCGTTCTGAGAGTATCACACTGTGTGGTTGTTCTAGAGCACATAGAACAGGCTGTAATGGCAAAAGTAAGAACTTGATCTTGTGAATTTCAGTTCTCAGACTGTTATTTCATTCTGATGCCTTATGACCAGGTAGTCTGTTGGCTGGGGTGCAGCTCGTTGGCAGAGCGCCTGCCTGGTTCAGTCTCCAGCACTGTATAAACCACATATGGTGGGGCACACCTGCAGTCCCACCCAGGGGGTAGAAGGCAGAGGCAGATTGATGGGGTCAAAGTTTGAGGCCAGCCTAGACTCTATGAAACCCTATCTATAAAACCCAAAACCCAAAGCCTTTGTACAATGTGTGTCAGATGTTAGGAATACAAATAACCCCTTCAAAACACCCTACAAAACATGGGCCAATGAGAGGGCTCAGTGGGCAGAAGTGATTGCCGCTAAGCCTGATGACCTGAGTTCCACCGCTAGGACCCACATGGTAGAAGGAGAGATTTGAATTGACTTCTGCATGTGTCTTCTGACCACCACATGCATGCTGTCACACGCCCTCCTCCCAAAGAAATAAGGTTTAGGTTTTTTTAAATTTATTTATTTATTAAAGATTTCTGCCTCCTCCCCGCCCCCGCCTCCCATTTCCCTCCCCCTCCCCCGATCAAATCCCCCTCCCTCATCAGCCCGAAGAGCAATCAGGGTTCCCTGACCTGTGGGAAGTTAGGTTTTTAAAATATTGAATATGAGGCAAGGGAGGTGACTCAGTGGGTGAAGTGTTTGCTGTGCCAGCATGGGTGTGAATATCTAGGTCTCTGGTACCACATAAAATCCTGGCGTGATGGCCACTGTAATCCTGGCACTCGGGGACGGCAGAGACAGGCAGATGGTGGGCTCACGGGGCAGCCAGTTTAAGTGCGACTGTAAGATGGGAGCAGCAACCTCTGGCCTCCTTGCCCCTATCCACAGGCACGTGCCCCCCGCCCCCCAACATGCACAGGTGCACGTACATGCATCTACTGCACACACTGTCCCCAAGCAATCAAACAGAAACATTAGTGAATGTTACTTTGTAAGCCATGTGTGCCTTTTAACAGCGCTTCAGTACTCAGAGGGTGAGTTCCTTCTTTGTTGATCTATTCCTAGCACTGACTAGAAAGAGAAAGTGCAGCTGCAACTAGAATTGTCCTCGAGGTGTAAAATAACAGATTGAGACTGACCAGAAAGCCATACCCTGGAGAAGAGATGAGAAGGGTCTTCTCCTGGCTGCTGTGTGGTTGAACCTTTTACTCGGTAGAGGTGACTGGACTGCGAAGGCCCACAAGGTTGTTCTCACAAGGGTTAGGAGCATCACTGTGGCCAAAAGAGATAGTCCATCTCTGGATTACACTTCCTTCTCCGTTTAAACCAGCAAACCCTTCCTGCACTTCCTGCCTCCTGGACCACCCTCCTAGTTGCCTTTCTTTCACAGCCGTCTCTTGGGTGTTCGTCTATGCTGGCTGACTGCCTCCTCTCCCTAAACTTTACTAATCACTCTTTCTGTTGTCCTCTGGCTTCCGCTGTCACCATCAAATGTCCTCCCTGATTCTGAGGCACAGAGTCTGAATATAAGACATAGTACTCATTTGTCTGCACTTTTGAGTGCCTTTTGGCTTTGCCTAGGCCCTCTCCCCGTCTGGAGCTGTGATTCTTGTCTTTGCTACACTCATACCCCTCTGTCGGCATGATGCCTGTTCATGGGTCCTCATACTCCTCCCTGTAGTAATTAGGGGCAGCGGGGCTGCATCCCCAGCACCCCGTCTGCCTGACATGGCTAGCTTATGCTTCGAAATAACAACACACAAACTGTATTCATTTAAACACTGCTTGGCCCTTTAGCTCTAGCCCTTACAGGCTAATTCTCACATCCCGATCAACCCATCTCTAATAATCTGTGAGCACCGGTCTTACCTGGAAAGATTCAGCATGTCTAACCTGGCGGCTTGCTTCATCGCATGCGTCTGCCCGGGAGAGCAGAGCATGGCATCTCTCTGAGGCATCTGCTCCCGAGAGGAGAGCTGTGGAGTCTGAGCTCACTTCCTCTTCCTCCCAGCGTTCTATTCTGTTTACTCCTCCCACCTATCTTCTAACCAATGAGGGCCAAGCAGTTTCTTTTTATTTAACCAATGACCTTCCTCCATCACCTCCCCATCCCAGGACCATGCCCAGGGATCTGTCCTGAGGCCATTTTACGAATGATGGGCCCGGCAGATAAAGTACCCCTGTAACACTGACCATGTTTACACCGCTAGTTTTCGCAGAGGGTTCATTTTCCCCTTTGTATCATTCCTACACTGTTTCTTTAGACTGCAATTCCTGCAGTGCTTTTTTTTTCTCTAACATTTTGAAGAAATTAAAAGATTCTTATTGTAAGAAATCATTTGAGCGGTTTTATGGTGTTGTAAAAGGAGCAGCAGGCCGCTTCCCGCTGCCTGGCTAGCTTTACTTGAAATAATTACACAGAGATCTGTATTAACTAAATTATTGCCTGGCCCATTAGTTCTAGCCTCTTATTGGCTAACTCTCACCTATTGATCTAACCCATTTCTAATAATTTGTATTGCCATTTGACTGTGGCTTATTGGCATGAGTCTAACCAGCGTCTATCTCAGAGAGGAGAGCCATGGTGTCTGCCTGACTCTGCTTTCTTTCTCCCAGCATTCTGTTTGGTCTACTCTGCCTATCTAAGCTGCTGTCCTATCAAAAGACCAAGGAAGTTTCTTTATTTGGCCAATTAAAGTAACACATAGAAAGAAGACCCTCCTATACCATTTGGGACCTTGCCAGCTGCTGACGTGACACCTTCACCTCCAGAGCCAGCTCTAGCTCTAGAGGTCCCAGCAAGAGTCCAGAACATTGAGGATTTTGTTCCTGAAGATGGCCTTTACCGAAGCTTCCTGGAAGATACAACCCTACCTAAAGACAAGAATAAAATTGGAGCCAAAGGCCCACAGCAGGAAAGTGACAGTGACGATGGGGAAGCCATCGGAGGGAACCCAGTGGTGGCAGGTTTCCAGGATGACGTGGACATAGAAGATCAGCCACATAGCAAATCCCTGCTGTCCGCAGACCCCGTCCCCAGTAAGAATATCAGTTTTTCCAGTAAGGAGGAAGCCGAGAGACCGGTAGGCCACCCCAGAGTGGCTCCTCAGCAATGCTCAGAGTCTGAGACAAAATGGTCCTCCATCAAGGTCTCACATTCACTAAAGAAGGGAGCTCCCACGCGAGCCATACCCTCATGGTCAGATGGTCTCACCACTGGCTCAGGGCCTGACCACGGTGGTACCAAGCCACCCACTGATGGCACTCATAGACCCCAGGAAGGGAAAGACAAGTAAGTGTCGTCAGAAAGATGCTGTCCTTTGTATTAGATGATCCTGACTTTGAAAGTGATGAATCGGACACACAGAAGAGAGTGGGAGGATTCCCAGTAAGAGAAGACCTCTCTGATGTGACCGATGAGGACACTGGCTCTGCCCAGTCACCCCCACCCTCCAAACCCCCAGTCTCTGCTTTCAGACTGAAGAATGACTCAGATAGATCTCTTTGGTCTGGGCCCGGAGGAGACAGGACCTAAGGAAAGCAGTGATGAAGATAAAGACGGCAAACTTCCCTCTAAAGAGAAGAAGAAAAAGAAGAAGAAAGGCAAAGAGGACGAAGAAAAGGCTACAAAAAAGAAAAGCAAAGACAAGAAGAACAAGGATAAGGAGAAAGGCAAGGAGGATCGGAGGAAGAAGAAGAAGCCCCCTAGGAGCAAGGAACAGAAGGCTGCAGATGAGCTGGAAGCCTTCCTGGGGGGCAGGGCTCCTGGCAGCCACCACCCAGGAGGTGGGGACTATGAGGAGCTTTAGGCTACCAGAGGCAGTTGGTTTTTCTGGGAAGAGGGGAACTGCCGGTGACTGATTTGGGGAGGCTGCTGCCTATGCACCCACGTTCCCAGGACCACCTTGCCACCTATGACCCCCAGCCATTGTCTGCCCTCATTATGGTGGTACACTAGAAGTCTAAACAAGGAAACAAAAGACCTCTACACTGGAAACTTTAAACTCAGAAGAAATAAATTGAAGAAGTTACTAGAAAAATGAAAGGCCTTCCTTGCTCATGCATTGACAGAATTAGCAATGTAGAAATGGTTTTACTTCCCAAACCATTCTTTAAGTTCAGTGCCTCCAAGATTCCAGTGACATTCCAGAAATAGAAAAAAAAATCTTAAAATTCATACGGAAACAGAAGACCTTGAAGAGTCAGAGGGATCCTAGACGAAAAGAAGATGCTGGCAGTATCACCATGCCTAATTTCAGATTATGCTACAGATCTTGGTGACAGAGCCTTGTATTGGCATGAAGACAGACACACAGAGGAGTCAATTAGATAACAAATGTGAATCCATGTGGCTACAGCCACCTGATTTTTTGACATTGAAGAAGGAAACCTTTGAAAAAAATAGTGGTGGGGAAATCCATGTGTAAAAGAATGAAATTCACCATGCACAACTTAAGACGGATCAAAGACCTTAGTGGAAGATCAGAAACTCGGAACGTTTCAAGGAGAAACTGGGTAGAGCAATTCAGTATTGGGCATGAGGAGGAGGATCTTCTGAATAGGAGTCTGCACCCTTAGGAAATGATAGCAGCTGATAGATGGAACCTCCCAGATAAACCACTGTGGTACAGCAATGGGACGGTTAAGTGAGTGAAGAGACCACCTAACGAGTAAAGGGAAAATCTCTACTTGCTATCCATCTAACAGGGTTAATACCTAGAATAAAGAAACTAACAACTGTACAGGAAGACATCGAACAGCACAATAAATTAGCTAATGATATTGTCTTCGGTCAGTGTTCTATTGCTGTGAAGAGACACCTTTACCACAGCAACTTTTACAAAAGGTAAACATTTAACTGGGACTGGCTTACAGTTGTAGGCATTTAGTGCATTATCCTCATGGCAGGGAGCCTGGCAGCATGCAGGCAGAAATGGTGCTTGAGAGGGTGGAGTTCTACATCTAGATCCACAGGCAGCGGGAGGAGAGAAATTCTGACAGGGCTTGGACCCTTGAAACCCCAAAGCCCACCTCTGGTGACAGACTTTTTCCAGCAAGGCCACACTTCCTAATCCCTGTCAAGTAGTATCACTTGCTAATGACCAGGCATTCAAATATATGAGCCTATGCAGGGGGCCTTCTCATTCCCACACAGAAGTGAACAAGAGAGATGTCCAGCCTCACTGTCCAGGAGCAAAATGCAAGTTAAGCCTACACTGAGATCCTGTTTTACCCTAGTTAGAATGGTAGCTACGGAGAAACAACATCCTGGGGGGTTCAGAAGAAGGATTCCTGCTCCTTTGCATCCTAAGTATTCATTAATTCTGCATCTTTGATAGCAGCACTTCTGGCTGGCACAGATGGGATCTCCACACCTCTAAAATTATTTATTTATTTATTTTTACATATTTGGATATTTTGTTTGTGGAACATGTGTATGCATGTTTGCACATCATACGCATGCCTGATGCATGTGGAGACCCAAAAAAAGGGTATTAGATACCCTGAACCAGAGTTGCAGATGGTTACAAGTGACCTTGTGGGTGCTAGGAATTGAACCCCTCTGGAAGAGCAGCCAGGACTCTTCACCAATGAGCAGTACTGTTCTGCTGAAGGAACCTAGCAATAAAAGGATCCTAATAACATTCTGGTGTGCTCATAGATCAGTGCCTTCCTCAATCATCACTGAATATGAAGAAGTCGAGCTGGTGCCTAACTAGAGCCTTCATGCCAATTGACTAGTGTTCATAGTACTAGAAGGTGCTCTGAAGGCTACCAAAGAAGAAAGGTAAATATTAATCCAGCTACAAGCCCTCCAGTCTGCAATAGTGACCTGTCCACAAGATTTGCTGATACAATACTGACACAAAGCTTGTACAACTAACCAATCAATGTCTGATGGATTTAAGGCTTTAAGCCCTACTCCATGAAATGGAACCCATTCCCGACACTTGAGACTAGATAGGCTGGGGACTAGGGGAAAGAAGTTCTGTTCTGCATAAGGAATCTAGCAATAAAAAGGTTCCTAATACCATTCTGCTATACTCACAGATCAATGCCTTCCTCAGTCATCACCACAGAAGCTTCCCCTGCAGTAGATAGGAACAAATACAGAGATCCGCAGCTAGACGATGTGCAGAGAGTGAGATGCCTTGGAACACTCAGTCCTAAATGGGATGTCTTCCTCAAATCCCTCTCCTCAGAACTCAGGGACCCCTGCATCTGAGTAGGCAGAAAGACTGTAAGACCCAGAGGGGAGCAAAGACTCCGAGAAAAATAAAACAAAACAAACCACTAAGGCCCTGTAAATCAACATGATCCACACATATGAACTCACAAAGAATGTAGTAGCATGCACAGAGCCTGCATAGGTCTTGACCAGATGGGGGCTGAGAAGGCTGGTGTATACAAACCCCATCCCTCACGGAGGCCATCTACAATTGATAACCACTCACAGATGAAAACTTTGTTTTCTCCTATGGAGTCTCACAGGGTACACAAACCACTCTGAAGACCATTCCCACGCCCAGCAGCAGATGGACAACCCAAAATGAACTCAATGGCATTTTCGAGGATTTTTGTCTAATAATGTTTTGTCAGGGCTTTATTGTTTATTGTTTGTTTTGTTTTATTTTATTTTTTTACCTTACAGATCCTTTGGGTATATGATATGATTTCCAACTTTATATTTCTATGGGTTTTGTGTGTGTGCAAATGTGTGTGTCACTGTGTCTATATATACTTCCTTGGCCATTTTGTTTGTTTGTTTGCTATATTCTATTGTGGCTTATTTAGTTTTGCTTTATCTTATCTTAATTTATTTTATCACTATTTCTTAGATGCCTGTTTGAATCCTAATAAGAAAGAAAAAGTGTAGATTTGGGTGGGTGGGGAAGAAGTGGGGAGGATCTGGGAGGAGATGAGGGAGGACAAACAGTAACAGAATATAGTGTATGAAAGGAAACCTATTTTCAATAAAAAAATTAAAAATTATTATAACAGTGTCATTATGTAGTGTTACACATATTATATGCTTTTTTAAAATCAGAGTTTTTAGGCTATTTTGAAGATATAGTTTTACAGATCTTTCAAAATTTGCCTATTGGTGTTAGGGATCTAATTATCAAGAATATTAATTTAACAAAGACAGAAAAAAATCTCTGGAAGTATTTGTTTATATGTTTGTGTATTTGTTTTTTGTGTGTGTGCTCATGCCACTGTGCATGCGCGCAGCTCAGGGACAACTTGGGGGAGTCGGTTTTCTCCTTTCACCACATGGGCTCTAGGGTTGTCAGGCTTAGTGGCAAGCACCTTTATCTGCGGAGCCATCTTACTGGTGCCCTCCATGTCGCTTTCCTGAGAGCTGAGGATATTGAACACTTTTTAAAAATATATTGTACTTATTGCCCATTTGAAGATTGAGTTCATTCAGACCTTTTCCCCATTAGTTATTTAGCCTTTTGTTGTTGGATAATTTGAGTTCTTTATATATTCTGGGTATTAACTCCTCCTGGAAGAATAGCTGGTGAAGATTTTCTTTCATTTTGTATGCGTACTCTTTGCTATTTCTTTTGCTAGGCAGAAGCTTTTCAATTTGATGCAATCTTGTTTGTTGATTCTTGCTATTATTTGAGTTATTGGAGTTCTGTTCAGAAACGTATTAATTTGTGTAGGCTGAATCATCCTTGTACTTCTGGAAAGGAGCAATGTGGTCATGGTAATATGATCTTTTTAATGTGCAAGTTTGCAGGTAATATATTAAGTGATTTTTTGGTTTCTCTTTAATTGGTCTGGTGGAGGAACTGTATCCTTACAGAGTGTTGGTATTGAGGTAGTACTGCATTGTGAAATGGGCTTAGAAGCATTCTTTCCTTGCCATTTTATGGGATAATTTGAAGAGCATTATTATTTTTTTTCTTAAAGGTCTGCTGAAATTCAGCTATGAATCTATCTGTCCTGGACTTTTCTTTGTTTGAATACAAAGTTGTTTTAGACCCTTTCTTAGAATTTTTTTTATGGTTTTATGATACTACATTGTACCAAATATATCCTCCCCTATTCAGTAATATGTAACATGAGGGCCTGCTTGTTGGGGCTTCTGTCCTGCCCAGTTCTCACAGCCGGTAAGCCCCAAAGAAAATCACACAGAGGTCTCCATAGGTTATAAAACTGATTGGCCCATTAGCTCTGGCTTCGTATTAGCTCTTATAACTTATATAAATCCATTATTCTTATCTATGTTAGACACATGGCTCAGTACCTTTTTCGGAGGGACAGATCACATCCTGCTTCTTTGGTGATCTGGGAAGGACTACCTAGGGAGCTTCCTTCTTCCCAGAATACTCCTGTTCTCATTGCCCTACCTCTACTTCCTATCTGGCTACTGGCCAACCAGCATTTATTTAAAATATAATTGACAAAATATAGAACTGTCCCACACCAGTGATAACTCACTTTAGCACTGGTAAGTCAGTTGATATAATATGTCACAGTAAAGGCCTAAATTATTTTACTTAATAAACTAATGGATGGTCTTTTACAAATGTACTTTATTTGCTTGCAATGAATATATTTTATTTCTGGTTAGTTAGATTTTAAATAGGAACATATTAATATATTACCAGCATATTAATAGGATCCAGCTGTCAATAAAGCACCATAAATCTATGTCTTAAATATCAAGAATCAATTGTTTTGTTGTATTGTGTGGCAGACTTCTCCTGGGGAGACACAACACATACATGCATACTCACTGCTGGAAGGGAGCCCGTGACAAAGCAAAGCATGGATACTATCACAGTCCAACTTTGTGAACTGATACATTTTATTGGGGTCACTTAGAGAAAAATGGGTGAGAGGTTTCTTACAAAAGCAGAAATGACTCAAAGACAGCTATATCACCAAATCCCACCCCAGCATGGGTGACAGCTCACAAAAGCTGGAAACCTGGAGCATACTTCATAACCTGCAGGCAGCGCCACAGGTTGGAAAGTATCCTTTCCAGGGGGCTCAGTTGTTCTTTGTTTTCTCTAGAAAGTTCAACTGCTCTCTACTTCTTTCAAGGTGTGTCTTAGACACTGCTCTGTTGCTGTGAAGAGACACCATGACTGAGGCACCTTATAAAAGAGAGCATTGCACAGTTTGCTTGCAGTTTATAGGGCTAGTCCACTGTCATCGAAATGTGGAGTGTTGCAGCAGGCAGGGAGGCAGGCCAGCCTGCAAGCACACAGGCCTGATGCTGGAGAAGTAGCTCAGAGCTTTCCATCCTGATCTATAGGCAACGGGAGGGGAGACTAGGGGAGGTGGAGAGACTGAGACTGACTGGCTGGCTGGTCTCTGCTCCTTTCAGACTTGTCTTGAGCGTTGGAAAGAAGGGACATTGGACATTTGACCAGTTTCAGGGACTTCCTGAAGCTACGTTGAGTTGTTTATTTCATTTCTTAACGAGCTTCCTTGCAGAATAGAATGGTTGAATTTCTGAGGAGACTGCTCTGCATTGTGAGGCTGGGATAATGGCTCAGTAGGGAAGAATGCTCTGTTTGAGGACTTGAATTTGAATCCCAGCACACATGTAAAGAGCCAGGCACGGCCAAATGTACCCGTAGCTACATTACTGGAGCAGTGGGCGGCAGATATCATACGCCAGCCTAGCCAAAATGTCAAGTTCCAGTTCAGTGAGAGACATTGTCTCAAGATAGTAAGACAGAGCAATAGTGAAAATGCCTACTGTCCATCACAGGCCTTTTCATGCATGCAACTGGAAGTTCCATGCCCAGAGTAGCATGTTGTTCAGTCCTATGAGGGCTTTCTTTCTGGCTTACATGTATGTTCCTCATGTGGTAGAGACAGAAGGACTAAGTACAGATGAGGTCCTACCCTCTGACCATAGAAACCTAATTACTTCCCAACGTTCTCGTCTCCAAATACCGTCATGTCCAGGGGTAGGGTTGCAAAATATGGATTTGAAAGTAATATAATTCATCCCATAGCAGCAGCATTAGGGAAAAAAACTATCAGGAAATGACTTGTTTCACGTGGACTTGTAAATTTGTGTATATGTGCACTCATCAGAATGAATATGTCCAGCTGTGTTCTCAGATGCTTTTACACATGGTGCACGTATGTGGAGGTTCAAGGTTGCAGTTACTGTCGTTCCTTGATGGCAGGGTCTTCCACTGATCCTAGAGCTCATGGATTTCTCTAGGATGGCTAGCCAGTCACCTTCAAGAACCCACCTGTCTCCTCAGTCTTCTCCACTAGAGTCTTCATATATAAGATACTTATTTTAAAATGGCCATAACTCGGGCTGATTGCTCAGTGCAACGAGGCACCTGTTAGTGAGCCTGCTTGCCTGAATGTGATCCCTGGGTCCCACAAGGTGGAAGGAGAGAGCCAACTCCCTGGAGTTGCCAGCTGACCTCAACCTATGTACCATGGCATATGCACTTCCCCAGAATAAAATAAATAAATGTAAAATTATTTTCTAAAGATTATAACTTAATAATGGCATGTTTCAAGTGGTAATTTATTGGGATAGTATTGATTTGTTGTCTTTGGCACCCTTTTATTGTTCTTCTTAAGTTTTTAGAAATGTATCTTAATATTTCTTTCCTGAAAGATACTGATGTGTTTGATACAGATGTGGACTCATTTATGCACTGTCTCTGTATGAGTTTTAGTGAAAGGAATAGGGAAGATCACAAAGGTTACACACAACTTCAGACCTTTCTTTTTTTGTTGCCGATTTTGACTACGATGGCTTGCCTGTGTGTAGATTAGGCTGGGAGGTCATAACGGCCTTTTCCACCCTTCTCAGCCCTGCTGTCACGGTGGGATCGTGGTACTTGAACAAACGTACCCAGCTATCTATTTACAGTGGCAAGCAGCAGCCATATTTGGCCTTCAGTTGTTGCTCGCTGAGCTCTGCATTAGAGTTTAAACTGAAATAATGCTTAGTACTGTAATGTTTTTCTGTTATTTTCATGTATTTTGATAATTTAAATCTTGTTCTTTCTAATTCATTGTTTTAATTCCAAGCTCCCGCTTAGAGTTTCTCCTACTTACCATCTCGAATGCTACACTCTTTTCTATCGGTAGCTTTCTTTCTAGTCTCTCTGGGAGCCTCCTACATCTTTCCTGCCTTGTTATTGAGACTCCCCCTCTCACTCTTCCCAAATTTCAGGAGATGATGACGGTGAATGTGGGCTTGCTGGATATTCAAGCGTAGCCTTTCATCAGCAGTGCTTGAGAAAGATGCATAAAAGGATGTGGGACTTGACATCATTCACCAAAGATGAATGAAAATCAACTGTTAGAAAGAAGAGTATTTCAGGAAATCTTTGATGAGGGGAACTCACCTACTGCATCCCTCTCCTGTTTCATTCCTGAAATAGCGACTCCTCGCTATGGACTAGTCCTTTGTAGAATCATCTTGTGGAACAAAGTACTAAAGGTGTGACTTGGTTCTTGGAAATCTGTCTATTTCATTTCCATTTAGTAAGGTAAGGTGGGGCTCAGAGCAGAACTCCCCTCGGGAGACATTGAGGCCCATAGTCTACGTCCACTTTGCTCTAGGCATCCTGACCAGTGGGATTCGCTTTTCTTCCCTTTTTTCCTTTCCAGTTCTTTTTCTCTTTTTCCTTTTAAACAAAACATTGCTATGCATCACTGGCTGGTCAGATCCTGACTGTGTGGTCCAGCCTGTCCTTCAGTTCATGGCTGTCTCTTGGCCTTAGGCTTTCGACTATTAGAGTGACTGGCATGTGCCAGGTCCAGCCTGGTTGTTCATCTTAATGACAGTTTGATATGGGATAGAGCAAATGTTCTCCCTCTTCTCACACTCAGTCACCGCAAGTCACTGCAATGTGTGTGGATTTCTCCAGGGTCTGTAATTCAGTTGAAATCTGACACTGTCCACCTGGAGGTGACATTCGATCTCAAAGACTGAGCGTTCGGTCCCATGGGGTCATGTCTGCTTCAGATGCTCTGGGGGCTCTAGAGCACAGGGGCTGGTCAGGGGAAGGGGACTGACCAGATATTCTTTGAGCCATGTAGTTCTGGAGCGCCTTCAGCCTGGAATGTTGCCGCTCTCTAGGGCGCTGTGGACTGCAGAGGCCCAGCCCATGTCAGGTTTACATTTACATTTACTCACTAGTTCAGAACAGCAGATTCGTTCATTTCAATAAAACAGTTCTAAACCTTTAACAAAAACAAGAACAGAAGCTAGAAAAGGGAATTTGTAAGTCTGTATGTTAACATAGTTTCATAAGACATAAGGAGGGCTCTGGAGAACCCTCCTACCTAGAGATTGATGTGTGTGCATGTGATACAAGGACAGATGCAAGCTGGGTCCTTCCCTGAGACTTTCTCCTCTCTCTTCCGTAGCCCTCATGACACTCACCTGGGTTGTGCAGAGGACTCTGTTCTCTGGTCAGATGGCCTCTGTTTTCCTTTCTTCCTTTCATTTATAGCACATCATTCTTAATCTCGGGTGCTTTCCTGAGAAAGAGATGGGAAGAGAGACAGAGACAGACAGACAGACAGACAGACAGACAGAGTTTCTACGTATTCCCGATGGCCTGGAACTCATTGTATGTGTAGTGACTTTCTATCCTTCCTTAGTCTCCTATGTGTTTACTTATTATAATTGTGCATTTTTATAAATGAGTGATCTTGAATGTTTTAAAATAAAAGTCTATGCAAAGATAGAAATTTTCAAAGCAAACCAATCTGTGAGCTCAAAAACAATTGCATGATGTTTTCGTATTTAATATTCACCAGAAATAATATGTACATAGAAAAAAAGAACAATCTAAGTGAAAGAATTAGCTTCAAGATGTAAAAGAATATATGTTGAATTCTTCTCCCTTCCTCAAAACCATGTAGGTAATATATGCTTTGAATACCAAAAACGATGAACACGAGTCTGCAATTCAGGCCCTCAAAGATGCTCACGAAGAAGAAATCCAACAAATTCTTGCAGAAACAAGAGAAAAAATACTGCTCTATAAAAGCAAGGTAACAGAAGAGGTAGACCTTAGGAGAAAGATTCAAGTTCTGGAAGCGTCTTTGGAAGACCATGTGAAGATGAAACAGCAAGCTCTGACGGAGTTTGAAGCCTTTAAGCACAGAGTTGCGGACATGCAGCTTTGTGCAGAGGCCCAGCATGTCCAGCGCATAGTAACCATGTCGCGGGAGGTCGAAGAGATTAGAAGGAAGTTTGAAGAGAGGTTGCGGAGCTTCGGACAGCTCCAAGTACAGTTTGAGAAGGACAAACGGTTGGCCCTGGAAGATTTGAGAACCACCCACAGACGGGAAGTCCAAGAGCTGTTGAAGTCGCAGCAGGACCACAGTGCTTCGGTGAACAAGGGGCAGGAGAAGGCAGAGGAGCTGCACAGGATGGAGGTGGAGGCCTTGAACAGCACCCTGGAAGAGCTGCGACTTGAAAAGAAGAAGCTCATCGAGGAATATGAAGGCAGGCTGAACAAAGCCCAGGTATTTTACGAGCGCGAGCTGGATAACTTGAAAAGGTCACAGCTCTTCACAGCGGAAAGCCTGCAGGCTAGCAGGGACAAGGAGGCCGAGCTTCGCAAAGAGTTCCAGGGACAAGAAGCCGTTCTGCGGAAAACCATAGGAAAATTGAAGACCGAGTTGCAGATGGTGCAGGATGAAGCCAGCAGTCTGCTTGACAAATGCCAAAAGCTGCAGGTGGCCCTGACTGCGGCAGAGAGCAATGTACAGGTGAGTGGGCATGGGTTGGTTAGTCTTTTCTTTCTTTACACATGTTTGGTGTGCGCATGTGTGCGTGTGTGTGTGTGTGTGTGTGTGTGTGTAAACCTGAGGTTGACACTGGGTGTTTTCTCAGATTGCTTTCTACCTTCTGTGTTGAGGCAGAGCCTTTGCTACACCAGAGGACTCCATTGGCCTTTTCCGATATCGGGCTAGTCAGCTTGCTCCGGGGTTTCCTGGCCTCTGCCTCCCTGCCTCCGACACTGCAAGGGGCCATCATGCTCACCTGGCTCTAGCTGGGTTCTGGGGAATCTGAACCTTGGCCGGACATTTGGATAATAGACACTTTACCCATACCCACTGAGCAATCTACACACACAGGCATGCGCACATACACTTTTAAAAACTTCCTTTTGGATTTATTTATTTTAGTTTACGTATTTGGATGTTTTATTTGCATTTATCTGTTAATGGATGGTTGTAAGCCACCATGTGGATGCTTGGGAATGGAACCCAAGTTCTGGGCAAGAGCAGCAAGTGGTCTTAACTGCTAAGGCATTGCTCATCCTTACCCACTTTTTCATATGTATTGCTTTGTTGACTTGGAGCGCAGCCAGGCTGGCTTTAGAATCAGCTGTTTATATTCATACCACTTTATTACACCTCCAACCCATTTTTTGTCTTTGCCCTTGTGCAGAAAAAAAATGTAGACGGGGACATTTTTATTACCTTTACCTATTATTAATTTGGACATCAAGCACCCAAAAGATAAGTTTAAACCTTGTTGATACTATGAATAGGTTTCATTTAAACAGCTTCCTAGTATTTCTATTAGAGTTATAATATCAAGCTTAGGGGTTGGTTGTGTTCTTCTTTTTCTCTTCAATAAGGATGGTCTGTCTCCTTATTTGGTATTTAGACACCAAACCAAAAAAAAGTTGCTTTTGGTGGTGTGCACCTTTAATCCCCGTGCTCAGGAGTCAGAGCCAGGCAGATCTTTGAGTTTGAGGCCAGTCTGGTCTATCAAGTGAGTTTCAGAACAGCCAGGGCTACACAGAGAAACCCTGTCTCAAAAAACAAGCAACCAAACAACCAAATAAAAAGTAGCATTTAGTAAGAGTTAGTCCACATATGGAAAAGATGCCAAAAAGCTTCTACGAGTTTTGTCATGCTAGCACAGAAAGCTTCCTGGCTGTGCTAATATCTGTAGAGCATTAGAATTCATTAGGCAGGGTAGAAATAGACTTCCCTAATTGGGTCATATGACTTCAAATGTCAGGTTGTGTTACTTCATCTAACAGAGTTCAAACTAAGTAGTCCTAGTTCCACAGACCTCTCCAGTAAGAGAAAGGTGTTGCTTGCAATTTAAATAAATTATTTAGCTTAGTGTCATGCTTGCATTTTGATTATGACTATTTGATCTTTCTTAGGTTCTTCAAAAACAGCTTGATGATGCCAAGGAGGGAGAAATGGCCTTGTTGAACAAGCACAAGGAAGTGGAAAGTGAGCTAGCAGCTGCCCGGGAGCGTTTACAACAGCAAGCGTCAGACCTTGTCCTCAAAGCTAGTAAGTCCACCCATAGCTCGGTGTGGTGCTCAGCTAAAACCCACTCTTTGCTGCTCATCCAAACAATATCTGAGCAAAGTGCTTCTAATTTAATACTTACCATCTCTTATGATGTTTTAAAATGGTTTCTATTGTTTTTATTTTAAAATAATATATAGCATTTTCTTGGATAATTATAACAATGAAATGACAAAATCATCAACAGTTGTGGGGCACAGCCCCCCACTCCCAGCAGCCTACAGAGAGTAGTCTTTTTAGGACTCCACTGAAGTTAAGCCAGATCAGAAAGGGTTTTCAGGACAAGACAGCTTGAAGCAGTATTGTTTGCCTGAAGAAATTTTTTTTATTGATTTTATTGAGCTATACATTTTTCTCTGCTCCCCTCCCTTTTTCTCTTTTCCCCTTTAACTCTCCCCCAAGGTCCCCATGCTCCCAATTTAATCAGGAGATCTTGTCTTTTTCTCTCTTAGGGCCCTCATTGTTGCCTAGGTTCTCTGGGATTGTGATTTGTAGGCTGGTTTTCTTTGCTTTATGTCTAAAAGCCACTTATGAGTGAGTACATGTGATAATTGTCTTTCTGGGTCTGGATAACCTTACTCAATATGATGTTTTCTAGCTCCATCCAGAAATAATAAGATGTTGTTATTTTTCCTGCTGTGTAGTACTCCATTGTGTAAATGTACCACATTCTCCTTATCCATTCTTTGGTGGAGGGACATTTAGGTTGTTCATAGTGACATTGTTTGCCTGAAGAGATTTTTAACATAGATTTAAACCCAGGGTCAACAAAAGAGAGGTGATCCCTGAACAAATAAGACACACCCACATGTGGGCGTGGCCTTCTCAAGGGAGAGCTGTATCTGGCTGTCTTCCCAGTAGCCTTGCTTATGATGTTAGTGCATTTCCAGTTGCCATCTTTAGAGCTGTCAGGGAATCCGAGCTTAAAAGGGGGCTCCTGGAGTGTTCCAATCCAGGATATTTGTCACCGTGGCATCCCCAAATCACATGAATTGTCAACAAAAGTTGATTGACTAGTTTGTGAGATTTCCAGAAAATATTGGAAGGCAGAAGAGCAAATTCAAAGTTAGGTATGCTCAAGCCCTAAGAACGTTCATTGCTGTTTTTACTTTCTTGTTTGGGAATATCTTCATGTCAGAGGAGCAGTGTCTCTGTGTAAGCAGTGCTTTCAGCACATGTTGACTGCTGGGATGCTTAGGTTTCTGTTGGTAAGAGACCGCACCTAAGCTTTAGACCTGGTGGCTCCTTTTCCTTCCCTCTTCCCCTTCTCATCCCCTGTCTTTCTAGCCTGCCTCAGGATGCCTCAGAATTTTTGGTTTTAGGAATATATTTTTAGAGAAGACACTCCAAAAAAAATGAGCAATTTATTCTTTCCTGTTCTTCCTCTCTTCTTCCCTCTGTCTGTCTGTCTGTCTGTCTGTCTAACTCTGGAAGAATTTGTATGTAGGGAACAAAGGTGATTTCACACCGGACAGCTGAGTCACCCATCTGATGTGGCCACTGTTCTTCACCTCATAGCTCTCAGCAGGAAGATGCTGGTCCAGGTTGTCCGAGGTTGCCTTGTGTCAAAATGGACTGTGTATCCAGTGAAGCAGTCTCAGGACCCCCGTTCCTTTTGATTGGCTCACTGGTGACTTTTTTTGTTCATAAAGTCATTTTTAATGACCTTCAGTTTGTATCAGAATCAGTGAGGTGGTTTGTGAGCCCACAGATGCTGTGCTTACCTCAGGCCTTCCCACTCTCTGGCTGCAGTACTCTCTTTCTGGCTCTTTGTCCAGGGTTCTTTGGAAATCTCTGCTTAGATGATGCTTTCTATGAGAACCTGTTCCGCACTCTAGATTTCACATCTTCCTTTACCCATGCCTTTCCCTAACCCATTTTTAAATAGAGTACCTTCTAGCTATTCTTCCAGTTTCAAATATGTAAACAATGTGTCCTGATCATATCCAGCCCTTCTACTCCCCCTAACCCAGTTTTACTGTCATTTGTTTTATTTTTTTGTAAATTTGTTATCCTCTATAAAATGAATTCAATTGAAACGCCACTGCTGCCTGCCACCTTTGTTCCAGAGAGAGAGCGAGAGAATGGTGGGGTGGAGTGCGAGAGAGAATCGAGAAGACTCCTTGTCATTTCATGGTGTTACTGCATCCTCTCTTTTCTTGGTTGCTCCCAGGAGACTTTTCCATGAGCTGCTAAGGAGTTCTCCTACCTCAGCTTGTTTAGCTTGCATTCTTCTCCTTTTGTTAAAAGTGGGATGTTGCCAGGGAGCAGCATTAGGGGAGTAAAAATGGACTTTCTATTTTAAAGAATTATAATTGCTACGACTGTCCCATGGTGAACATTTCCCCATTGTACAGCAAGGAAGCCAAAGCGAAACTTGTGACCCATTCAGGCGTGAAGTATGGTTGTGCCATTAAAGACACACTTTCATGTTGATGGTCTTAAAAATTAAGGAGATTTTCTTTGTGGGGGGCGGTTTCTAGGCCATATTGGAATGCTTCGAGCAACTCAGATGACCCAGGAAGTTACAATTAAAGATTTAGAGTCAGAAAAATCCAGAGCCAACGAGAGATTATGTCAGCTTGAAGAGGAAAGAGCTTTTCTGCAAAGCAGAACGCAGAGTCTGGATGAGGAACAGAAGCAGCAGGTGCTGGAGCTGGAGAAGGTATTGTGATGGGTGCCCGGGGACGGGAAGGGACATTCAGATGCCACTCCCGCCACACGGGAGCCATATGCTTCTAGTCTAGTGTGTGTCACTTTGTTTTCGAGGATTGAGGTTAAAGAGAGGCCACACGGTGTTATGTATGTATTCTGGTTACTTAGGTAATAATCTAGTTTATAAAAGTCTAGGAATTTCAACTTATTTCAGGCCAGAAACTGAGTTAACTCTTATTGCATTGGGATTTATATTTTATCAAATATCATATTAAGCATACTTTTTAAATAAGTGATTATGTTATTGCATACACTCCTAAGAAACTGGTTTCTTTTCTTCCTCTCCCTTCCTCTACACCTACTTTCTTCCTTCCTTCCTTTCTGGTTTGGGTTTCTGTTTTTTGAACTGGGAATGAACCTCAGGGTCTTATATGTGTCAGGAAAATGCTTTGCATCTGAATTCTCTTCCCAAGCTTGTTGAACTTTTTATTTTGAAACAGGGTCACTTTATGTCTCACTAAAGCTGTCCCTGAACTGTGATCCTCTGTGTAAATAAAAATGAGAGCATTTTATTACCAGCTCTGTATTTTCTCTTTCCCAATTGAATTGATTTATATTCTCATATTCTCTGCTGTCTCTGTCTCTCTCTCTGTCTCTCTCTCTGTTTCTCTCTCTGTTTCTCTCTCTGTTTCTCTCTCTCTCTCTCTCTCTCTCTCTCTCTCTCACACACACACACACACACACACACACACACACACTTTTCTACCCACCTAGGCTGTGCCTCTTCCCTGAATTCTCTAACAACAAAAAATAGATGCCCTTTCGTAGAACTCATAAACCTGTTGCTACTGTCTTCTTACTTCCTTTCATCACTGAATTGTGATTGGTTGAAAGGTACATAATTAACACACCAATTGTACTGAATAATATTATTTGAGTAGTTATTAGGTAAGCTTTTTATGTACTGCACACAAACCTTTCTTTTAAGTTTGCCATTATTTGCTTTTATTTCTTGATCTAATATATTTTATTTTGCGTCAGCTGCCCTGTCCCCCTTTGAGAAAACCAATTGTAAGGTTTCAAAGTCTAGATCCCAAAGAAGTTAGTTCGTTCCAGTTCACATATGTCTAAGGTGCTCAGACATCGATAGCACTGATGAACACAAGAGGTGCCGCTTCTTAATCTTTTTTGTTTTCATTCAAGAAAGTAAATGAAGCAAAGAGAAGTCAGCAAGAATATTATGAAATGGAGCTTAAAAACCTGCAAAATAGATTGGAAGGCGAGGTGGCCCAGCTGAACGAGGCTCACTCGAAGACTTTAGAGGAGCTGGCCTGGAAGCACCACATGGCCATGGAGGCTGTGCACAGCAACGCCAGCCGAGATAAGAAAAAGCTGCAAATGGTGAGTGCAAGCCGGCGGGAATCCCGGCTCCTGCCTTGTCACCATGGCTCCAGCAGTGAAATCCACAAACGTGGGATTTCTTCCCTGCCATCCTCTTGAGACAGGGCCTCCCTGTGAAGCTCAGCCTGTCTCGTCCTCATCATTCTCCTGCCTCCACCTCCCAAGTGCATGCCCCACCACACCTGGCTTGCATTAAGTTCTCGGTGGGGGCATGGTTTGTTAGCACAGACTACTTTATCTGAGCCATCACAGAACACTCTTTCTTCTGGGACTTTCTTATGAGTTAACTGTACCAATCAGGAGGCCTTAATTCACCTGCATAGATATCTCTAGTCATAGCTTCCTTGTCTGGGAACATTGTTCTTGTATGTGTGTCTTTATTTTCCTTCCTTTCACCTTGTGAATGGTACTGCCAATATTGCACAGTAGAAAACTGTCTGACACCCGGGTCTTGGCTATGGTGGCATGAACCCTAAGCTCACCTCTGGCACCTTCTCTGACAGAAGAGGCTGTGATGCGTTCTATAACGTTCCTGAAAAGATCCAGGGGGCGCAGATGCTGGGTACTCAGACATGTCCTAGCTGTGGTGACCAGCAGTGTCGCCGGGACGGTTGTCACGTGCCATGCATTGCAGTTATGCTTTACACGAATATCTTTGGTTCCTCCTTGTGACAGTTGATGGCTGTTGCACCCTGTCTACTGATCAGTGGATGCACTCAGTCACAGATCTGTCAAATCATACTGCATTTAATACCCTCGTGCAGGTGTTTGTTAATAGGGGTGCTAACGTTTTATAGGGTAGCACTTTATAGTTTACTAGTGATTTTCTGTGGTATATTTCTTCATACCAATGACTTGGAGATTAGTGTCATTTTCATTATAAAGTATATACTATATTTAATAAGCCTAAATGGTTTTTTGCAAAACCATGAACCTGATTAAGTGGAATAGTTAAGACACAAATTCAAATTTAGATGTTTGGCCTTAATACCTCTTCGTTTTGTGGCATAAGTACTGGAAGAAATATTTTAAGATGTAAAATTTAAGAATCTAAGAAAGATTTCCCGTTAGAATGTTACTTCTTTCTGAACTAGTATGTGTGCATCTAAGCACAGACGAAAATTTCTCAAGACTGATTGCCATTCTCTCCGTGCCAACTCACACATCCCATCCTGATGTGGTCATGTGCTTGCTTACGGAGACAGCTGTCACTCCGCAGGGTGCCACACTAATGCACGCAGTGGACAAGGCTGCTCACGATTTCCTCCCTAGCCACTGTTTGTCATCTTTATTTATGTGTTCGTTTATAATCCATGATGTCCTGCTTTCAGGTGTTAAGCAAGCCCTACGTTGTCTTTACCTCATGACTCCCAATCATCACCCAGTAAATTCTGATCTTTGAGCCACCTGCAAACCTGCCTCAGCCCACATATGCCTCTTTCACAAAATAATTTCCATGTATTTATTTTTATTTTATGTCTAAGCATTTCCCCTGTACAAAAACTGTGCACTACATTTGTGCAGTGGCTGCTGAAGTCAAAGGGCATTGAAGCCCCTGGAATTGGAATTACAGGTTGTGAGCCACTGTGTGGGTGCTGGGAATCAAATTTGGGTCCACTGGAAGGCAGTCAGCGCTCTTAACTGCTGAGCCATCTCTCCAGCCCTCCACTTACAGTCCTTAAAATATGTTTCACAACATGTTTGCCATTGGAAAGATGACTTGGACTTTCCTGTATGCTAGCACATTCAAAAAGCTCTGTGTTGTGTTGGAGATTTCCTTGGGAAAACAACACACATACCCGCTCACTCCAGAACGGGAGCCTGTCACAGACCAAAGTAACAATTACACCAATGCCAAGTTGTGGAAATGATGAGTGATTATTGGGGTCCCTAGCAGGAGCTTAGATGAGGAGTAACAAGGAGCAGCAATGACTCAGAAGCAGCTGCATCTATAAAAAGCCCACCTCACCAAAGCTGCAGCGGTAGCAAGCACTCTGCACGGGCTGCAAGCAGCTGCATGGGCCTGAGACTCAGACCCACAGCTGGGCTGGCCAGAGCTCCTGCCCCAGCCACTTTCCCTGCTTCTGTGATGCTGGGGAGGAGCCTCTGAGAATTGCACAAGTGTTCCCTTCACCACACCTGTGACATTTTGCTTACCTCCTGAGGTCCCTGAGCTCCTGCAGGGACTTACCAGAGAACACTCTGGGTTGCCTTATCTGTACCACTTACCCAAATAGTGTGTTTCTAGCCTGCTGCCCCCTTCCCGTGTTGCTACCCAGCTAACATACTAATTGTGTAAGGTCAAACCAGATCCTTCCAGAACAGCCTATCTCTTACATCAAAGCATTTTTTTTTTGAAAAAAGATTTAAGGGAAACAGATCAAGGCCTTGCTCAGCCATCATCCAAGAAGCTTCTTCCTGCAGCTGATGGGAACAAACACAGAGACCCGCAGCTGGACAGAGAGTGAGAGACCTTGGAACACTCAGCCCTAAATGGGACGTCTTCCTCAAATCCCTCCCCTCAGGGCTCAGGGAACCCTGCAGAAGAGTAGGTAGAAAATGTGTAAGAGCCAGAGGGGATGGGAGATACCAGGGTGGGGGGTGGACTGTGAGGAGACCGTCTACATCAGCATGGTCAGTGTGTGTATGAACTCACAGAACCTGAGGCAGCAACCTCAGTGCCCCCTGGGCCCTGCACCAGGTCCCCTGCTGTGCATTGCGGCTTCCAGTTTAGTGTTTTTACAGGACTCCTGAATGCCAACAGTGGATCTCTTGAGTTCTCTTTCTTCTGTTTGTTTTGTCCAATTCTGACCTGTTTTTGTTTATCTTGTTGTATTTTATTAGAAGTCTGTTTTTGTTTTTCCTAATGAGAGACAAAGAGTGGATCTCGATGGGAGGGGTTGGAAGGAGTAGAGAAAAGGGAAAAACTATTTTCAATAAAAGAAAAAAAATGTAAGCTCCTTATCTTAAGGAGCTTAGTGACTAATAAATATATTTATGAAAGTGAAAAATAATGTTTTGCTAAGATGACCTCTCTGTTCCTTATTTATTGCAAAAGGATTACATTTCCTACCGTAACTATAGTTCACCATCTTAATGAAAGTACAGGGACAACCTGTGCGGAAACGGTGACATCGCATCCGGGACTGCCCTCCTCAGACAGGGTAACCCTTGGCTGCCCCTAGGACCTGGGCTTTCAGAAGGGTCTTGTCTTCCCCCAAGATGAAACGCTTCCCTACTGAAAGTGTATGTTTGTGAAAACGCAGACCACCTGCCTTCCTTCCGGAACTCTGGAAGAGGGTGCCCTATTGAGAAGGACCTGGGCTCCGAGTCTCCCAGGAGCCTCCCTCCAGACTTTATTTCCTTCTGTTGTCACGGCTTGTAGAGGAGTTTAGCATGTCCCGTGTGCAGGGCCCTGGGAAGCCAGTGCCTCTAGCCCTGTAGACTCCTCTCGCACACTTTTCCCTCAGTAGATTGGGATTTAAGTATTTTCACCATAATAAGCCATGGCTATGTTGTATACCAACACTGTGGCTACTCCTAGAATTTCTTCCAACTTCAGTTTGTCAAGGAGGTCCCCAACAACCCTACCACAACCTTCCTCATTGTACATGGCAGAAGCAACGCTCTAACCAAGCTGTGTGTGGATACGCACCTCTGTTGTGTTTAGATATTCCTTTCCTCTGCCCAGAATGTTCGGTTCCCCTCTACTCTGCCATTATTTTTAACTGGTATGCTCTTCAGTTAGCGTCAAGTCCAAAGAAAACTCCATCCCCCAAACTCCAAAAGGCAGTTCATGTATCCAGAAATGAGCTCAGCCTGGACTAAAGAGGATTTTTAGGAAAAGCTAGAAAAGCTAGCATTCCTTGTAAAGGAACTTGTAAAACTGCTTCCTCTATTCCAAAAGGAGTCATTTCCCTTACCTCCGGCAGGAGGACATACGGCTACCTGTGGTACCTACAGCAGCATAGCAAAGCTCCCTCTGGCCTCCAGGCTCTTTCTATATCACATGTACATATTAAACATTTCAAAATCCAAGCTAGTGTCCTAGCCCATTTCCCTTCCTCCCCTTCCCTTAACTCCCACCAGCTCATGGGATTCCCTCCTCCCAGCTACTCATTCCCTTATAACCCACTATTCCTGCAGACTGCTCTTGCAGGTGTGTTTGCTCCCTCTGCGCTGTTCCTGCTTCTCTCGCTGTGTTTTCTCTGTTCTTTGTCCACTGCTTTCCCCCCTTCTCCTGAAGACAGCCCTGGCCATGTCCAGTCAGCTGACCATGTTCAGCCTACTTCTTTCTCTCTCTGCCCTGGACTTTTTCCAGATGCCTCTGGCTGTTTTCTCTCTTATATCTAAAATAAAAACCTTACCCTTACACACACTATGGAGTGGTCATGGTGTCAGTTTATACACTTAGGAATTACTTTCTCTCTAAAGTTTCCCCTTCAAAGTTTATCCATTCCCTGCCTAGATACGGCCCTCCCCCTTTCTGTGCCCAATTTTGAGGAGTAAGTGGTTCCTTATTTGGTGCTGTGTGTCATTAAGACAAGCTTCATACCACATCTTGTTGTCTGTGGGGCCCAGGAGTTAAGTAGCATGCCCAGAAAAGAGATACGTCCTTCAGCAGATATCATTGTAAATGATTTTATAATCCAGTTATATTCATTTTGTTCTTATAAATTCTCAACTACATTCCACTGTGAATTCCTGAAATGTTATAGAATTTTTTGTATTTTAATATAAAAGAATGAAAATTCAAGAGAATGTTTGCTTTATCATGCCAAATTATCATTTCTGTCATGCTTTTCTGGTTTTCTAAGATAACTTAACCAGCCAGTTATCTCTCGTGATTAAGAGCATTGTCTAATGGCTATATCAGAATGATTTGATATACTCCATTTAATATTAAATGGTATTACAGTTAACTGTGATTTTTTTAAGTGGAGAGATCATTTGCAAATTAAAATGTTAATATAATCATTTGTTTCTTGCAATCTTAAGGTATATAGTTCTTCAATCTTACTAAGTTTTAATTTTTTTGTCTTTCTAAGGAATTGGAGGAACAATACAAAAAGGAGAAACTGAGTCTGGAAGAGGATAAAAATCAACTTCAACTAGAGCTAGAAAATGTAAAGCAAGTGCTGGAAGACAAGCTGACTTCAGCCAATCAGGAGGCAAGCGCTCTTTAGGCCTATCGCCTGCATTACACGTACGCTTTGTAGTAACTTAATCTGGTGGCAGGATAGGTAGGTGAGCAGAACTGTTCAGACATCTTGAATCGGTGCTAAATTTTCATAACACTGTATTTATGTCCCATTAGGTAAATATTTACCATCAAAAACATGAAACAGCAGGGGTTTGTGGAGAAATACAAACCCTTGGAGACTGCACCTCCCCTGGTGGAATGGGAGCAACTGTTAGGGGTGTAGATTTCTCTACACTGCACCTCATTTTAGAGAGAGAGAAACTTTGTAAGGTCCAGATCCTGACTTCTGAAACAAATTGTTGAATCTATATGAAAATATTATTTAGCCTGAGAAAGAAAAGTCTAAGGATAGAATATTAAAAAACACCAGAAGTCAAAAAAATAAACTTGTAAGTAAATGTATATGTAAAGATGTTTATAAATTATGGCTTTAGCTCCTCCTCTGTCTCCATCGAGGCAATTGCTAAATGCTTCCCTAATATTTACCTTTCTCTTTCCAGTTCATCCCTCTGTGGCAACTTGGCTGAGCTTCCTCTAGTTCTCTAACTGGCTTCTTGTCTTTGCCCCTCTCATTTGCCAGCTTTTCCCTGCTCAGTGATCTCATCGCTCCCCACAGCCCTCTCCTGCCCTGTTCTATTACTCTGAATCGCCCGCAGAAACCACACAGAAGGCACAAGCTCTGGAGTTTGCTCTCTGCGTCCTTGGATTGTTTTTAAATGTTTATCCAGGGAAAATAAAGCCAACTGCCTTGGAGATGATAAAGGCTGTGGTGGATACTGATGGCAGCCCGGCCTGTCTTCTGTTGTCCTAGCTAATCCGCGCAGGCTTCACGGATGCATTTTCTCAGCAGAATCCACACAGTTACCCACCTGTACTCATTAGAAGGCCCTTTAGTGACCATCTGTTTCTCGAGCAGGCTCCTCGGGCTTCCTCCTCCATTCTAAATGGCTGGTCGTAGCATTTTCCTAGTCTGCGTTCTGAAACTTCTCTGAGAAGAGCTGCAGTGCATATCTAACTCACTTTTCTTGGCCACATTTTCAACTATGTTTCAGTATCCTGGCGATGCTTTGGCGCAGGGTATTATGGCTCCCTGAGAATTTGCTTGGCCCGGTGCTCCATCTGCTTCTGCTTCCCCTTCAGACTTTCTCCTGTCCCGCTGACTCAGATCTCCAGGGATCGATTCCCAGTCTGCTTCCTGAACTTAAAATGAAGGATAGTCACATTTCCCAGTTAACCAAGGTTTTCTTAAAACTCATTCACAAATCATTAGTGAAAACAGATTATAAACACATTATTATGCATATAAATGTATTAATGGTGGAAAATGAAACAATGGACATATTATGAATATTCTAATATAAATAAGTGTATAAAATCATAAGGAGCGATTCTTTGGGATTTTTGCACCTATCCATCAGTGACTCTGAATGTCATACGTTGCAATGATATGATTAGGAGCTCAGGCTCACCTCTCTAAGTCATGCCTCGTGTGTCCCTGTGTCCTGAGTGTTAGTGCACCTCTATGTGGGCCACAGCAGGACCGGCTGGCTTTTTCAGTTAAAGACAAAACTTCTGTCTTTAGAAAACATTCCATATGTAAAAGAGAAAGGAAAAAAATGTGTAACTGGTTGATAAATTGCACAAACAGATTCTTGTCTTTACCACCTTTAGAGTGTTTACAAAACAGTAAGGAAAACAGGCACCCTGTTTTGTTTTGTTTTTATAAACAAAAGAGAAATAAGAAAAATAAATTTAAAATTAAGAACTAGGAGTCCATAAACTGCCACTCCGTGAGCATAAAATTAACTGTGATAAATTGAGGCCATGCAGTGTTGCTGAGTGTAGAGAGAGATAAACACCCGGAAGCCGCCAAGGGCAATATGAAATCCCATAATATTTCTGGAAAGGGCTTAGCAGCCTGCGTGGGAGCCTTGGATAGACATGCCTGTTGACAGCAGCTTCAGTTTTGTGTTTCTCATAGAAGCAAATAATGAAGGATTATTGAGAAAATGTCAGCACTGTTTATAGGAGAAATTCAGAACTGGTTAAATTTCCGCAGAACTCTTGTTTTCCTAAAAGAAAGGAAGTCTTTTTCTAATTCACATAGCATCATCTGCGTCTCCCCATGTTCTGGAGTTGTTTGCAGGCCTGTGGGAATTGCCTCTTTCTGCATGGAGGCACCACATGGCCTACTGGTGGCCTGGCGATAATAGTACAAGGTCAGGAAAAGGCTGAGATACTGGTTTCCTTGCAGGTTAAATGCTTACCTAATGAGATGTTAAAGATACTTTATCCCTTGATCAGTTAAGTATATATGAAGTATTTTAGTAGTGACTCTTTAATTTTTTTTTAGAAAATGTTGGAAAGTTGGGTACAAGGAGCTCTTACATTGTGATTGTACTGATAATTAGTGTGGTCCCTGCAGTGATGAGGGGTTTCACAAAATGAGATGTTTATAAGTCTAGCTAGATGCATACTGCAAAAGGAAGATAAATGATTGACAGGAAATGAACAAGAGGGAAAACTGAGGAAATATTATACAAATTCATGGGAACTTTCAAGATACTATAGGAATGCCAGTATAGATGTGGTACTGTAATAACTACAGGATAGTATTGCTTACTATTTCCCAGACATTGATTCATATTCTTCTCTCTTCTATCCTTAATACAGCTAGGACAGTAGATTCTAGTCACTAAGTCACTGAGGAGTGATGGAATTTGTCTGTGTCACATACTTAAGTGGCTAAGATCAAAATTTCAGTCCGAGCGATATTATTTTAGCTCAGGACCACAGTACTTTACCCTTCAAACAAATACAGAGACCAAGGGAGAGAGATTACCTAGCTAGCTGGAGAGTTAGGCTGCCTCTATGTCACAGAGGTCCTGTGAAATATCTTAAATATTAGCATGATGGAAGGCTGCTAGGAGATGCTAAGCACACATATGTGAGAACTTACTTCATGTCCATATTCATCATTTATAAAAGTTCACTGTGTGCTTCCTAGGAGAAGGGATTGGAGAAGAGACCCTAGGGAGGCTGTGTCTACCTTCTGTATTCCCTTAGGGGTCATAATAAGAAGAATCTAGGTTGTTCCCTCTCTGTTGCAAAGAGCCGAAGTTCCAATGCAAACCAACAGAAGGACAAAGGAAATATATCTACCCGTGTGATTCAAAATATCAACTTCAAACAGATTAGATTCTGAACTGAAATTGGTGATACTAGGACCGGGTTTCTTTGTCTCCTCTTGGATTTGCCTTCTTGGTGTTCTCCATTTTGACTTTATTCTTTAGTCATGTATTACCCTGGACAAGGTACAGCTGACAAAGGAGTTTCCCTAGGAGACCCGTTTTCCCTTTCACAGTCTAAGATCTCTATGAGTGATGTGTTCTTCCCCATAACTGCCCCTGAATCATTCCCAGTGGATAGAAAATGAGGCAACTGTATTGGGTGAGACTCTGATCAAGCTGATTATCTGGAGTTTATCTGATTCCTGCTGAGATCACAGGGTACCAACGGGGAAAGAGAGTAGATCTTCCACCTGCCAAAAGATATTTTGACAGTGACAGACAACAGTTGTTTTTAAACATAACCTGTCCCTCAAATAATGAAAACCCAGAGATAGATATTGGGGTTCAAGCTGAAGATCAGAAAAGCAAAGGAACCGAATCATTGGAGAAGTCTTACCTCTACCAAGGCTGGGTAACTGCAGACTGAGCCCTGAGCCTCTGTCTCTCCCGTTTTATATTCCCTCTAGTATTGGGATTAAAGGTGTATGATTCTCTAGTACTGGGATTAAAGGTGTGAGCCTCCACCACCTGGATCTGTTTCTGCATTGGTCTTGTGTCAAGGATGACCTTGAACTCACAGAGATTCATCTGCCTCTGTCTCCTAAATCCTAGGATTAAAGGTGTGTGGCACCATTGTCTGGCCTCTAGTGGCTTAGTTTTACCCTCTGATCTTCAAGCAAGCTTTATTTATTAAACCATAAGTAAAATCACTATATTAACCCACTTGTATTAAACTCATAGAAAACAGTCACCTATTCTTACTGTTTACTTGAAATTTTTATTTAATTACATTTAACTGTGCACAATTTAAAAGTTTTTGCTTATTTAAATATTTATTTCCTCTTTAATTAAATTCTTTATTTCCTTAATAAACTTCCCTTTATCCTTCATGTACTACTTATAATATTATTCTTCATACATTTTTGAATGTTACATATTCATGTAGCACTTAACTGAGAACTTGCTAGATTGTGGAAGAATGTTTCCATGTTATTAAATTTGGTTATTATTTTCCTTTTAAATTTTTTAAAATTTATGTATATGTATATAAAATTTATATATATATATATATATATATATATATATATATATATATGGGTGTCCTACTGTATGTTTCTCTGTACCACGTGTGCCTGACACCTGGAAGACAGAAGTGGATGAGGGTGTCAGGTAGCACCTTGAAACTGGTGTTACAGACAATTGTGAGCCGCCTAGTGGATGCTGGTAATTGACACTATAGCCTCGAACAGCACGTGCTTTTAACTGCTGAGCCATCTCTCCAACCTTTCTTTAAAAATGTTTTTAAGCCATTATCTTATCACGGTGCCCAAACTAGCGTTACCTCACTATGTAGCCTGGGATGGCCTTGAACCATACAGATACTATAATTGTAAGCATAGCCCACCATGCCTGGCTCTGTTCTTTCCATATGGATTGTCCCTTATATCTTTTCTAGTTACTGTCTTTCTCTATATTATGTAGTTATTAACGTAATACCACAGAATGGGGATTATTTCTCCTGGACTTAAGGCTAGACTTTCTGCTAAGTTCAATGATATCACAGCTGTTACAACTAACTTTCTTACATTCATTTACCACCTCCATGCAGAATTATTGACAAGCCAGATCAGCACAAAAGGTTGAAAAAACACAGTATGAAATATAGAATACAAAATGTGGATATTAAAATAGTGGCCGGTAAAGTTTTAGACCACTGTAAGTAGATGCTATAAATGAGCATGTCATTAGCCTTTAAAAATCAGGAAAGAGGGTATATTTTTATGAAAATTTGTATTTTTAAAATGACTCAAAGCACCTAAACAATTTACTAGACCAGTTATAACCACAAAAGAAAACAGTCCACCATGTGTCTAGACAGGCATTAGGTTCAGAGAATTTTTGAATTCTTTAGCTATGAATATATGATAGAACACAGAAAGGGGGGTCTTCTTAAATCATTTTACAAAGTTTCTGACCATTTAGAGACACTAACCAGGTAGCAGAATCGCTCACACCTACCTCCAGACTCATTTAGCACGTGCGCATAGAGACGCCTGCACAGAAAGAGCAGGAAGGCGTGTGCTGAGAAGAAAGCGTGCCGCCGAGGAAGCTGAGGAGCAGGTTTTGTGTTTTCCTTTGAAAATGTTAATTGTAAGAATATTTTCCAGGAAAAATATGCATGTATTTTAAAGAAATCTTGTCCATTTTTTTCTTCATAGCATTTTCTTAAAGTATTTCATTCTTTGATTTTGGCTCATAATTAAAGGATTTGTGTCAATTTAGTCAACAAATTGTCCATTTTCTCTGGTTCCAACTCAAAAGTTTCTTTCCTAAGGTGACTTCTGCATGAAAACACGAAAATCAATTGGTTCTCTAGATATATTTAAGAGCTTGCCAATATTGACCCAAATGCATGAAGACTTGACTTGTGATATATAGATGGTTAAATTTTAAAGAAAGCTTTGAAACAGTTTATTTTTATCTTTAATGTAATCTTTATCTTACGTCAGCTCCTTTTATAGGCATTTTATTATCTGATATGACCTGGAATTTTCTTTAAACCAAGAGCACAAGGGAAGTTGTGCCTATGTCCTTGCATTATGGTCCTAGAAAGTGGAAACTGTAGTCATGGAAGTCTTTTCAAAACAAAACAAAACAAAAATGACAGATGCTAAAGATTATCATGGCTAAGTGGTTCTTTCAAATTCATGAAGAAGGGATCCCATTTAGTCAAGTCAAAAATAAGGATAAACTCTTCAAACTGTGAGACTGGCACTGGTCTACCTTGTATGACGTATTAAAAATACTCTGTTCACTCATAGATTGGTCGCCTCCAAGATCTGGTAAGGAAAAGTGAACAAGGTCTTGGCTCAGCTGAAGGACTCATTGCTAGTCTTCAGGACTCCCAAGAGAGGCTTCAGAGTGAACTGGACCTGACGAAAGGCAGGCTAAAAGAGACCAAGGAGGCCCTATTAAATGTTGAGGTAATTGCTTATTTCTACTGTAATCTAAATGTCTAAATATAAAAATATATCTGGACTGCTTTGCTTAAAGCCTATGTAAGCACCCTTGTATATAATTAGTATATTAGTTCCCAGGAACCCCACTAAAAAGTAACAAATGCTGTGACTTGAGCCCAACTGAAATGGGTCATCTCTTTGTTCTAGAGCTGGAAACCTACGATGAATTCTTTTGTATCTAAGAGGGAACCTTTCCCTTCCTTGCAGCTTGTTGTAGCCCCAGAGAGTGTCCCACATTTAGTAACATCATTTCTGTCTCCTCCTGTCTCCACATTATCATCTTAGAAGTGTGCTAGTCATACTGGATTAAGGGCTCAGTTGCTCCCATGTGGGCTCATTTCAAGCAAATAAAACTGCATGGGCGCTCTTTCCAAATAAGTTTGCATCCTGAGGAAGACAGAGTGTAAGGGCTGAGATTTCAGGGAGGCTTTTTACGGACACAGTTAAATCCTGGATAATTAGTGTGTGTAAGGTTTTTTCCTGGTTAAAGCTGGAACTTTCAAGTATAGCAAACAAGAGTTCTCTGTGATTTACAGGTCACGGAAGTCCCTGCCTTTCCTCTCCCTCTCCTGGAAAGTATAGCAGAATTTCAGGACCTATAAAATTGGGCAGACTCTAGATGAGGGTTTTTCATATCCTCTCTGTGTGATGATCTGGAGTGTGGGCTCCAGAGTCAGGCGGGTCTGGTCTGTCCTGTGAATTCTGTGTCTACCATTCTGTGTGGGCAGAGATACATTTCCTCCTTGACATTTCAGTAAGGCATAGAGCAGCATAATAATACTTTTCATATCACAGTTATAATAATTAAAAAGATAAGCTGTGTACCGTACAGTGCTCAACAAACTGTAAACACTCGGTATTGGTTTTAGTACTAATATTAGCTTTTAGCTTAAAACTGGTGACACTTCAAGGTGTATTACCTGATGCACCATCTATACTGTGTGTATATGATTCTATTCATGTTTTATCTAGGGAATAATTGAGTGTACTTTGAATATCAATTGCATTTCATTTTTGAATCATTTTCAGATAGATGGCTTCTGTTTACCTTTCTCTAGTGGCTATATGATACAACAGTGCTAATATGATGAAGAGTAAGTCTGGATTTAGAGTTACTGTAATATTCAATATAGTTAATGTATGCGATGCCAAGCATTACATATAATATCAGTGGTAGCAGTCGTCCACATAAGGCTGAATAGAATGGCTAATTCATATTAAGAGGCGTTTTGTACATTGGCAAAAGTAAAAGGAAGAAGGTATTTTAAATTGGTAAATCTTTTGCATTGAAAGTCACACATGACGTGTGTGTGTATTTGTGTGTGTGTGTGTGTGTGTGTGTGTGTGTATTTATATGGTACCTCATCTTGATATATACCCCATTCCTAATTTTGGTGTATTTCATCCTATAACTGCAGCCTCAGGGGATCTGATACCTATGAGGGCATCTGAATTCACGTGCCCACACACTTAATTAAAAATAAATATTAATGCAGAATTTCTTTAAATAAGAAATACTTTAAGAAATTCTCTGCTATTTAATATTACCTTCTGTGGAAAAAATGGTCCCTAGAGGCTGAGCAGTATTCCAGAACAGTACCTGAATTCAGGTTCTAGTAGTTACCTTTTGCTGGCTAAGTGAGCCGAGTTGAAAGGGAATTTCAATATTGACTTTTTTTTTTGTCGTTAATCTGAATACAACTTTTAAAACTGTCTATCCTGTACTGTCAGCCAGAGAGGTGTCCAGAAATGCCCATCACAGTGACCGAAGGATAGGTTGCCACCGACCATCTCATTCCATTGAGCAGCCACAGCACTGACAGTGGTCTGTAGTTGCGGGGTTTTGTCAGGTGGTCACCTATAAGCCCCAGCTCCAGGGAATCAATCTGCAAGGATTTCCTATGTATCATGTCAGTATCTGAGCATTAAGCTCATGGCCTGTGGCTTAAGTTACATAAGAAAATATCCAGTAAACTTAAATTCCTCGTAATTCCTTAATCATATTAATGGTATACTGATGTAATGATTAGGCTTTAGACAAATGACCTGGTTTTGAATATGAATGCGAATTAACTTCAGGAATGAGGAACATGGCTATATGATGTATGTTCGTGGCTAAAAAAATAGCTTTAATTATATAAGTTTAAACTGTTTAAATAATATAAGCTTTGATTTTAAAAATGAGGAAAGAACAATTAAAATATAGGATGTGTTCCGCCTATTCAGTGGAAGTGTCTTGACTAGTTCTCCTAGCTAGTGTTATCAACGGCTCCTGTAAGGTCTGCATCAGTGTACTCTCCTGCGGCAGCAGTGCCTGGGCTTGTGGGAACCAGACCTCATTCATGTTTCTGTTCTGCAGGCTGAGCTAGAACAAGAGAGGCACCAGCATGAACAAACACTTGCTGCCATGAAGGAAGAAGAGAAGCTGAGGGTGGACAGGATGGCCCATGACCTAGAGATAAAGTGGACTGAAAATCTCAGGTACCCGGGGCTCTTCAATGCAGTTTTACCGGGACAGAGGAGAGGGAAGTGTCCCTGTTGTAGGCTCCTCATTACAGATGTACTAGGGTGTTTTAGGTTAATTTTTCTCATGATTAAATGCAGGGAAAATACAGGACTTTTTTTGTTTGTTTGAATTCAAATTTACTCTTTAAATTTAATTTTCTTGAAAAAATATTATATATATATATATATATATATATAGAGAGAGAGAGAGAGAGAGAGAGAGAGAACTATCCTGAAATTAGAAGACTCATTTATTCTCATGCCTATTCTGCCAATGGTAGATTGATAAGTGGTCTTGTGGTTAGTTTATTGGTTTCCTGAAAGATAGCCTGGTGACACGGACTCGCAGAGGTGACAGTGAAATGAGCTTTTAGAAACCACCGTGAACCACTCAGAGGATGTTGATCGAGGGCAGTGACTCTCCTTACAAAGCAAATGCCTGTGTTTGTTACAGACAAGAGTGCTCTAAACTTCGCCAGGAGCTAAGGCTTCAGCACGAAGAGGACAAGAAGTCTGCGATGTCTCAACTGCTGCAGCTGAAAGAGCGAGAGAAAACTGCTGCCAGGGATTCTTGGCAGAAGAAGGTGGAAGACCTTCTAAACCAGGTAGATTACAGTCTGCACCCGCGGACGTTTGTCTCCTTGGCACTCTCCTGTCGGCTAAACAAACCTACTGCGTGTCAGTTCATTGTGTTTTGTTTTCCATAGGGCAAACTTAAACATTTTAAATGTGTAAAACCACACAGACATAGTCATATGAAACATTGTACTAAGAAATGTATTGCATGTGTGACCCTAAGTTCTGAGAAAATTTCATAATTTTTTAGTTTTTGATTTGAGCCGAACACATCAACTTTACTTGGGAAGGTCAGCTAATTTTTGAAACTGTAAAATCATTTTGTTTCTAACCCTAAGATGCCATCTGGGCAACAGAAGATGTTTATAGCAGTGTCCTGATTCCCTGAAAACATTTACCCAAGTGAGCAGTTGTGTCTGTGGTGAGGGTTTATGACTGAAGTCCTGGAAGAGTATGGCATAAACAAAGGTAGTATTTCTAGAGCTATCTTATTTCCAAAACACGAATAACTTTAATTAAAATAGTTTGTCCATTTTACTTACTTACACAACCTGGGACTTTATGAACTTTTTATACTGGTAAATCAGTAACTGAAAGGCCTGACTGTGTGCACCACCAAGTAAGGGAGATCCTGATAAAACAGTAACTAAAAGACCTGACTGTGTGCATCACCAAGCAAGGGTAGATGGCAAACTGTAAGTAATTAAATAGACTTTGTGTATATAACCAAGCAAGGGCAGAACTTAGGCATGAAACAACTCCTAATTTAGTGCTGAAAACCTATTGATATCTTAGTCTTTTAATTTCTGTTTATGATGGTGAAGAGTTTCAAAATAGAATTCAAAATAGGCTTTCTATAAGGTGATTGTTATATATACAGAAACATGCATTGCCCTCTTAGAAGTGCTTGAGGCCTGCCCATCTGTGTCTGGTTTCTATAATTTGTAATGAAGCTCAGAAAAGGTAGAGGGAGAGGGAGGGGAAGAGTGAATGAGAGGGTGTGTATGTGTTTGTGTGTGTGTGTGTGTGCGCGCGCGCGCGCATGCACGCACACATGCGCGCTTGTGAGGTCAAATCATTTGGAACCTTTGAAATAAGAACAAGCAAACAACTTTCAGTAGAGGCTGGCATCATATTTACACAGCTCACTGGTAACCTGTATACTTCTTTTACATTCTTATTTAGGGACCAGAAAGGGCAGATTTTCCTGAGTGATCTACCTCTCTCCTTCTGTCATGCTCTGCCTCTAGACAGATGTATTCGGCTCAGTTACACAATAAAATGGAAACCATCCCTAAAGTCTTTCTGATATTTTTTTAGCCAGCAAGTACTAAACACGGGGATTTTAGGGACTGAGTTTATATCAAAGAAACCTCACCACTTGCCCCACCATTTTTCTTTAAATATATCTTTATTATTTTCTATCACATGCTGTTCCTTTGTGCACACACACCACGTGCCTTGTGCATGTGTGGAGGTCAGAGGACAGCTTTCAGGACTCAGTTATCTCCTCCCACCATGTGGAGTCCAGGGATTGAACTCGTGTCGTCAGACTTGATGGCAGATACCTTTGCCTGTTGAACCATCTTGCTGGCCCTGTTTTCGTTATTCTTGTAATCTCATGTATTCAGTTCTCAGAGGTCATCCTTGTTCCTTTTTTCCTTTCTGTCCTCCTCCCTCCCTCCTTTCTTTTTTCCTTACTTTCTTCTTCTTTGTGTTTCTACAGTACTTATTCCTAAGAGGTTATTTTAATATTTTGTTTGCCCCTCTTTGTATCCCATGATTATATTTTAACTGATTTTTGTTGTTGTTGTTGTTGTTGATGATGATTGATAGTGGTGATGGTGGTGATGATGGTAGTGATGCTAATGATGATGATGGTGATGACGATGATGGTGGTGATGGTGGTGATGGTAATGATGGTGATGTTGGTGTTGATGGTGATGATGATAATGATTGATAGTAGTGGTGGTGTTGGTGATGGTGATGATGGTGGTGATGGTAATGGTGGTGTTGGTGGTAGTGATGATAGTGATGACGATGATAGTGGTTGTGATGGTGATGATGATGGTGGTGGTGGTAGTGGTGGTAGTGGTGGTGATGATGATGATTGATAGTGGTAATGGTGGTGGTTATGATGGTGGTGGTGATGATGGTGGTCGTGGTGGTGATGGTGGTGATGATGATAGTGATGACGATGATGATTGATAGTGGTGATGATGCTGGTGGTGTAGGATCTCCTTATGTTGCCTAAGCTGATCTGCAACTTTGGGCTCAAGTTCCCTTTCTCTCTCAGACCCCCAAGTGACCAGGCCTACAGTTGTGTACTAGCAGGCCAAGCTTAAGGGGTTACAGAATAGTCCAGTGCAGGCTGTACTTTCTCAAAAGCAAAACCACTAGGCTCCCATTCTGGAATAATATCTGGAAAGTTGTAAAGAAAACTCTTTACTATATTTTCTGTTCTTAACCCGGTAGTATCATCATATATTCTTTTATTTCTCTCTCAAGGCAGATTTTATTGTGGTTCCAAACTGAAGATTCATTTATTTATTTTCATTTAGGACATTAGCTGAGAAATTAAGGAAACTGAACTGACCACTCAGACATACCTATGGAATATAGGAGTAATATAAATTCTCTCAGATAATGTGGATGGAATGGCTAGAACTGGAATCCATTATTATCTGTAATTAGCCAGAGTCAGAAAGTCAAATAGCACATATTCTCACTGTGTGTGTGTGTGTGCGTGTGTGTGTGTGTGTGTGTGATGAAACTGGCAAGGGGATCTTGAGAGGAAGAGGTCTAAAGAGAGAAGGGAGTAGGAAAAATAGAGGGAGCTAGAAAACATATAGAGTGAAAGCAGAAGGGGCTCAATTTAGGGACGAAGCAGAGAGAGGAAAAGGGGAAGGCGGAAGAGGCAAGGTGTATACTATTCAAGGCATAGTGTACTTCTAAGTAATTCTCCAGCTAGTCCACACCTTCTGGAGTTCTGCTTCCTCCTGGTTTTCTGTGAATAATCAGCCTGTGGGCAGATTAAGCTGTTGATTAAATGAGGACCCTTCAAAACTCAGTTGTCTCTAAAAATGCCCTATTGTCACACCCAGAAATATGCTTTCGTTCTCCTAGGTATCTCTCAGTCCAGTCAGCTGTCATGGTTAATCATTATCCAGGGGCCCTCTCCTGAAAACGCTACAAATAATAGGATTGCAGAATTTACATGCCATCATGTTTGCAAATTACTGATAGTAAAACATTGCCCTGCTTTAACAAGGTTTAGAAGGTTTAGAAGGATGATGACTGGCTAGATAGCTCAGTAGGTAGAGGTGCTTGATACCAAACTTGAGGACCTAAGTTTGATCCTGTTACTCATCTGGTGGTAGAAGATGGGTAACAGAATCCTGCAAGTTGTCCCCTGACTCCTGCAAGAGCTCTGAGGACCCAGGCCCCCTCTTCTCACAAAATAAATAAATCGTATGTTAAGAAGAAGTTATTGAAAAACAAGGAGCAGGAATCATTTCCTAAGAGCATTGTTTTTTTATATACAATGATCTAAATTTCTAATTCGATGCAATATTTTAAGGAGATTGTTTTCACTTTTCCTCAGTCATTTGAAAGTCTGACTTATTCTCCTCCTTCGGGAGGAGAAATCATGAAGCGTGGTGCTTACATCTGCAGCCCAGCACTCCAGATGCTGAAGTAAAGTAAAGTAAACTCTGAGTTGAAGACTGTCCTGAGCCACCATGTTCAAAACAAAAAAATGAAATTTTTTTGAAACACATTACATATTTAGTAAGCTTTTAACACTGAAGCCTCTGAGTCCACTCAGTGAACTGGTGATGGCTCACCCCCCCCCCTTGAAAATTACAAAGCAACTTTAAGACCTTTGAAAATGATGAGTCTGTAGGACATCAGTTTTGTTGGTATGGATTATAGAATTATGGTATGGATTATATTTCACATAGAAGCTCTTAGTTTGTACAGTGTCCTTAGGCGGGCACTTGCAGTTTGGCTTGTATTCAGTAACAGATGACCACAGACCACATCCTTAATAAACAGTGGAGCTTGGTTTCTGATCGCTGCGAAGGCTAGGAAGTCCAAAGTTCAAGGTTTCTGCACCTTTAGCCTGGCCAGGGCCTACTGGCTTTCTCTCACTGCATCCTCACACAGTGGAAGGGCCAAAGGATCCACTTCCTAATTAATACTACGCCATGGGAGGTTAGGGTTTCACCATCTCTGCTCCCCAGTATTCATGCCATCCTCACATGCAGAATATACTCATTACTTCCCAAAATCCTCCCAAAATTCTATCTCATTCCAGTGTCAACCCAAAGGCGAATTGTGCTCCTGCCGCAAAGCTGTGGAGCTGATTAGTCAGCTTCTCGCACGCTAACAAAATATCTATCACAATGATAAAGTGTGAAGTTTATTTTGACTCGCAGCTGATGGAGGAAGGTCATTGGCTAATAAAGGAACTGCCCTGGCCCATTTTATTGGTTAGAGGATAGGTGGGAGGAGAAAACAGGACAGAACGCTGGGAGGAAGAGGAAGTGAGGTCAGAGACTCGAAAGCTCTCCTCTCAGCAGCAGACGCCTGAGAGAGACGCCATGCCCTGCTCCTGGGATGAAGCTCGACCCAGGATGGACTAGGCTAGAATCTTCCCGGTAAGACCGGTGCTCACCGATTATTAGAGATGGGTTGATCGGGATATCAGAATTAGCCAGTAAGGGCTAGGGCAGAAGGGCCAAGCAGTGATTAAATGAATACAGTTTGTGTGTTGTTATTTCAGAGCATAAGCTAGCCGGGCAGGCGGCCGGGGTGCTGGGAACGAAGCCCTGCCGCCCCATTACTACACGCAGCTTTAGAGATTTCAGCCCATTGCTGAGGAGACTGGTAAGGCTTCTGGTGTGGTGCCAGGCTGTCAGTGGTTGAAAGCGTGTCATAGAGGAATCTTCAGGGCCGGAAGACCGGAAATGAGAAAAGAGTTCGAGTCCTATCCTTTCCCCTTCAAGGGCTTGTCTCCAGTGATACAAGGCTCTTTACTCAACCACTTCTCTCAGAAACTTCACCACCTCCTAGGGGTACCACCTCCAGGAGCATCACCTTAAGAGCCAAGTCTTTATCGCATGGATTTTCAGGAGACATTTACCATCTACGCCATAGCACTAAGTAGGTTTTAAGCATCCCACCTACAAATATGGGAAAGGAAGAATATAGGCATTCCATTTCCCAAAGTGAGAAATAAAACAGGAAGGAATGATTTCAAGCTGCAAGGCAGATGCATAGAGTGAGATCTAAGGACTTGAGAGCCGCCTCTCTACGCCTCTGCCCTCTGGTGCCACTGTAGCTAAAGTCCCAGTCTCCAGAGACAGTCGGTTAGCAGTCCTGGCCCTAAAGCTTTGGAACCCCACCACCAGATTTCGGAGTCTTGGCTTGCTAGCCGTGAGGCACTGGGTTTCTCCTTGAGAAACCAAACACAGATGGTTCACTTTCAGGGCCTTCCTTCCTTCCTTCCTTCCTTCCTTCCTTCCTTCCTTCTTTCCTTCCTTCCTTCCTTCCTCCCTCCCTCCCTCCCTCCCTTCCTCTCTCCCTCCCTTCCTTCCTCTCTCCCTCCCTCTCTTCCCCTCCACTTTTTCCTCCTCATCCTTCTCCAGTTTCTTTGCTCAAATTCTATTCTTTATTCTCCTCATGGACACATACAGACAGATGCCTTCAGCAAAGGTTGTGGCCTCTTTGTGTGAAGGATTTCCTTTCCTCCAGTTTTCAGCACTCTAGTCGTCTTTTCCACCTGAGGCCTTTTCCAGATTGCTTTACTGTCCTTGTTTCTACCAACCTTTTATTTTCCCAGCATTCCTTTAGTGTTTCCTAAGATGACTGGCACTTTTCTGCACCTGTCCACTTTCTTTCTGCGCCCCACCACTAGGCCCACACTAATACAGGCTTCTCAGTACCTTATCCTAAACCACTTCCACATTTCTAGGTTAGAACAGCACCCTCACTTCTTGGTGCCAATAGTCCTGGGTTAGCCTGGGCTATACTGAAGGAATGCTGTAGATGTTAGCTTTTGAATGTAAACATTTCTCACAGCTCAGAAAGCTGGGACATTCAACTTCAAGGAGCTAGCTTCCTGGTTTGTAGACAGCCACTATCTGCCGGTGCTCCAGTGGAAGGCACAGGAAGCCCTCTGGGGAAACTTATATGAGTACACTATCTACTAATGAAAATGTTGTCCCTATGACCTAATCCCTGCCCAAGGTTCTGCTTTGTAACACTATCCCATTGAATGTTGGGATATCAGCAGAGGAGTGTGTGGGTTGGGAACACAAACATATAGTCTATAGTTTTTGAAGATCCCCAGCTTGTCTTGAGATGTATATAGCTCTGTATGTCAGTGATCTTCGATGTCAAATCCAATCTTTCACCCTTCAACTCTAGGAAACTGTGTTCTGGAATATCTTAGCCTTCCTGGCATAGTCAGCCTTGTGAAAACATGTTGTTTTATGTGTATGACTATTTTGCTGTGCATGTAGGTGTGTATACCATGTGTGTGCTTCTACCATCAGAGTCCCTAAGAGGGTGGGCATCAGATTCCCTGGAATTGGAGGTACAAATAATTGAAAACTATTATGTGAGTTTGGGGACCTGAACCTGGGTCCTCTGTAAAAGCAGCAAGTGTGCTTACCCTATGAGCCAGATCTCTAGCCTCGTAGTCAACCTTTTGACATTAGAAAACATTGGAGTTCATGAAGCTAATGTTAGAACAGAGAATTTAAAAGAAATAAAAACCATCTCTTGCCAGGCGGTGGTGGCGCACGCCTTTAATACCAGCACTCAGGAGGCAGAGGCAGGCGGATCTCTGGGAGTTTGAGGCCAGCCTGGTCTACAAGAGCTAGTTCTGGGACAGGAACCAAAGCTACAGAGAAACCCTGTCTCGAAAAACCAAAAAAAAAAAAAAGATCATCTCTTGTTTCCCTATCTCAACACTTATCTCAAGGCAGTTGTAATACAAAACAACCAGGCCCTTTTGTGGTTTTCCTCTATTCCTTGGAGGACATATGCCCTGCAGCCGTGTGTGTGTGTGTGTGTGTGTGTGTGTGTGTGTGTGTGTGTGCAGCACTTGAGTAGCTAGGAGAGCATTAGAGCGTCAGTAGCCCTGTGCCCTCTGTGCCTTCCGGCAGCCATCACCGTTTACACTGGCCTCGGTTCTCACCCCCTCTCCTTAAGAATCCCGTAGAGGTAAGTAGACCGACCCCCAGATCTATCGGATCATTTTAGGGACTGTGTTCAGATCATTTACACCGTGTCTTGAATTTCTTAAATCAAATTTCTTCTCAGAACTGTTTTTTGTGAGCATGTTCTAGTTACTGTTCAATGTTTCACCCTCCTTTTTGAATCTCTCTTTCTCTCACTTGGTTGGTTTCTGAACATTCCCCTTTCTTCTGTGATCTTTTTTTCATAGCGGCACTCTCTGGGTGAAGCTTTGCATAAATCTATCAACAATGTAAGTGAGCGGCACTTACAGTTTGTGCACAAGGCATGTGCTACCTTTAATTTTGCGTAATAACACTGCTTTGAAGCTTTAACTTATACCAAAATACATTATGGCATTCAATAAGATTTTTTTGCATATGGGTACTAATAATGTCTAACTTTCAACCATTCATTCGTGTGTTGTTGTGCATACATCTACCATATTGTCTTACTAAGTGTTTTAGGATGAAGCTAAGCTAGATTTTCGTCTTATGCATAAAATTCATTAATGTTAACCTTGAAAGGTATGGTGATATTCTTGAAAAGTATTAGCTAATTGATTATCATTAACTGCAAATAAATGCAATTTTTTTGAGTTAAAAGTTTATTTTTGGAAAATGTATCAATAGACTCTACTCAATAAGAGCAAGCATTTGAAATTTCATAATAGCTAAATGTGTTTTATATTTTAATGTCCTAGTTTTCAACACATGAAAAGCAAAATTATGTAAATCCCCTCCCTAAGACTTAGAAAAAGTATTGTCTTTTACTTTTGTGTAGACACACATGTACAAAAATTAAGCTTCAAGATATTATTCCGTGTTTCCACTCAGAAATAATTTGTACATGAAGGAAAACAATAAGATTTATTTTCATACCAAATGCATTACTACCTTATCCTTCATGATAAGATTACAGAGTTGAGTATCTCTGAATCAGTTCCTTGGTTCCTCGATATCTCAGGCAGAGGTCCACACACTTCTCTTGGAAAATGGCTATTGTTGGATTTTTCTTTCCTCAGGTTGTAGAGAATGAAAATATTGCAGTTGGTGCTGTCTCTGCTGCTGTTCTGTGAGACGCCCAACCCTGGAGTGTCAGACAGGGCCGCAGCTGTCCTCCAGTGCACTTAGAAACAGAATGTAGCCTGTCCGTGCCTCCCCAGGCAGATCAAAGTTCGAGTTTAGATGTGTCCTGTGAAACGCTAATAGTCTCAATTTCTACTACCTGAGAAAGGAAAGTTTTACTTGCTTTTCATAGTCAACTTTTTTTCAACATAAAAAGCAGTTGAAAAATAACTGTGATCAGCAGAATTTTCTTCATATGTTTTAAAATAAGTAACAGATGATTATCTCAATTTTGATAAAGCTACATTAAGATATTGTTAACAATAAAATCTCATAACATGGAATAAGAATTTTGACTTGATCATTTCAGTTTGGGCTCTACTAATATCAATCCATATTTTTTGACATATTTATTGATTGGGATAGAAATAATAAACCAGATGTGATTGTTTTCTAAATGAATCACATTGTACTTTAGAATATTTGTGAAGACATAACTATTCCTCTTAGTGGTTAAAAAGGTACTAATTAAGTAAAAATCCACTCACTGACTTATATTATCAGACATTATTTTAAGCGTATATCGGTAACTCAATGGGAATGTCTTTATACATTCTCTAAGTAAAAAAATAGCATGAAATGTTATTAACACAAATAATCCTCATTATGTTTAACCCTCTATGTGACATCATGGTTGTCACTGGTCACCTTTCACCCTCATCACCCATAACCAAGATGAGCTGTTAGCATACAACATTGGGCAGGCTGGCATTGTCACCCACCATATGCTGGCCTGGCTTCCCAAGTTCCTTTCTTAGCAAGAATCAGCCTCTCTGTAGGTCATCCTTAAAAAAAAAAAAAATGAGTGATTCTTAAAACGTCCTATAGATGCTTTCTAGTTTGTTTTAGCTTAAGATTGAGGCAGTAACTGGGAGTGTATTTTATAGTATCTGCAGGAAAATAAGAAGTGTCGCTGTGGCTCTTAGTTGCTAGGTTTAGTTTAGGATTTTCCAAGGAAACCCTTTCTTGGAATTGCCAAGTGAAAGTTTTTCAGAGTTACCATAATTTCATGACCTGAAATATACTTTTTTAAAATATGTTTTAACTGAAATATTTATTACTTTCCCTTCTCCCTGCATCCTTTAATAATAGCAAATTAGTAGTCGTTAAGAAATAATTAACTGATTAACTGTCTCAGTACCTTCCATCACTGTTCATGGAAATGTATCTAAGTCATTGACATACTAAAAATTATTCTGACTGTTCTCTACCAGGCCTAAGTTAGCAGGTTTCAGCGTTGCTAGTATTTGAAAGTATGGTACTGTATACCTTACAATTAAGCTGATATGACTTTCAACAAGTTATGTATTGGTGGTAAAAGAGGGGCCTGTGTTCTTCAAGATGGCGGCATGACTTAATCCCAGCAGAATCTGACAGTTCTGCTAACTGACATTGAAGAAAGGGGGAAGAGCAAGGCATATGACTGCTTGGGGCGGGGCATTTAAAACACTAGCAAGGTCTTTGGCATGCCTGTAATTTTAGCACATTACATTAATAGAAGCAGAAAGATCAGGAGTTCCAGGCCATCACCCAAGATATAGGAGACCCTGTTATAATAATAACAGTTTTGACAATAAAAAAGAGTGGGGAGAAAAACATCTGTGTATGTCAGTCCTGAATCTGTAAATCCAAGACCAGCCTAGGTAATATGAGACCCTGGCTCATTAACTACAGACAGAACAAAAATAATGAGTCATAGCTGAATACCATCAATACCTTATGAATGTCATTTTGGAAGGAAGAAAAATAAAAACATAAACTCACCATTCTCTCTAAAGGGAAAGTCATTAACATTCTCAAATGAAGCCCGGTGCTCTCATTCTGAGGAGGCCACCCACAGCTGGCCCTGGGAATGCGACGTTGTCAACCCCTGCAGTTGGCACCCCTTCAACACTCCGTAACCAAAGTGGTGTTCTCTTTTCCTCCAACACATGTGGGATGTATGTCCCCATCAGCAGCTTCAAACAGTAAATACTAAACTGTTGGGTTTTTTTAAAGTATGTCCTATGTCCACCTAGAAATTGTGATATATAAAATATAAATCAGTATTTTACCAGATAAGTTATCTATATTTGATGACCACTGTCCACTGGTACACGACAGACTTTTCTATGTAACCAAATAGGTCATTGTACTGAGACAGACCTAGATCAGGTTCTTTACCATAGAGCAACATCTCCAGCCAGAGATTTATTTGATGCGCTCTAGAGTGTGTACCGTATGCTGTGCACACTTAGACTCCAGTAGTTAGGAGCAAACCTGTTGGTCAACCTGGAGCCAATTCTGCTGTGCTGAGCCAGAGTCTCAGGGCAGCAGGAGAGATCACTGTGAGACAGAGCTAAGCTTGATCGTCATTCTCATCTCTCAGCATGAGATGAGAATGTCTCATGCTGTCTTGGGGGCAGGTTGCTTGTGTACATTGTATGTTCCTTAATTCCTGTAAAAAGATTGAAGAAGGGGAAAAACTAATATTGCATTAAAAAAAAGAAAACCAAAAAACGTAGGTTAATATTGTACCCGCGTTGGGATCCTGTCACACCAGGCACCCTCAATTCGAAGTGTTTGCTTTTAGAGTTAACGATACAATCTGCACATAGTTGAATACTAATAAGGTACTAAATGCCTAGATTAGCTCAAGTATTTATGTTGACCAGTTTCAACACACACATGGTAAAGGCCCAGGGCCTGTGCGAAAGGCTCCACCGAGAGGTGAGATGACGTCTCCCATATTTAAAACAAAAAGGACATGTATTTTAATGTTTTCTTTTTGACATCTCTACAAAATTCTGTCTTTAATGCCATATTTTCTAAAAGAGAGCGAAACCTTTATTTTCAGAAAGTATTGCTAAAGAGTGGAGGTCAGAGGAAGGCACCTACTCAATGTGCAGTGAAACTTGTTAAATGGTTGCTAGAGAGTGTGTGTTACTTCCTTACAGTACACCTGCATAGACTACACCTGCATAGACTACACCTGCATACACTACGCCTGCATACACTACGCCTGCACAGACTGCACCTGCATAGGTTACATCTACATAGACAACACCTATAGACTACACCTACATAGACTGGTGAGAGATTTTAAAATAATGATTCATTATTTGAAAATAAAGATTCTCATGTTTGTTTTTAAATGGGACTGGCAAGATGGCCTAGCAGCTAAGATCCCTGGTTGCTGTTCCAGAGGACTTGGGTTCAGTTTCTAGCACCCACGTGGCAGCTCACAGCCTCCCTGTAACTCCAGTTCCAGGGGACTCCTCTGGCCTCTGCAGTGCTACATCATGTGGTCCCCAGACAGACGTGCAGACAGAACACCCATACGCATAAAAATAATTTTTTTGAAAAGGCGAGGGATAAAATGTCCAAAAGTTTATCACATACAAAGACACAAATACCATACATACAGTCCTTAACTTGAGTATAGTATATAATTCAAAGCAGCTGCTGTTTCTCCTTCACTGTTCAACGTGTCTTTCTAAATATTCTGTGTCAAGGCTGTCCAAACATTTAATGCAGACTCCTTCCGTGTTGTATTTTGAATCAATGCTGTTTGATATCAATATGTATGTATAAACTATATTAAAGTCAGGTGCTTAAATAATGTCTAGAAAGCATTAGTTCATGTTACACTGCTTTGCTCATGATCTGTTCTTTTCAATGGTATGCAATCTTCCCGCTAAATAAAGGCTGACTTATTTCCTGCTGCCCTACTAATGTGTTCACTGACAGCGCTGTGTTGCATGATAAAGCTTTCTGCATATAATTCACATTACCGCACTGAGCATGAGTGCAAAGACTTTGGAGTTTGTGTGCTTCCAAAGTTCAGAGAACAAGACAAGTATACTTGACTACTAAGCTGCATGGTGCTTTCTACATACAGTGTCTGTTGCTTCCTAGAGTGTAGATTCAGATTCAGAAAATAATACTTTGGAGTTCTCTTAAGGTAAAGTATATTACATTGTAATATGTTAAAGCTGGAGAAAGTTTAAACTGTTTATATTTTAAATGCATAATTATATTACTGTGCCAATTCTCTTATTTTAATGTTTTTCCTCATAAGCCTCACCTTTAAATAGTTTAAGCATAAGTCGATCTATAGTCAGATTAATAAAATTTGATGCAGTTGTGGTTCATGGGAGGCAATTTACATTAAAAGTAGGTATCACACCAATAAAACACACACAAGGCCAAGTGATTGGGTAGCTTCTTACTAACCCTAAGCATTGAGAGCAGCAGTTCTCAGCCTGTGGGTCCAGACCCACCTGCAGATGAGATATTTATATTAAGATTCATAATAGTAACAAAATTACAGTTATGAAATAACAACAAAATTTTAAGGTTGGGGTCACCACAACATGAGGCGCTGTATTAAAGGGCCACAGCATTAGGAAGGTTGAGAACCACTGCCTTAGAGGATACAGTCTGGGCCAATGACCACCCCAAAACCAAACTTCATGTGTACTCTTTCTGGATGAACACAGGCTGTGCCAGGGCATCAGCTTGGAAAGGAAAATGTTCATTAGGTTTTAGTTCCCACTTGGCTAGGTGCCAAGGGAGAGCTTTGAGAAGAATATCAATTAAAATTGTACAGGTGACACACACTGTCCCCACCTTTCCCATATGCGGTCTAACGAGTTAATACCAGAGAAACATAAGGCCGTCTCCAGGAGACCCATCCTGATGCTGAGACCCGTACTGAGCCTGTAAGAGAGGGACTCTGTGCCTCTTCTCTCTCTGCCCAGCTGGCCGGGCAGAGAATGCCCGTCAATTACAGACCATTGTTCCCAGTCCTTTTTCCTGCTGTTGCCTGTTATGACGTCACTTTTCCTTCTGGGTTCTCCTTAATGTTTTTTTCATCCTGATGCCCCTTGCATAAAATTGTGAGCACTAAATTATAATCCCGTCTCACATCATGGCGTTCTCGGTTGCTGTGCCTTCTTAATGAAGTCAGCCATGTGAGGTGTTCACACCCACCATCTCTGCACTTAGTGGATTGCCATAAATTCCAGGCTAGCATGGGCTACAGAGTCAGTCACATTCACAGGTCCTCCCTTGACCCCCAATCTGTAAAATCTCTGAAACGTACCATTGCATAAAGGTTAATAATTTGCAAGACTCCAACAGGTAAAACAGCTCCTTTGAAAACACACAATGACAGCTCAAACATCTGCGTCAGCAGGGCTTGCTGTTTCCTTGATGTCACATGCTGACTGTTCCAACTAGTCCTGGTTTATATCTTTGTAACTTTGTCCCAAACCTGTCTGTGTAGCAATGTTGCCGCCAAGCTCACTGCAGTGGCTAATTCCTGGGGCTTTTAGCCTTCCTGTTTGCCAGGGAGTGGGTCTTCCCTCATGGCTCCCTTTATGTCGCTGGTGAGTCCCCAGTCTGTCTTCTTTCTCCCCTGCTTTCCTTGTGAGACATGTCAAGTGGCCAGTTCCTGCCACCAGCACATCAAAGGAAAATGGTTGCCAATGAAAGAGAAAGACAGTGTAGGGCGTCTCCTCTATTGGCTTTGGAGCCCACAGACGCTGGCTTAGGTGTGAGAGAATGGTGTCTTAAGCTGTTTATGGGGTGTATTTTACAACTTTTTATCTGAACTCTAAATTCCTCTCCTCTTCAGACTTCTTGTAGAGTAAGGTTGATCTACACCATTTCAGGTTAGAATAACCTGTGGATAAGAACAGAAATAGATGAAATTAAACCATTTCACCAGCTGCATGTATTTATGTGTACAGAATACACATTTATCTATACAGCCAGAGATGATGCTTGACATATTAAGGCTGATGTTTTTTGTTGACAAACTCCACTTAAGGGGGTTGCGTGGTTAGAGGGAGCTTACTGCTTTCCTGGAATTGGGGCACAGCAGTCATGCCTGGTAGCTTCCAGCTGCCTATGACGTCAGCTCCAGGAGGTAGGCTCTGATGTCGCCCTCCAGCCTCTGTGGGCACCCTCACCAAGCCTGGTGTACACCAGCACGAGCACATACACGCCAAATAAGTAAATAACAAACTCACAAATCCTTCCTAAGAGCAGGTCTCCAGTCCTCAAACGCTCCCAGCTAACAATCACTGCCCACTCCCTGTGAAGTAACTGAAAGTGTGTGGAAGCCCCAGTTCCCTCCCCGTGGCGAGAGTAGATGCTAATAGAGGAGGAGGAGGACTTCATTCCAAACCCACAGCCCTAACCACTGCACATCTGCCTCAGAGAAGCCATTTCTCCTTCAGTGCTGCCTCCTCAGAGCAGCTTCGCCTGAGAACAGTGTTCATTGCCTCCTGCTCCCATTCATATAAATGATAAAGGTATTCCAGAAAAGGTGTACACTTGATTTCTAGACTTGTGCTACAAATGGCTTATATTATAAGCAATATAATTAGGCTGTTTTCAAGGTACCTTCTGAAAACAGACTTAAACTAGCCATAAAGCGAGATTAGATTTTTGGACTGGCGAGACGGCTCAGCACATAGTATCTTTGGTTAAGCCTGGCAACTTGAGTTCATTTCCCAGAACCCGAAAGGTAGAAGGAAAGATCCAACTCCATGCTGCTTTCCTGCGACATGCCCACACCATATACGCATCCAGTAATGATGAAGCTTTGAATTAGGCTTTTATTGTAGAACATTTTAACTAAACAAGGTTATTTCCTAAGATCCATTTGACCCGCTCATTCCCTTTGGATTGGTAGTCCGTGAAGTCCACCTTGTGCTTAGTCTCTGTTGTGTGTCTTTCTGGTGTAGATCTCCCTGCTCAAGCAGAACCTGGAGCTGCAGCTTTGCCAGTCACAGACATCTCTGCAGCAGCTGCAGGCGCAGTTCACACAAGAGCGCCAGCGACTCACACAGGAGCTGGAGGAGCTGGAGGAGCAGCATCAGCAGAGACACAAGTCCCTCAAAGAAGCACATGTGCTCGCCTTCCAAACCATGGAAGAAGAGAAGGAAAAGGAACAAAGGGTAAGGTTCCTGGGAAACACGTTCAAAGATTGTCTCCGAGCTTGATGTAGCCCTTAGATTCTTTTTAATGGTTTGTAGGAGCACAGTGTGGGCCTAACATTTGAAGATGAAGTGGGATCGGCCAGCCTTCAGATAATTAAGAATTCCAGTTTTTCTCTTTCTTCTTTTCTTTCTCTTTTAAAATGTTACATGTTGTTTTTATTGAAATGTTCTTCAGAATGTGACTTCCTATAGGAGTCACAGTTCGTAAACACACACTGATTGTACATGATCGCAGATGGATTAGAGTTTATCATAACACCAAGCTAAGCTCATCTTCTGCTTCATAACAGTTAGCAGTTGTGATATAGATTCAGTGACTGTTCTACTCATAGTGTATTATCATAACAGTCTTTCGTCAAAATCTTTTGAGACTGAGTCTCATGTGCCCAGGCTAGCCCTGAACTCACTATGTAGCCCAGGCTGACTTTGAACTCCTGACCCTTCTGACTCAGCCTCCTCAGTGCTAGGATTCTAGGTGTGTGTCACTACACTCAGACTTTTATCAAACTTGAAATTTGTTTTCACCTCTGTGCCCACAAAAAAGAAATGGACCCAAAGGATATGTAGGTTTTGTTTTTTTTTTTAATCTTGGGTTTTTCCCTTACATTCTTTTTTCTCTTTGTAAAAAACAAATCATAATGAAATGAAATTTTAAAATGGTTTAAAATTTCCTCATAATAGAACCCCACAGCTAATATAAAAAATTATAACTACAGTAAACTTAAAAGTGATTTAAATCAAATGACTATATTATTAGATTATTATCACAGTGTTTATCTTTTACTTTGTGTGTGAGCACACACACATGTGTACATCTGCATGGATGTATGTAGAGACCAGATATTGAAGACAAAATAGGTGTCTTCCATTACTGCTCTCCTGTTTTGTTGGTTTTGTTTTAAGGGGACAGGCGTTTGAATGAGCCGGGAGCACACTCATTAGCTAAACTGGCCCATAAGCTCCAGGGATTTTTCTGCTCTGCCTCCCAGGACTGGAATAACAGCTGTGCACTGACACCCAGAACTGGGATTACAACTGTGCACTGACACCCAAGGCTGTGATTACAGCTGTGCAGTGACACCCAGGGCTGTGATTACAGCTGTGCAGTGACACCCAGGGCTGGGATTACAGCTGTGCACTGACACTCAGGGCTGGGATTACAGCTGTGCACTGACACCCAGGACTGGGATTACAGCTGTGCACTGACACCCAGGGCTGGGATTACAGCTGTGCACTGACACCCAGGGCTGGGATTACAGCTGTGCACTGACACCCAGGGCTGGGATTACAGCTGTGCACTGACACCCAGGGCTGGGATTAAAGCTGTGCACTGACACCCAGGGCTGGGATTACAGCTGTGCACTACACCCAGGACTGGGATTACAGCTGTGCACTGACACCCAGGGCTGGGATTACAGCTGTGCACTGACACCCAGGGCTGGGATTACAGCTGTGCACTGACACCCAGGGCTGGGATTACAGCTGTGCACTGACACCCAGGGCTGGGATTACAGCTGTGCACTGACACCCAGAACTGGGATTACAACTGTGCACTGACACCCAGGGCTGGGATTACAGCTGTGCACTGACACCCAGGGCTGGGACTACAGCTGTGCACTGACACCCAGGACTGGGATTACAGCTGTGCACTGACACCCAGGGCTGGGATTACAGCTGTGCACTGACACCCAGGGCTGGGATTACAGCTGTGCACTGACACCCAGGGCTGGGATTAAAGCTGTGCACTGACACCCAGGGCTGGGATTACAGCTGTGCGCTGACACCCAGGGCTGTGATTACAGCTGTGCGCTGACACCCAGGGCTGGGATTACAGCTGTGCACTGACACCCAGGACTGGGATTACAGCTGTGCACTGACACCCAGGGCTGGGATTACAGCTGTGCACTGACACCCAGGGCTGGGATTACAGCTGTGCACTGACACCCAGGGCTGGGATTACAGCTGTGCACTGACACCCAGGGCTGGGATTACAGCTGTGCACTGACACCCAGGGCTGGGATTACAGCTCTCCCCTGCCCTGCCTGTCTTTTTACATGGATGCTAGGGATCTGAATTCAGATCCAGGGCTGGGGACATGGCTCAGCAGGTAGAATATTTGCCATTCCTCCACGAGGACCAGAGTTCAGATCCTCAGAAATCATGTACAGTCATGCATAAGTTTGTTTGCATCTATAATCCCAGTGTTCTCATGGTGGGGAGTCCTTATAGAAGGACAAACCCCAGAAGCTCAGGGGCCAGCGGGTTAGCCTGCTCTGTGTGACAAAACAACATGAAACTGCTTGAAACAAGACAGATAACAAGGACCCACACCCTAAATTGTCTTCTCACCACCCCAACACACACACACACACACACACACACACACACCATGTATATCTTCAGTCACGTACATGCTTAAATACAAGCAGACGCACAAACAAACAAACAAACCTAGGTTCTTGTGCTTGCACAGCAGACGTTTTCCTCACAGAACCATCCCCCAGCCCCCGTGTTATTATATTCTCTGCTTGCATCTCCAGGTCTCTATCGCTTTGCTTCATTTTTCCAGGGAGTGGGGCGTGTGTCTGTATGTGCTCATATGGGTGTGTGCATTCACGTGTGAAGCAGGGGTCAGTGTCAGCTGTGTTCCAGGGAGTGAGACGTGTGTCTGTATGTGCTCATATGGGTGTGTGCATTCGCATGTGAAGCAGGCAGGGGTCAGTGTCAGCTGTGTTCCAGTGAGTGAGACGTGTCTGTATGTGCTCATATGGGTGTGTGCATTCGCGTGTGAAACAGGGGTCAGTGTCAGCTGTGTTCCAGGGAGTGAGACGTGTGTCTGTATGTGCTCATATGGGTGTGTGCATTCGCATGTGAAGCAGGCAGGGGTCAGTGTCAGCTGTGTTCCAGGGAGTGAGACGTGTGTCTGTATGTGCTCATATGGGTGTGTGCATTCGCGTGTGAAGCAGGGGTCAGTGTCAGCTGTGTTCCAGGGAGTGAGACGTGTGTCTGTATGTGCTCATATGGGTGTGTGCATTCGCATGTGAAGCAGGCAGGGGTCAGTGGCAGCTGTGTTCCAGGGAGTGAGACATGTGTCTGTATGTGCTCATATGGGTGTGTGCATTCGCGTGTGAAGCAGGCAGGGGTCAGTGTCAGCTGTGTTCCAGGGAGTGAGACGTGTGTCTGTATGTGCTCATATGGGTGTGTGCATTCGCATGTGAAGCAGGGGTCAGTGTCAGCTGTGTTCCAGGGAGTGAGACGTGTGTCTGTATGTGCTCATATGGGTGTGTGCATTCACGTGTGAAGCAGGGGTCAGTGTCAGCTGTGTTCCAGGGAGTGGTCCGTGTGTCTGTATGTGCTCATATGGGTGTGTGCATTCACGTGTGAAGCAGGGGTCAGTGTCAGCTGTCTTTCTGGGTTTCTCCACACACATTTTTTTTCTTAGATTGAGTTTTTCAATACTTAGAGTTTATCAATCCAGATAGACTGGCTGGCCAATGAGCGCTCAGAATCCATCTGTCTCTTTGCCCTGCCATCCTGGGGTTACAGATAGACGCTGCTATCCCTGACTCTTTGTGTGGGTACTAGAGATCCAAGTTTAAGTCGTCACGTCTGTGCCAGTGCCACTTCCACAGCACCCATGGCTCAGGTGTAAACCATTAATGTGACACCATTTGAATGTGATTCATTTTCTTTAGTTCGCTTCTTAGAGATGTATTTTTCATGTCCTTCCAATGGCCTTAGTATAACAAAGATTTTATAGAAGAGCCAGTCATGCTATCATTTCCACATTACATACAGATAAAGGCTGTTCATTAATTTTTTTATTTGGGTGCAGGCACTGGTTTAAGAAATGGTACAAATAAATTAATGTTGAATTCAACAATGATTATAGCCTTTAAAACCTTTTTTTGTGTTGACAGCTGTTAACCTTAGAGTCTTTGATATGTATAACATATTTTCGTTATATACAAAATAAGTAATTTTAGAAAAATCTTTTGCTTCAAAAAAAAAAGAAAACCTTACTTATATAGTGACCTGTAATCTATAAATCATGTCCAGAAAACCAAGGAAGTTCCTTTGGTTTAAGTAGACACAGTAGGCTGGGCATGGCGCCACATTCCGCGAATGCCTACACCCAGGAGGTAGAGGCAGGAGGAGCAGGGTCTTCATCAACTATGTAGAATGTTTGAGTTCAGACTCGGCTACATGAACACTTGTCCTCAAACCAACAAAAGCAAGAGTCAAGGAAGGCCGGGCAGCGTTGCTAACTGAATTGACTCATTGACTGTTCCTTAAGAATTGAAGTAACACATGAAATCTTAGCAGTAGTGAAATGCTACACATTTGGATTTTGAAAATCATTTAACGTAGATCTTCCGAAAAAATCAGAACTTGAAATATTTCAGCAGTCAAACTACCTCGCTCTAGGTTCTTCCCCAGTGAGACAAGCTTTATTTTACCAATATTGGAGACACTCGTGCTTTGTTTCTGGAAAGCGTTTTTCATATTGTGATAAGCAACCAAATACTAAATTATAAAACACCACTTTTCTGTTAAAGAAATGTAGCCCTAGTTAACGGCACTGTCTCTCATAAATAATTCATTTTAGAAAATACAGGAAACAAAAGCAACAAAAATTCTGTCGCAGTCAGTTTGTCTCTCCCTAGGACCTAGGGTGGTGTTTTTTCTCTTAACCACGTGTAGACTGCTGCATCCACACAGCCTTTGAAGCAGCGTGTCACGTGCAACCTGTAATAGGTGCTTTAATGTCACGGTGACAGAATTCCTGTCAGAATGTTGTATTAGCTTTTTCTTGAGAACACATGAACAAATGTCTCCTCACTCCAGGTAGGACCCGACAGGACCAAAGCAGCAAGTCTAGCTTGATGAACCAATGCAGTAAATTGGGATCACTTAAAGGAACACATACCACCAAAGCAAAATGCCCCACATCCTTGCTCCATCAGTCTTTAACCATCAGGAAAGGATCCTATGGGCCCAGAAAGGTCTTCTCCCTTCCATGAGAGAATGCTTGCAGCCTCAGCTCTGAGAGTTGCCTGCAGGACAGCCCAGCTGCTCTGACTTCAAGAGCCTGGCCATACCATGCCCGGAGAAAAGGGCTGCACAGTGCAGGAAAACCCAAGGGAGAAAACTTACTTTGGCACAGTTTCAGGTTGCAGTGAGGAGAGCTCCGCCCATCACCACAGTCCAGGAAGCAGAGTGAAAGCCATCCCTGGGCCTGAGCTACAACATCCTGAAGTCTTGTCGGTAGTGAGTTTCTGCTTCCAGGTAGACCTGCTTCCTAAAGGATCCACTCAGCTGCTCCAAAAAACACCACCAGCCAGGGAGCAGGTGATCAACCCATTAGCATTTAGAGACATCTCAGGAATAAACAAAAAGCACTTCAAGCTACTTAACCCTCAGAGAATTGCATCACACAAATACTTTATAGAAAATAGCTCTAAGAGATTTAATTAGAGCAAGGCTGCCTAAATGCCCTCCTGGTGCTTAGGCAACCCTAGCGAGGCGCAAGCTTTGTGTTCTCACTTAATGATAACCCCCTCCCCCCCCCTCCTCTCCTTTCTGGATGCACGGGATTTTTTTTCCTTAATTTTCAGTAATTTGTATCCTTAGCAACTTTAGAAAATAACTTCATCTGAAAACTGCCTGAAGCTAAAGGTTTATATTTCCAGATTCAGCAAAGTATGTTGAGCCAAACTGGTTTCATGATTAATTGTGTTCTGCCGACTTGACCCAATGAATTTGTTTTCTGGTTATAGTTACTCTGTATCTTATTTTCATGAAAATGAACTAAAACAGCTTAGCCTGCTTAAGTACTGGGCTCGCGAGCTGTTTTCTCTTTTGTTTCCTGTATCCCAGCATAAGAACTGGTCTGCTTCTCCCGTCTAGGCTCTGGAGAATCACTTACAGCAGAAGCATTCTGCAGAGCTGCAGTCACTGAAAGACGCACACCGAGAGTCCATGGAGGGCTTCCGCATGGAGATGGAGCAGGAGCTTCAGACGCTCCGCTTCGAATTAGAAGACGAAGGAAAAGCGATGCTTGGTATTGTGGGAAGGATCATAATCTTGTCGTACTGAGTGGTACAGTCTTCCATTGTAAACCTCAGCAGGAAGCATCAAGCTGTGTATTTAAATTTTGGAACATCAAGATGATGCTTCCGTGTGAAGAGGCAAGGAGAGTAGACTAGAATGGCCTCAGCTTCCTCTGCCCTCTGATAAAGCAGTGTTCATAAGCGGTTTGTCTGTCTTTGTGGAGCTAAATGGAAGCAGGACACTTTGGGATCCCAGAAACAGGTCACTGGCCAGTAGCCCCCATTTACCCCCACATACACCCACTTCTACCCCCCACATGCAGCCACACACAGGTCCACTCACGCACTCACGTGTGCACCCCCACACATGGCTCATGGCTTGGACCTTACAGGCATGTGTTTCTACTTCAGGATTGGTTTTGGTAAGAAAGAAAAAAAAAAAAAACCCAGTCTTTTATTGAAATCTCTTTCATGTGGGAATCTTCCCTATGAGGTGGTTCTTTGTAAAATGAGATAAAAGTTTTGAAGAAAAAATTAGATGTGTATTTAAAAATATGTTTATGGCTTTTTGATGTTATTAGATAACTCATTTCTGCCATCTCGTTTTCCTTCTGCTTGATTCAATCCCTAAATAATTCTCCTGGTATTTCTTCCTGTGTGCTTGGCGTACTCCTGTGTATACTCTTTCCAGGTGGGACGTGGGAACAACGAGGACTAGCAGGGTGTGAGTGGCTCTCTGGGTCTCAGAGGGGGCCACGTGTCCTGTCCATCAGCCATTGGACTGGTGCTGATGTCCTAGGCCATGCTGGTACAGTTCTCATATTTCTCCTTGAGAAACCCTGTGACACCTCACATGAAAGTCAGAGCAACGGTGAACTTTTATCCAAGATTTGTGAACTATCACATTGTGCGCTAAAGTCCGCACTGTGCGGTTTTATTAAAAATGAATGCTGCTCTCTGTCTTTGCATGGGGCTGAAAGTTAAGATCAGAAGTGGCCTTTGTAGAATGATGGCCCAAGAGAGAGGCCATGTCCACAGCTGTGTGATGTGAAGTTGAAAGAGCCAGGTGTTAGAAATATTCTTGTTAAGCCCACTGAAATGTGATTTAAATACCATTGTGTTGAAAAGAGATTTGGGGAACCTCTAAAAATGTTTTCTTTTTAAGATAGCTGTAGATTTGCATACCTTTTAAAATTTTATTTTTATTTTTTTAAAAAGAAAACAAACTATGTTTTTTCATTACACTTACTAATCCAAGTTCCCACTATCTTCCCTTCTCCCATTCCCTTCACTTACTTCTCCACCTCACCCCCATCCACTCCTCAGAGAGGGGAAGACACATTGCTTTGGGGAAGGTCCAAGGCCTTCCTTACTATATCTGGGCTGAGCAAAAATGTCCATCCAAAAAGAATAGGGTTCCAAAAAGCCAGTACAAGCAGTAGGGATAAATCCTGGTGCCACTACCAGTGGCCCCTCAGTCTACCCCGGCCATGCAACTGTCAACCACATTCAGAGGGAATAGTTTGGTCCTATGTTTGTTCCTTTCTAGTCGGTCTGGTGTTCGTGAGCTTCCATCAGCTCAGGTAGACTGCTTCAGTGGGTGTACCCATCATGGCCTTGACCTCTTTGCTCATGTTCTCATTTCTCCCACTCTTCAACTGGACTTTGGGAGCTCAGTCCAATGCTTCTAATGCGGATCTCTGCCTCTGTCTCCATCAGTTGCTGGAAGAAGGTTCTATAGTGATATTTAAGATATTCATCAGTCTGACTACAGGACAAGGCCAGTTTGGGCACCCTCTCCTCTATTGCTTAGGGTCTTAGCTGGGGTAATCCTTGTGAATTTCTGAATTTCTCTAGAGTCAGGTTTCTTGCTAACCCCATAATGGCTCCCTCAATCAAGATATCTCTTTCCTTGCTCTCATTTCTGTCCTTTCTCTATCTCAACTATCCCATTCCCTCAAGTTCTCCTCACCTCTCCCCTTCTCTCCTCTTCTTCCCCAATCCCCTCCCTTTCCCATCCACCCCTATGTTCTCAATTTTGTCAGGTAATCTTGTCTATATTGACTTTCTAGGTGGGTCTATATGTGTTTTTCTTAGGGTTCACCTTGTTACTTAGCTTCACTAGGATCATGAACTATAGGCTCAGTGTCCTTTGTTTATAGCTATTATTCACTTATGAGTGAGTACCCCAGCTAAGACCCTAAGCAATAGAGGAGAGGGTGCCCAAACTGGCCTTGTCCTGTAGTCAGACTGATGAATATCTTAAATATCACTATAGAACCTTCTTCCAGCAACTGATGGAGACAGAGGCAGAGATCCACATTAGAGCATTTATCATAACTAAGGAAAACTATAATTTTACTATGTACTTTTCAACTCCATCAAAGAGGATATATTACCTTAGTAAACAAGAAGTGCATTGTAAGCAACTTCCAAAACTCTAGAATTGACAGAGACATCTTGCTGCCTGGTCAGTCACCCAAAGTTCTTCTGTATCATTGGAGCATCCATCTTCCGCCTACAAGCCCATAGTATCCAGCAGACTTTTCCATGAAGCGGGAAATTTCAAAGAGAGTTCCACCTATATTGGCAGTTTGTCAGTCACTTTCTTCTGTGTCCTGCAGAAGGTCTTGCAGACTCTTTCATGAAGCAGGAACCCTGAAGCACTGTCTCACCTTTAGGCAAGTTCAGCAGTCATTTTTCTGCAGGTGATGTATGTCCAGTTCAAGCAGTCCAGGCAAGAGCAATTTCTTGCCAGAATGGATAACCAACTCCATAAGGAGCCTCTTCAATGCCAACCTTTTTCTTGACGTAGATTTGTGCTGCCAGGAGCAGATGTGTGTTAAAACTAACATGACTGCAAGCTTGACATCCCACATCACACATTCTCTCTAGCATAAACTATCATTGGTATTTTTGATGTGGGGTTGGTGAAGATTTTTTCCCATTCAGTAGGGTATCGTTTTGTCTTACTGACTGTGTCCTTTTCTTTACAGAAGCTTTCAGTTTCAGGAGGTCACAGTTATTTATTGTTGTTCTCAGTGTCTGTGCTACTGGGGTTATATTTAGGAAGTGGTCTCCTGTGCCTATACATTGAAGGCTACTTCCCACTTCTCTTCTACCAGGTTTAGTGTAGTCAAATTTATATTGAGGTCTTTAATCCATTTTGACTTGAGTTTTGTGCATGGGGATAGACTATTTTCATTCTTCTATATGTTGACATCCAGTCATGCTAGCACCATTTGTTGAAGATGCTTTCCTTTCTCCATTGTATAATTTTAGCTTCTTTGTCAAAAATCAGGTGTTCATAGGTGTGTGGATTAATATCTGGGTCTTTGATTCACTTCCCTTGGTCAACGTCTCTGTTTTTATGCCAATCCATCTGTTCAGGACCTTCTGGCTTTTATGATTTCCATTGAGAAGTCGGGTGTAATTCTGATAGTTCTACCTCTATATGTTACTTGATCTTTTTCTATTGCAGCTCTTAATATTCTTTCCTTATTCTTTATGTTTTGCTTTTTGATTATTATATGTCAAGGGAACTTTTTTGTTTTGTTTTGTTTTGTTTTTTGTTTTATCCAGTTTACTTGGTGTTCTGTAAGCTTCTTGTACCCACATAGGGATATCCTTCTTTAGGTTGGAAATGGTCTCTTTCATGATTTTGTTGGTTATAGTTTCTGTGCCTTTGAGCTGGAGTTCTTGTCCTTCTTCTATCCCTATTATTGTTTAGTTTGGTCTTTTCATGGTGTCCCAGATTTCCTGTGTGTTTTGTGTTAAGAATTTGTTGGATTTAGTCAGGCGGTGGTAGTGCACGCCTTTAATCCCAGCACTTGGGAGGCAGAGGCAGGTGGATCTCTGTGAGTTTGAAGCCAGCCTGGGCTACAAGAGCTAGTTCCAGGACAGGCTCCAAAACTACAGAGAAACCCTGTCTCGAAAAAAAGAAAACAAACAATCAAAAATGAATTTGTTGGATTTAATGTTTTCTTTGACCAATGAATTTATTTCCTCTATAGTATCTTCAACACCCGAGATTCTCTCTTCCATCTCTTGTATTCTGTTGGTTATACTTGCCTTTGTAGTTCCTGTTCATTTGCCCAGATTTTCCATATCCAGAATTCCCTCAGTTTGTGTTTTCTTTATTGTCTCTATTTCAGTCTTTACATCTTGACCTGTTTGTTTCATCTGTTTGGTTTTTTTTTCTTGGGTTTCTTTGAGGGATTCATTAATTTCTTCCATTTTTTTGTTTATTTTTTCCTCCATTTCTTTAAGGGAGTTTTTCATTTCCTCTTTAAAGGTCTCCATAATCTTCATAAAGTTATGTGCAAAATAGGTTTCTTCTGCTTCTTCTTCTTCCGGGTTATCATGATCAAGTCTTCCTGTTGTGTGACCACTGGGTTCTGGTGTTACCATGTTGCTTTTTAGGTTGTTAGATGAATTCTTGCATTGGCGCCTACCCATCTCTTCCTTTAATTGATGCCGGCAGTATCTTTGTGTCTTGGTCCAATCATTGCAAAGAGATTTTGAGTTTTGTTCTTGGTCTGCTCTGTACTGTGAAGTCTGTGTCTCAGGGAGCCACTGAGGTCTTTTTTAGCCTGATCTCTTGGTCTGCTCTCCTTGTTCCTTCTCTTGGTCCACTCTGTGCAGTCACAACTTGTGCTTTAGAGTTCCTCTCTTGGTCCTCTCAGCAGAAAACTCTCCTGCAGGCTGGCTAGATAATCTGAAGTAGGTGGGGGAGGGGCCTGGGGTTTTGCCACACTGTGCAGGGCCTAGACAGTGGCGTGTCCCGCCACATGGTTGCACATGTCTGGCCACTCACCTTTTGGTCCTCTCAGTATTGTAGCAAGCTGTGTTTCTGAGTTCCACTGAGGTTGCAGGATAATAGGTAAGTTTGAGGGCAGGATAGGGCTTGTAGCTTGCAGGGTCCTGTGGCTGTAGGAGGGTATTGGGGCAGCCTACCTGCAGGAAAACTCTCCTGCTGGCTGGCTAGAGAAGCCTATGCAGTTGGGGGAGGGTCCTGGGATTTTGCCCCACTGTGGAGGTCCTGGAGAGTGGGTGTCCCGCCCCGTGGTTGGGACACTCCCTTCTTGGTCCTCTCTGTATTGTAGCAAGCTGTGTTTCAAAGTTCCACAGAGGTTGCCGGATGATAGGCGAGTTTTTGCATACTTTTTTAAATTTAATTTTTAAGATTTTTGTGAGAATTTTATATAAGTATTTACATCATTATACCATATTCCCTCATTTCCTTCCATGTCGCTTGCTCCCTCCTAAATTCATGACCTTTTCTTCCTTAATTATTATTCCATATATTCCTATATTATTCCATTATATAGGCTGCACCTATATAAGTGCAGCCTGCTGAGGCCAAGGCCTACTGTTGCTGCTTACATATACAACTATTTACGGCAGATAACTTGGCATTGAACAATCAATCCCACTGATGTCCCCCATCTGAAGCTGGATAAGAACCTTCGTATCTAGGGGGAGGGCCTTATGAGAGCTCCCATCCACCGTGCCCTGTCTACTGGTGTTGTCATTGCACGGGTCTTGTTTACAGGACCATGTCCTTGAGATCTCACCTGTGGGGCTTCCCTGTCATATACAGAGGAAATGGTACAAAAAGATTCCCTTGGGTCTTTCCCCATTTCCCATAATAGCATCCTGTAAAAGTGTATTACAGTGTTACAACTAGAATATTGGTACAGATACTGTTAAGATGCAGGACTTTTATGTCCTTTGGAGAACACACCTTCTTCACTGTCTTTCCTGTGGGATTCCTGGCAAACCTCAGGATGTTCTCGATTTCTACTGCATTGGCAGTTTGTGAATATCATCATTTCTGTATGTGGAGTCAACAGTGTTTCTTTTGAAATTGCCTTTTCCCCCCTCACTATAATTCTCCAGTGTCACCCATGTTATTGTGGGCATCTCTAGCTTGTGCCTTTTCATCCTAGCCATAGGTACTGCGTCACCGTATTCCTGTCTCTTTCAGTCACCGAAGGTGATCTGGGTTTCAGTTTGCCATTACATACATTCATGTGTATGTTGTTTGTGTAAATTCAAGGTTTTGGTTGCCTGGAATAAAAACCAGGAGAAAAGTTTCTAGGTCATATAGTAGTTACGTATTTATTGAGTTTTTGAAGACCCAGCCAGAACATTCATCAGAATGCCTCTGCCATTGTGCAATCCATGAGCATTGTATGAATGCCCCGCTTCCCTCGTATCTCGCCCACATTTGATGTTGTGACTGTATGTCATACACCTCATAGTTTTACTTTACATTACTCTAGTTTAGATAGAGATGTTGAATATTATTCATGTTCTCATCAATTTCATGTCTTCCTTTTTGGTTAAATTCTTCCTTGTAACTGTTGAGTTTTAAGTATTCTACTTATATATTCTTGATACTAGTCCTTCGTCAGGATCCTTCAGGTCTGTTTACTCTATCACTCCCATGAACATAATCTCCCCAAGTTCACCATCAACTTTTGAGCTATCGTCACTGACTGAGTCTCATCTTATTTTCTTTGTGTGTACATCTGGCCACTTTGGCCTTCTTAGGTCTTTCTTCACTTAGTTTCCACCTCACAACATATTGGAAAGTATTGACTTTCCCATCTGTAGTGTTTATTCTCACTTGCCAGACCTGACCTATCTCCATGTGTATCCATTAACTACTGCTTTTCTCTGATAATTCAATTCTTCGTGTGTGTGTGTGTGGTGTATGTGTGTGTGTGTGTGTGTGTGTGTGTGGTGTGTGTGTGTGTGTGTGTGTGTGTGTGTAGCTCTTCTTTTTGATCTACTTCCATGGCTTCATCTATCACCCGTGTGCTGGGGATTTCAAATAGGTGTTTCTAGATAAAACCTCTTGGTTTTATACATTAAGTTGTTATTTATTGCTACATGTTGAGAAGCTGGTTTTTAAATAGACTTTAAAATACGATCTTATCATTTCCCTGTACTTATCCATCCCTGTACTTCTCACCCTGATTTATTCTATCACTTTTTTCAGTTGTCAAAACTGGGAAAGTGGGAATGACATTTTTTTCTCTTTCGCTGCTACATTTTGTCTGCCAGTTCTTAAGTCATCTTAATGCATATTTCTCTCCTTTAGTCTAGTCTGCCTGTCATACTAACTTCAAGGCCAGATGAGTATCTCTCTTTTTAGATTTATTTATTCTATTTTGTGTGGATGAATGTTTTGCTTTCATGTATGTCTGTGCATCACATACATGCTTGGTGCCTTCAGAGGTCAGAGAAGGATGTTGGATCTCCTGGAACCATAGTTACGGACAACTGTGAGCAGCCACGAGGGTGCTGGGCATCAAACCCAGGGACTCTGCAAGACCAAGTTTTCTTAACCCCTGAGCCGTCTCTCCAGCCCCTTATATCATTTTTTTTAAAGATTGCTGTCATAACCTTCCTCCTGACTTGCCTTCCCACAGTTCATTTTCCAGTTTGCTGTCAGAGGAAACTTTGAAATGCTTACACCTCACACGAGACATTCCACTTTTAATCCTCCCAAGGTTCTTCATGACAGTGTCTGGCAAGTTCTTCTACTAAAGCCCTTAGCACCAGGAGAAACTGAACTGAAGTTCTCCATGAAGGCCTCAAGAATGTGGCCAACTACACGCAAGGGCAGCATCTCTTCAACTAGATTTCATATTTTAGCTTTAAAAACCATACTTTGCATTTTTCTCATTTACATCTCCATATAACCCTTAAAAATGTTCTTGAGACATTCATACCCAAGGAAATACCATGGGAAAGCTCTGAGTTCGGTGACAAACATAGCCACTCCTATCACAGTTTGAGGGCCTAGAGTTTAAAGTAAGATCCGTACAGGTTCCATTTTCTTTCATGCCTCTGTGCACCCTGTGACCTCCTCCTATACAGAATTGTCAGCCAGATTCTACCTCCTTTTGCATGTTCTGCTTTCATGATGAAATCACCTCTTTCTCTACACAGGAGCCCCAATTTCACCCTGCTGTATTACAGACCGAGTCACCCTAACAAGTCTCTGTGTGACTGATCCCCAATCTGACTCTCAGAAAGTGGGGTAGATTCACCATTGAGTTTTCATTATACTTAAAATAGCTTGTGATATGACAGTTAGTTCCTTGGAGTAATGTCTTCACCTCTGGCTTATGATGTTATAAAGACAGTGTCAAATTTTACTCTCTCTTAGGATACTGTCGTCATTCAATAAATGTTGTGTACTATATGAAATAATTAATTCTAGGGCTGGGGAGATGGCTCAGAGGTTAAGAGCATTGCCTGCTCTTCCAAAGGTCCTGAGTTCAATTCCCAGCAACCATATGGTGGCTCACAAACCATCTATAATGAGGTCTGGTGCCCTCTTCTGGCCTGCAGGCACACATAGACAGAATATTGTAAACATAATAAATAAATAAATAAATTTTAAAAAAAAGAAATAATTAATTCTAGGACTAGGCATAACACATGCCTGTAGTCCCAGTACATGGGAGATACATGTAGGAGAATCAATATTTTAAGACCCCAATTGTATAGTGAGTTCCAACCAGTCTTAGCTACATGAGACCCTGTCTCAAAAAAAAAAAAAAAAATTAAAACGGAAACTCAATTCCAAACTCTAGTGAATGTGATAACTGACCTCCAGATCATTAGGAGTGTTTATCAGCCAGCATTTTGTATACTCTAGGGATATTGTAAAATATTTTCTACTGGGAGGAGATATTGCCTCTTAATCATTTGTCATTGAACAACTCTAAAATCTGTATTGTCTTAATAATATAAACCAGCAAACATTTCATCTCCACTACCGCCTTATATTCAAACTGAGTTCACACACAAAACAAACACCTTTGTCATTAAGTTCTTGACATTTCTAATATCCTCATCAAAGCTAAGATTTCAAATCCACATATGATAATCTATTTTATGCACATTTAGCGAATGTCCTAATTTTAAAAGTGATATTTTGGATCTTTTATATTTTTTTCTTAAGGTATTAGTAGTATTTTGGAATTTTCTGACCCTTCCCCTTTGCATGCCAGCTTCCTTACGATCTGAACTAAACCATCAACATGCAGCTTCAATTGATTTGCTACGGCATAATCACCATCAAGAACTGGCAGCAGCGAAAATGGAGCTAGAGCGGAGCATCGACATCAGCCGAAGGCAGGTAAGTGTGAGCATGTCCTGCCAATCCCTTAACTCTAGGTCCCCCGAGCCCTCCCGCTAGGAGGGGGGCTTTGAAATAACTGTTAATTGTCCCAGTTATTACCAACATGATCAAGAGTTTCCTGTTTCACAGAGAGAAGCAACCTTACTTTTGTATGTCAGTTATACAATTACATATTATTTTACGACCTTTTGACTGAATATTTTGCAATTTGTTTACATCTTAGGAAAATAAACAATAAAATATGAACAAAATATAAAGGGTAAGGACAGCTCTATTTGCTCGGACGAGCCATGACAAAACACTGTTCTGTGTCTGGGAGGTCCACTGGGGTAGTTGGTAACCACATAGCCCAGGTTTGTCCAGTATGACCAAAACTTCATTTTGAATTTTATGTATTGTAATTTAACTGAAACAGTTACATTGCATGACTCAACTATATAAGAGTAGTAGATCTTCAAAAGAAAGAAGATAATTGATACTACCAAAGTATTCACTACTGCTTATACTTTTTAGACTTTGCTCTTTGGTCTAGTATGTTTTTTGTTTTTTTTTTTAATTTGGTAATCTGTGATTGTGATGATGTGTATGCATGGAAGGAAGCAGCAGAGGCACTGCAGAGAACGCTGCTGTTAACTTATTACACTTACAAGGTTTACGTCCTTGGTAACCATGTTAAGTGGTCAGCTTGGACTTGCTCTTCTTTGCTACGATCTTTTAATTGAGGCATTTTGTAACCATAAAGGGAAGTTACTCTTTGACTATGTCTACAGTAAATGTCTACTTTATGGATCTTATAGAAACATTGACTTGTAGGGAAATCCTTTCTAGGTAGATAACTCTTAGGACAGCAGTGAAAGCAGGCAAAGTCTGCCTTTCTGAAGAATGGAATGTGTGTGTTGGGTCGGGGGCTTCCTAGATGGGAATCCTTTTGAGAGTAAAGAACTGTGGTACTACCAGCCGTTTACTACAAGAGCTATACAACTTACTGAGAGACCTAGGTTCTACTCTTGACTCTGCCATTGGTCATAAATTATCTTTGAGACAAATGATCTCATAAGTAGTGATTTCCTCATTCTAAAACGAGCAAGCTATGCTTTCACCATCTTTTGAGTCCCTTACGTTCCTGATATTGCAACTATGTTCAAATAAGTTCTTCTTAGCTAGATGGAAGAGAAAGGGCCTCAAGGTTTTCTCATTTTAAGCAGTTTGTTTTTGAAGCCTTGTCAGAATGATTATACTTAATATTTAAAATTGTCCTTTTCTCTCCCTCATACACAAAAAACAAATCTGTAGAAAACATTATAGCATTCCTTGTTTTTTGCAGAGTAAGGAGCACATGTGTAGAATAAGTGACCTACAAGAGGAGCTACGGCACCGAGAGCACCACATCTCAGACTTAGACAAGGAGGTCCAGCACCTCCATGAAAACATTAGTACCCTAACGAAAGAACTGGAGCATAAGGGGAAAGAAATTCTCAGAATCCGAAGTGAATCCAACCAACAGATGAGGTATGCCAGTAACCACAGCAGAAGGTAGATGCCTTATTGACTAGAATATTGTTTGAGACACGCAAAGCATATGCCCCTAGTTTTGTGACTAGTCTGCCCTCCCAATAATATAGTGAAGACCACTTTTTACTATGTGGTGGGGATGATATCATCTGGAAAATAGAATGTCTGCATTCTGATGATGTATTTATTATTCATTAGTTTTGGGAAATGACCATAATTAAAGATTTTTTAAATTTTTATTAGAGAAAAGCATTAAAGGAGACAAAATTTAACATTAACCAGACAATTACAGCAAACTATATAGCTTAATTTAACCTGTTTACATTAATTTTCCAAATACTATACCAAAAAGGGGGGCATTTCAAATCTGGTAGAACGTAAGAATTTTGAAAACTTGACTTCAGAATAACATTTTCTTAACTGAAAATAAATCAAACAGGTTGCATGAACAAGATTTAAACAAGAGACTTGAGAAAGAGCTGGATGTCATGACAGCAGACCACCTCAGAGAGAAAAATATCATGCGGGCAGATTTTAATAAGACTAATGAGCTACTCAAGGAAATAAATGCAGCTTTACAAATGTCGTAAGTCATATTGCATTAAAGAAAATTCATGTGTGGATAATAAACCGAGGAGCACTGTGTCTAAGCTCAGCTTCACTGTTCGAATCTAATAAAGCAATGATACTTAGTGAGGAAGACTTAAGTACTGTATTAGAGATGTAAGTAGTATCAGTGTGATATTATGTTCTTTAATTAGAATAAGGCCATTGAATGATTTTGCTTCATTTGCTGCTATTGCCACAGGCCTGCTAAAATCCTACGTATCTTAAGAGTGGCCCCCGTCATACATCACTTCCATGATGACGTCTCAAAGTGTCTTTGTGATATAATGTAAAGTCTTCAGTACATTGTGAGCAATAGAAATTTTATAAGGCCAGGCTTCAGTTAGCAATGCATATTTCACAAAAAGCAAAATATCCTTCAAAGCAAACACACACTTTGAACATAGTGATTCCAGTTAGCAAGAACATTGGTAGTTCCCAGGGAAGCAAAAGAGCTGAGGCTTCCTTTCCTATCCTAGGGTACTGCTTGAATCTCTGCAGTTAGCATTTAAATGTTTTTTTTTAATTAAAGAAATCTATAAAGTAAAATCATTACAAATAAAGCTATTGCTCAAGTTTAGTAAGCCCATTATTCAAGTCAAGATTTGTATGTATTTCCTAACGTTCATTAAGAAGATTAATAGCCCTGTCTTTTCAAGATTTTTACAAACTGCGGCAGACAACTCACTTTAAATCCAGTCTGTCTCTCTCACCTAAGCCCCCGTCTTTAGGTTATCTTAGGCTTACTCTACTCTAGCTACTACTAATGACTCATTCACTGATAGTCCTTTTTCCAGTTATCCAGATACTTCGGTAAAATGACATTAAGTCACCACTGCCCAGAAGGTCGGCCTCGTAGCTTTGTTTGCTTCTCTACTTGTGTTATTAATCCCTACTCACCTACCTCAAATATAGATACCATTGCCACCTCTTCTCTCCCTGTAACTTCTCAGTCTCAGCCAGTACTCAGCCAGTAGAGGCACAGGTGCAGACACATGTAGACACCGTCATGTAGAACCAGGCCCCAGTTGCTGGTGTTCCTGGAGTGGCCTCTGGGATGACGTGCTCTTTCTGATGGGCTCCTTGGCCCTCTTCGTGTAGTGCTCATGTGGGTGAATTTGTCCTGGATAAATTTCAGGAGGGTTCCCACTCAGTGATGTTAACCCATAAAATGGAGAAGAACCTCATTATTTCCAGAAAGTCAGTGATGTGTTCTTTGCTCTTTTTTCAGCCAAATTTTAAGTTTTGTTTTTCAGCCACATGTGTGCAGTGCAGCAGGACATACATGTAACAGGTTTGGTAGAAATCAGATAAGATCAGCCTCAGTGGCATGGCTCTCACACTTCCTGACCTTTGTGTATACTGCGCAGACACTGATATCCTGCTGGCCCTCTTCACATCCTGAAAGAGCACACTCAAACAAAGAACAGTCTGTGTTTGTCTGTGTGTCCTGACATCGCCTTAGAAATAGTAACTTTTACAAAAAGGAAAGGGTGTGTCTGTCTGGACATTATTCTTTTCTGTGGTTTTGCTCCTTAAGAAATTTTAATAAACAGCAAACATTAATATCTCTCTATATTTTTTTTTTTGATTTTTCGAGACAAGGTTTCTATGTGGTTTTGGAGCCTGTCCTGGAACTAGCTCTTGTAGACCAGGCTGGTCTCGAACTCACAGAGATCCGCCTGCCTCTGCCTCCCGAGTGCTGGGATTAAAGACGTGCGCCACCACCGCCCGGCTAATATATAATATATATATAATAATATCTCTATATTTTAATCTTTTAATAATTGAAGAATTAATATTATTAATAAATAAAATATTTTGCCTTATTTTTTAAAACAGGCATTCATTTTTCTACTTTGCCTTGGGTCCACACTAACCAACCACATTTCTCTGTTTTTACCTGCTAACATCGTATAATTTGTCCTTTAGCTTTAGGTAATCCCTTGTTTAATTAAAGTCAAATCATGTACACTTATTTTTGACTTACACTGTCCCTCAGATTTTTCCTGATAACAAATGTTCTGTTTTGGCTCTTCCCAGTCTAGTAGGCATTAGCCATGAGCGGTTATGCAACACTTGAACTGGGGCCAGTGTGACTGAGAACTTAAAATCTAATTCGCCATAATTATGGAAATGCAAATAACAGTCAGTGGACTAGAAGCTAGCATACTGGAAAGCAGTACTGGATGCTTCTGGCCATGTCCTTGCCTGAAGGTTGTCAATCTGCTGAGCAGTTAAGATTTAGACAGCTGATTAGTGGGAGAGTCCTTTCCAGTTTACAGTTGGGGGCTCGGGGTAATGTGAACTGCTCACAGCCTATTGCAAGGGTTACCCGATTGTGTTTGGAACACCTGCACCTCAGCTCCGATGCTTCAGATTCAGAAAACCCCAGTGAATTATTAGAAGGGTGGGGGGTGGGGTACTGTAAAGATCTACACTTCAGCCTACAGGCCAAAGTATGGTGCTGAGGAAACTCTGGAGCAGTTGGGAGCGTCTCCTCACTTCTGCTACAACTCCTTTTGAACCTAGGGAAAACATAGAACACATAGAAAGGAGCATAGAAATAGTGCGAGAATCTCTGTCTTTGGAATGGCTTTTAGAAATTGTGCTCGGTAGTCCCGAGTATTCAGACCCTCTTACAGTTTCATGGAAATTTGCTTGTCTTGACTATGATCCTCTTAAGAACTCTGCATCTAATTTTAAAATGTATTGAGTTTTATTTGTTTAAAAAACAAGCAGGGGCTAGGATATAGCTCAGTGGTAGAATGTTTGCTTAGCCTGTACAAGACAGTGGTTTAATTTCCAAGACCCCCAAAGGGAGATAAAACATAACATCAAATGAGAGGATAGGCTACTCAATTTTACCTAAGTGACATCTTCCTTAGGTAAAGAACGTTTAAGATAAATTAAAAACTGTGCTAGTACTTTGGGGTTCAGAACTATTTATTGTATAAAAAATGGTTAGGGTTTATCATTTTAGTTTTGTGGGTATTTGTTAGTTTGTTTTTTGAAACAGGATTTCATGTAGTCTTTGAAGGGCCTTGAACTCTTTCTTTCCCCGTGACTCTCCCAAGGGTTGGGATTGCAGATGTGGACTGTCACACCTGCCCAGATTGCTTTTGATTGTTTAGGTTTACTTTAAATTAGCCCCTCACTCTACTGAAACAAAAAGATCATTTCTCTGTGAGAACTGTCAATTCTGCACATGCATGTTAGATAGGCCAGTAATTTCTAACTATAAGGATATGCTCTGCCATGCCAGATTTGCTTATTTGAGTCCTTAATCTCTAAAACTCCAATGATTTTATAGTTATTTGGTTCTTTGTTTAATTTTCATGAGCTTTGGGAATGTCTGGAAGTAGCTGTGGTCTTGTTAACACAAAAGAAAATCTCAGAAATTATCAGGAAAATTCAACTGGGAAATGCTTCAGTCCTGTTACTTTTATATGTAACAGAATTCATAAAATGTAATTTCTGGGCTGCATGTGTTCCTGGTAATGATATTGATCAGCTCTACACTTTCTAGTCATTGATTTTCTTGTCAGTTGGGTCTTATAAAGCAACTGGAGGTAGAAGATAACTTGGAAAATGTCTTTGTACATTTAATACAGGACTGTGTTGTTCCTGAGCTATGGAAAATTGACCTCTATACCTGAGCCAAACACATGTTTTTATACACACACACACACACCCAGACACACACACACTGAGAGATATGCTTGGCTAGAGTCTTGTAGTGACCCTAGTTAGCATTCCCATGTGTTCTGCTTCTCCTTTCTACAATTAGTCTTTGTATTACTTTTTAATGGTAATCTGAAAACACAATGAAAATAAAGTTAGATTCTACCTGCCATACCAATTAATGTTCAGAGGCCTGACTTTTATGAATTCGGGTCAGAAACATATTTCATAGAGGCCATTTAAGAACTATGGGACCAACAGACTCCTTGTGGTGGGAAGGGTTAGAGCCCGGCTGGCTCAGTAGTACATGCCTGTAATACTTGCACTTGGGGGGAACAAAGTAGGCCATCTCTGAGTTTACATCAAATCCAAGACACAAACTGAGGCCCCGTGTCAAAAAAAGGAAGGAAGGATGGAAGAAAGCAGAAAAACTTTAAAACAAACAAACAAAAACCCAGAAAACAAAAAACAAAATCAAACTTAGACCCCCCCTCCCCCCAAATCTCCTGCTTCTTAGTCATCCTTTGCACTCAGCCTTTTCGCACTGTTGGTCTCGTGAGCTGCCCAGATGGCTGCGGGAGGGAAACATTGACTAGTGTTGCCTGGAAGTGGATACCGGATGGTACTGAGTTCCTTCCTGTTAGAATGTTGAATGAGCTTCTTGTGCATTTGTAAGGTATAACTGGTTCATAATAGTTTCTTGTTCTCTCCTTTAATGCTTTCCTATCTATACTTGGAGCTTGCTTCCTTTCAATACTTTGTTTTCATTATTATATAGTTTTATTTTTTTTGTTAAAATTGTTGCTGGTGTAAAGATATGTTGTGGGAGAATTAGCTTAGTTAGTAATTCTGTAGGTAACATGTTTCCGCTGAGCTAGGTGTGGCGGTGTATACACTTTTAATCCCAGCACTTGGGAGGCAGAAGCAGTGGATCTCTGAGAGCTAGAGACTAGCCTGGTCTACACAGTGGGTTCCAGGCAAGCCAGGGCAACACTGTGAGACCCTTTCTAAAATAATAACAACAGGATGTTTCAGTTAAATTAAAACATACACTTGAACGGGGAGATCTTTATAACTAAAAGAGGTTCCAAACCTGTAAATGATTGTCTTAGATTCATTTTACTTCTTCTCATTGTTCTGCAACAAAAATAACATCAAGGGTGGGGTTTACCTACCCTTTCTACCTGCTCTTCCCAGCCGTGGGAAGTGGCTCCAAATGGGCTTTGCTTCCAACCACAAAGGCAGCACTTCAGTGACATCTTGTGGCTGCTCCAACACAAAGCCCAAATGCCTTCCCCCGCCCCCCCCCCCCCCCCTTGAATAGATAGAATTTATAAACCTGAATAGAAAACTGAAAAGCTTTCATAAAATGCATACAGGCAATTCTTTTCATATTCTAATCAAATTGCAAGACAATTCTGTGACCACAAAGGATATCATTGATTGTTGCTAAGTACACGCTGTCAAAAAAGAAAGGGGGGAAATGTACTGAGATATATATGCTGTGTGCGTAACTTCGGTACTGACTTAGTCAAGTCCCAGGTGAGCCAGGGATAGTCACTGTCTGGCACCTCACTTCCCTATCCCCCTCTGGCACCTCACTTCCCTATCCCCCTCAGGGCAGCAGTCAGGGGCAGGATGGAAAGCTAGACATTTTTCTCCAAATAATTTGTTTGGCTTGGATTAGTGGTGGGCTTGTATGACTTCAAAATACAGAGACTGTCTACTCTCTAGGATTTACCCGATGGGACAGTGACAGATCACTGGTATCTGCATCATTTAGAAATTACTCAATACTTGTTAAGTAAATTTTTTAAAACTTACTAAGGTGTGGTTAATGAAGAGTCTTGAAAAAATTTATTCGACCTTATCTATTCTGGAAATAATAAAAATTAATTGCTTTAATTATTTATTATTTCTGAAACAGTTCTTTTCCCCCAGACCAAGGCAGAAGATAGCATTCGCATTCTTTTTTATTGGCCCTGCGTCTACTCTTAGCCTCTGCATGATCCATGTCCCCTCTGCTCATAAAGAACAGCCTGTGTTTAGTCTTCAGTGTCACCCAAGTCTGTTCACAGTCTTCTGCCATCCAGGAAAGAGTAGGCCTGCCAGGAATTGTGATTTTTTTTTTTAACTGATGAGGGTTTTTTTACTGGTCCTTTTTAGCAGATGATGTAGAGTTTTAAAACTGCATTCCCCACAAACCAAACAAGAGGATGTCATTCATGTGTGTCTTTTGTTCCCCCTTTGTATCTTTTCTTGTCCTTCATGTATGTCACATACCTCAGCACACAGTATTGTATTGATGGTAATCACTCCTAACTGTCACTGACCTGAGCATGTGATGTTCGTATAACTCAGCGTCTCAGTTCCTTCCCAGAGCTTAGCTTACCTCGCTCACATCCGAGGTAAAGTGGATAGACCCCTCCAGATATAGCCTGTGGCAAGAGCACTTAATGTCTCTTATTCCTGCGGAGCCTTTAGCAACTGCAGCTCTTGAGGCGGTTACCATGCTTGCAAGTCTTGCGTTATATCTGTGTATATTTAACTGGACTAACTGAAAAATGTAGGTATTTACTAGAACAGGATGTGTCTGAGTCCTGTTGTGAGATAAAGGTTTTCTCGTTTATAGACTAGAAGAAATGGAAGAAAAGTACCTGATGAGAGAATCAAAGCCAGAAGATATACAGATAATCGCAGAATTAAAATCCTTGCTTACAGAGAGAGACCAGGTCATAAAGAAACTAATTGTAAGATATTTTCTTTTTAGAAAACTATTTCAGTAATCGATAAACTATTGGTGGGGGAGGCATGGGGAAGTGTTTTTGAATAATGCTAAATGAAAATGAAAAATGCAAAATCTGTGTATTGTGATCAAGTTTATTAGAACATAATTTCAAATTTAAATTTGGCATATATTCTAGTGGGAATTTCACACCTTTCTTACATGTTTTTATTGAAATATTTTAGTACATATTCAATGTTTAATAAAGCCATTACCATTTAATAGTTAACATCCTTTATGTAGGGATGCATATTGTACATATAGAATTAGAACTAAGGAAAATCTGTTAAGATGGCTGAGAATTAGTCTGCATTGTCAACTTACCAATTAGTCTCTTTTTATGTTGTTGTTTGTTTTGTTTTGAGATAGAGTTATGCTATGGAGCCCTTAAAACTCACAGCAATCCTCCAGCCTCAGTATCTGAAGTTCTGGAATTACTGGCAGGCATCACCATGCTTGGTTCAAACGAATCATGTTAATTTCCTAAAGTGTGTTCCCCCTACCACTGATCAGGAGAGCTATTGAACCATCATTCAGGAGACTGGGGTAGGAGGATCTTAAGTTTGAGGCCAACCTGAGCATCATATCAAATTCAAGAAATTTTTGGTATACTCAAGAACCTGTCTCAAAAGCCAAAACCAAACAAGCAAAAAGAAAGGTTTCATAGCCTAGTTTAGGAATAACTCTGTGCTCTTTCGGGGAGTTGGGATATTCCATGTGAAGGATACTCAAAAGATTTTTAACAATAAACTTACTGTCTTCATTAAAACCATTATTACTTGGGAAAATATATATACAAATGTTTGAAAATGTATAAAATATTTTAGAATTTTCTAAAATGCTCTGCCCTGGTCAGTAATTAAAATGTTGCTGTTTATTGCCAATAATAAATGAAGATCTTCATAGTACAAGTGAAAATAACACACTAATCACCTATAGTTCCTTGATTGCTTTAATTGCTCACTCTGAATATTAGCATGTCACAGCACAAGACCAATCTTCTGACATCCTTTAAAAATTACTTTTCTGATTTAAAAAATTCCATCCGTTTTCAGGACTGGGAAGTTGCTTCTGAAACCCACAGGGATGATTAGGGTCCAGAGAGGGATTCCTGTGGCTGCAGCCTACCAGGCACCCCGTTTTCCTCATTCTACCCAGCAACAGTAGAGTCAGGGAGAACCGCTGTTCCATTTAGGAAGTGAGCAGGCATAGCCAGTGCAGTCATCTGTGGCCCCCACGTCACTATTTATCTTTCCAGTTACTTCTTGAAATGTTACGGCTACACTGTATTTTGCTCACCAAAGGGCAGATCCGCACTGTTTCTACAACACAGTCATCCCTACACCTCAGGGCGTGTGGGCCAAGGCAGTCAGTGGCAACTAAGATGGTTAGGAAGAGTCTGGTCGTGCTGAACTACACTAGAATCGAGGCCAGTCTGAACACAGCCCATTCTCTTACCCCGCGGCTCTATCAGCTGTGGCCTTCCCAGTCTGCTTGTTCAGTTGTACTCATCCCTCCAAAATGAATGATTTTCTCTCTGTAGAGACCATTCATTTTTCTAGTGCCATGACTGTAATACATATGATGTCAAAGGAAAGACAAGATGAGATGGAATCCATTTTCAGGTATTGAAGGATAATATAAGGTGGTATAATCCTTACATATGGAAACCACTCAGCCATGTATACTAACAGAAATTCTTAGCGTCAGTGCCTGGCCCTGGCAGCCCTAACACTGGATGCTGGGTCACTTGTTCTCAATAGGCCAAGTAAACAGACAATAGTGAAAAGTAGGAAAAAAATGTATTACATGAGGCCATGTGAGAAGAGGTAAAAATAAGTCTCATGGCCTTCTCCCCTGAACCCCAGTGCAAAAATCACTGGGGTCCTGCATGAGACTGAGGTTTGAATGCCAGATGAGAGGCGGACATAACTTAATAGTCCTGACCCAGATGTCTTCTTGTCCATCCTCATTGTCTTAGCTCCAGTCTCCCTGACAAGGTGACCTGATAACCTGTCAGAAATGTCTGAAATCCTGTCTGGGGACAAGTTCTCCCTCTGCCTGGCATCTCTGTCTTTTCCTTTCTGAGCATGAGACTCAGAAAATTCTGATTCATTGGGGGACCATTGTTACTACACTCTGGCAGGTGTGTCTTCAGTGTTACTCATTCCTGCCAGGACAGTTGTGTGAACACACCTCAAGTACAAATGAGACCCACTCAGATGCCACAGTCCGTACCACAAAGAGATCTAGGACTCAGTAGATCTTGTCTTGAGTGAAAGGGTATTAAATGGTATGGTTATGTCCCTAGGCCTAGGGTTTAAAACGTGCTAAAAGCTGACCTGCTAACAAGCTTTAAGCCACTGGCAGTCAAGCCTAGACATGTTTAAACAAAATACATAAACCTTTATAGTTTATTAAATTCTTAACGAAGAACTAGCAGTCATACAATTTAAGTTTGTAAATCTATAATAGAAAATGTTAAAAGGCTGTTTATAATTCTTTTGTATAGGAGGATAATAAATTTTATCAGCTGGAATTAGTCAATCGAGAAACTAACTTCAACAAAATATTTAACACAAGTCCTACTGTTGGTGTTATTAACCCCTTGGCTAAGGTATGTGCCACAGACACCATAATGTAGGGATGTGCTTGAGACCTGGAGGGAAATGGGCTAAGTTATGTGGAGCAAGCAGCATAAGGGTAGTTTCTTAAGTGTAATAATCTCCTACTAAAGTTTACTAATTCTTTGTTCATTTTCAAAATGAGCTACTCATATATTGATAATTTATACTCCTTAAAATATTTTATTAATATTGAATCACTTTGCTCTATCCTTGTTTTCATATATCTAAAGAAAAGCAAACTTCTGACACAGATTAATTTATCGTCATTTCCTTATTGATCACAATAGTCTGTATAGCTCAAAAAGACTCTGGCACCAAATGCCAAACAGTTCTCCCTAGCTACAGGCCTTCCATCATAGGGGAACTAAACGTGAACCTGTAAGCTTTCACCTTCTTTGACTGTTCTTGACAATTTAGGTAAAACTTTTTCTGATTCTGTATTATTTATTCTCTTAGAACAAATGGAAGAGCCTTGAATTAGATCTAGCTAACTTATGCATCATTGCCCAGCTTTTCCCCCATCCCTAGTCTTTGGGCATAGTGGGTATTCCGTAAAATGTGTTAAAATGCACAAATGTATCACATTTTTTTTAAAGGCAACACAAATTATTCTATAAATAAAGCCAGTGATGAATAAATCATTGTATATGCTGGTTTCACATGGACTGTGAACCTCTTAGGAGAGAACAATAAAATAAAGCTTATATTAAAGCTGTTTTTAATCCATATTTTATTGCTTCACATTGTGCTTATTTCTGCTAGGCCCTTACCCAGAAATTTTATTTTCAAAGCTTATACAATTTCTCTGTTTAGAATACCAAACTTACTCTTTTTTTCAGGAGTGTTCCAAACTTTGAACTTCAATGTTTTACAAACTAAAAAATGATAGCTCTCTCTTTAGAACTTCACATAGAAAGCTCTCAATAAATAATTGAATGAGTAAACAGAATTGATTTTTATGCTGGGTTTTTGTTTGATTTTTGAAAGTCTCATGTGATCTAGGCTGCCCTTAAACTCCCTTCACTGCCAAAGCTGGTCTTGAATTTACCCTGTAGCCAAGGCTGGCCTTGAACTAATACTGACTCTCTTACCTCTACCTTATAATTGCTTGGATTATAGCTGCATGACATCCACCTGTCTTTAATTTTATTATTAAAATTAATAATTTAGATAACATAGCTTTAAATTAGAAAATAGGTTTATGTAAATGAAGCACAGTAGAGAATTGTATTTATTTTATCAAAATTAATTTTTTAGCTTTAAAACCACTACTTTAGAATTTTACCAGAAGTATTGATTTTTTGTTTGCGTTTGTTTAGACCATATTGGCCTTGAACTCAAAGAGTGCCAGTATTAAAAAGTAAAGTGTGCTACCTACACCTGGCTATCAACTGTCTGATTTCTTAAAGAAAAAGAAACAAACATCCTAAAACCTTTAAAATGTGAAGCCCTCTGCAGATTAGATAAGACAGTGTTGCCCGTCAGCTGCTGTTGAACCTCATAGCTTTCCAGTGTGCGTGCACAGGGCTCTAATGCTAGAGACACATTGTACCGTAGACAGTCAGTCACAGGGGAGGCGTGCTGATCATCCACAGGACTGGATTGTATTAAGTGATATAAAAGGCCTATCTTGGATATTATTTCCATTTTTTAAAACTAACTTTAGCATACATCCAATTGAAAAATATGTGAGAATATTCTAAGTGAATTACAACATACTAATCTTAATTTTTATTTTTAATAAAGGTTGATGTTATCAATTCTAGAGCTAGGGATAAAATTTTGAGGCTGCATTTGTGTTCCTCTTACTTCTGTTCATTTTAAGTGCTGATCAGATATTAAAAATTAATTACTCTTGACTTCAGCCTTTAAACTGTGAGCTAATTCATGATATTGCCAGTTAATTAAAAATGCAGATTTAGTTATACAGATTTCATTTTCTTTCTTCAGAAAGATGGCACAGAGAATTTAAAATCAAATTATTTAAGTCAGTTTTTAAGTCTTTAGATAAAATGTGGATTTGTTTCAAACTATGATGCCAAGCATTTCTTATTCCTTTTTTTTTTCCAGGCAAGAACAGCCTCTCTTTGACAGATGGATAAAGTCTATGAACCTCTCTTTTAATATTATGTTTAACTTGATGCCTTCTGATTTTAGCCTAAACCCAGTCACCCCTGTGGTTTGGAACTTCTCCTACCTCACTTGTTCCCTGCGCCCTGCTCTCTGTCCTGTTCTGCTCTTCGCCTGGTCCATGCAGTGGTTAGGGAACAGAGGGAAAATACTCCTAAGTGTCCCTTGCCCTGTGCTTTCTGTCCTGGTAGCATGCCTATCTTTGAGGATTCCATATAGATGAACACTTTCAAGGATCGCCAGACCACACTTTGGGTAACACTGGTTAATTTTAACATGATAATTTGACACAAAGGTTCCAAAAAATTTTCCATGCCAAATTTATACTTTCTACTATTTCCTGTTGTCTTGTTGGTTCTTATGCCGCAAATGAGTGTTCTCACATGTGTTATTTTTAACGCAGCAAAAGAAGAAGAATGATAAGTCCCCAACAAACAGGTTTGTGAGTGTTCCCAATCTAAGTGCTCTGGAATCCAGTGGAGTGGGCAATGGACATCCTACCCGCTTGGAACCCATTCCCAATTCTCCGGTCCATGAAGTTGAGTTCAACAGCAACAAGCCACTTCCGCAGCCATTGCCACCCAAAGAGCCCAAGACATTTTTGAGGTGAGCCTGTCTCACCAGTAGCTTTTTTCCCTTGTTTTTCACATTTTTAACTTGAGAAATTTTCATTTTAATCATCTCAGAGAATTCTGTTTTGACACTGTCCAAAAATTTTTTTAATTTGTCATTAGTGAATTTTCTAAATCCTAACAGAGGTGTTCACATAATTCATGCGCTGAGAATTTTAATATTTATAGTTTACGAGGGTTTTAGTAGTGCTAACTTTTATTAGAATTTTCATTTCTTACGGTTTACATATTTATTTCCTTATATCATCCTTTTAAGATATATAAGCATATTGCCAAATTAAAAAAATAAGCTCTGAAAACTTAGCAATATAGTTAAATACAGATAAATTTAGAAACAAATCAGTTTTAAAATTATTCTAGTTTGAAGCTGCCTCAGAGCTGATTAAATATATTAAGTAAATTCTGAATGAAATAAAATTATTAAGCCATTTAAAGAATTAAAATTTTAAAAATGCTATTTTGTCCTCACTTTAATACAACTTACTTTTCTTGTTGTTGATTCAAGTTGATTTTTTTCTTTTTACTAAATCCTAATAACTCCACTAGTAAATTTTACAAGTGGAGTAGTATTTTTGCTTCTAAGCTAAGCGATTTCTAACACAGTTAATGACTAATTCTTTTAAAGAGTAAGGAACTCGTAAGAATGAAAACTAGTCGAGTTTGTCTCTGAACGTGTCTCCTGCTAAACACTCTGTGTTGCTTGTCTCCCGTGCGGGCGCTCAGGTATCAGTAGGATGCATGTGCATGTGCTCGAGGGACGTGGCCGCTGGAGCTTCCATTACACATTGTTGCGTGCCTTGTAATTCCCCCAAAGACGGTAGGGATGCTTTCGTTTCTTAAATAGCCCAAAGAATCTTAGTTAGAATTAAGACAGACTACTTGGAGAATAGAAGAAAACCCGGTTTCTAATGCACTCTGTTGAATATCATCTGCCTCTGGAATGATGGAAGCTTAGAGTAACCTTGATTTGGTTACGACTTTAGCTCTAGTGGAGGATACAAATGTGAGGATCAATGCTTGTATCAGATTATGGTAATTCAAAGGGAAAAGTTGCCCAAAGAGGGAACGCTATTTTGTTCTCTCTCTCTCCCCATAAATACTCATTTTTTTTTAAGCTTCCGAGATGATAATATTGTATTTGCCAGTTGTTTACTTTCGGGCCTTATGGAGTAATAATTGTGATGTGGCTCCTGTCACTGAGATCATCTGAGCTGACACAGTAATTCCTGTTCTCAGAGGACCTGCTCTGATGCAGAAGGGTAGTAGCCAGTCCTTACATACCGTTCTGACGAGGGTGGCCGGTGGTGAAAATCAGTGCTTACAATTTAATTGCTCTCCCGTGTCTCTGCAAACTGTTTAATCCTGGGTTACATGTCTCTCTCTTTATGAATTCAGTCCTCCTCAGAGTGAAGCTTCCCCGGTGACTTCTCCAGATCCCCAGCGCCAGGAGTGGTTTGCCCGGTACTTCACATTCTGAACGAATTGTGCTGGCACAGCTCTGGTGGACTGTGACAAGAGCCTGCCTGCATCCGCATCAGTATGTGCACAGGCTCCCCTGTGTAGAGCACTGTGAATGAGGTGTTTGTCCAGTTTGAAGATGCACTGTATTTCCTGTGATAGTTATTGGAATCACTCTCTGAGGGTACTATATTATGTGTGTAATTATAGCAATTATTTTTATTTGAGATGGAAGTCTTTAATCTTTGTAATTACTGCATAATAAATTTTGTTAGAACAAATGGTTTTTGTTGTTGTTTTCTATTAAGTGTGCTTTAAACACTTTTTAATACCAGGTGTAAGACTTGTCAATAAGTATCATTGCATTAATGATAATTGTTATTTCAATAGTCTTCAAATCAATATAGGGAAATATATTCTATTAATAACTTTCAATGTTGTGTATTTTAACTAAATTGTCAACATTTATAAATCTAGAATAAAAGAATTTATGTAAATTGTGTACTTCCAAGTATATGAATTCTTGCTGACTTATAGCTTTTTTTCCTTTTTTATTCTGGTAGATGAAATATAAACCTTCAGTACAGCTAATATCTATGATTAATATTATTTTTACTATAATTTGTTTTAAAAGGTAGTTTATGCCAGGTATGCTGGCACATGCCTTCAGTCTCAACACTTTGGACCTCTGTGTATTAGAGCTCACTCTGCATAGGACCAGCAGGGCTATATAATGAGACCCTGTCTTTTAAAAAAAAATCCAGATTATCCATTTTCATAGTAGCCTGGTTTCGGTTAACACATCATCACGGATCCAAAGATGTCAGACCTGGGTTTTTTCTTTTTTTGTCCACTTTTTATGACTGTATGTGTACATATACTTTTGAAGGCAAGTATGTGCACAGAGTTATATTTGGAGGTCCAAAGTTGATGTCAGGAATCATCATGGATCCCCTTTTACAGTATTGAGGCAGGCCTGTCAGTCAAACCTAGAATTCTCTGAAGTGACTAGTCTTGTTAGATCTCCTGTGTCCACCTTCCAGAACTAAAATTATAGGTAGACAACCATGCTCGTCTAGTAAGTATGTGGGGTCCTGGAGGCCCAGATTCCTCCAGTCCTTACATTTGTGCAAGTATCTTAAGCCCTGGGCAATCTCTCTTTCCCCACATTTGACGTACACTCAAGTTCATCTTGGCAAAAACATTTTGTGCTGTGGCTGTAAAGAATGCAGCTAGAGTAACAAGTACTGGATAGAGGCATTTTCAGGTCCACTCCTTCAGTCCTGCTTTTGAGTACCTAGCTAGCTGATAGAGGCATTTTCAGGTCCACTCCTTCAGTCCTGCTTTTGAGTACCTAGCTAGCTGTGGACTTACAGGGTGCTGTGGTAATTCTGTTTAGAATTATCGGCTGGAACATCTCCAAAATGGATGTCAACGCCACCATCCTTGCCCAAGAATAGCCCGAGTTATAGGCACCTAAAGCATCAGTTAGACTCTCCCCAAAAGTGAAAAGTTATGTGGCCATTGCTTTTCAAACTACAGAAAAGTCACTGATTTTATCTTTAATAACTAAATTGAAAAACTATTATCTATCAGTTGCTGGCCAGAATATATTTGAAGCTGTTGTCAGATCACTTTTAATAAGTAGTTTCTAAGAACACTGTCAGCGAGTAGGGGCTCGTGGCCTTTCTGATGGCCATTGTAGCTACACATGATCTTCATCCACAAAGATCAGTGTAGCAATCAAAACGGGCTTGTCTCGGGCCTTTCTGGAGAGACATCACTCTCTCTTCACCCTACAAGGGAAGGAATCAATAGGCTAAAGATTCCAAGTCTAGCTTTACAGGTAAATGATTTTCTTTGGAGTAGTTCACGTGAGATAATTGATGCAGGGGTAACTTGCACAACTGAACATCCTACACAGCGGCCATGGGATGAAGCTCAGTGATAAGAGCCCTTGTTGGAGCGGAGTTCAATCCCAGCGCTCTCACAGGTTCTTCTCGGACCTTCCTAACTTTGAGCCCCAGGACCAGCTACAAAAAGTAATTATAAATAGGCTTAATTCTCAATTTTAAAAAAAGTACTATGCAAGTTTTTTACCTCCTGCCTACTTTCGCACAGCTGGGCAGGAGGGGGTGGTGATTGGAAGGTGCGGGTAAGGCCTGTGGGTCTATAGCCCTTCCTCTATCCAAGATGGGATGTTTATAACTCAACTGCCATTACCTTACACCTAGCTGTCAGGGGTGTTGTTGGACTGATTTTGTAGTCATCACTATAGGTCATGGTCTTCATCAGGCCAATAGCTCTGCTTCAAGAGGTCACTCTGCGTGTGTGTGTGTGTGTGTGTGTGTGTGTGTGTGTGTAAAGGTTATACTACAAGGCTTGAGCATGCCCTATAAGCCATTTATGGTCATTAATATTTGAGATCCTAGCACTTGGAAGGCAGGAGGATCACAAATTGGAAGCTAGTGTGAGCTAAATAACAAGACTGTCTCAAAAAAATAAATAATACTTCTAGTAATTGTAGACTCAAAAACACAACTCTCACCTCAAAGGGGATAACACATAGTTTATTCTGGAGGAAAATGTGTGTGACCATAGCCCAGGGACACAGTTTCATGTTACTCCATGTTACTCCAGTTCTATGGTCCAATGTGCTAACAGTTTCATGAAGTTTTTATAGTAATAGAATCAAGTCAAGATACATTTTGAATACGTTAATGGGATCGTGAGTTACTCAGGTGTGTTGGTTAATTTTAACTGTCAACTTGCCTCAACCTGCAATCACCTAAGAAGAGAATATAACTGAGAAACTGCCTATATCAGATCGGTCAATATGCATGTCTGTGAGGGACTCTATCTTTAACTGATGTCACAGGGCCCAGCCCCCTGTAAGAAGTACCAATCCATCCTCAGGCAGGTAGGCCTGAACTGTAAATAAAGCTAGCTGAACACTAGGTGGCTCGTGAGTCACCCAGCAAGCAGCATCCTCTTTGACTCCTGTCACACTTCTGTGGCTGTAAAGCTCATTCTTTGTCAGAGTGAATTCTGACAATGCAGTCAAGTTACTGCCTTAGCTTCCCTCCGTGATGGCCCAGGACCTAGAACTGTAAGTCAGATAACCCCTTCCTGCCTCAGCCTGTTTGTCACAGCAGCAGAACAGCAACTTACAGCAAAGCCTGAAAAAGTCTAGGTGCCACCTGATGACATTTTTAATTACAGAGTTTGGAGAAGCAGGTAGTCTCAGAAGTTAATATAGTCCAAAGGGGCTGGCGAGATGGCTTGGCTGTTAAGAGCATGCGCTGCTCTTCTGGAAGACCCAGGTTTGATTCCCAGAGCCGACAGTTGGGAACTTATAACTGCCTGTTATTCCAGCTCCAGCAATCCAACAGCCTCTTCTCTGGCCCCTGTAGGAACCTGCATTTCTGCACATACCCACACAGAGAGGCACACAAATATACCTAATTAAAAATAATAAATGTTGAAACAAATACATTCAAAAAGGCTGCACAAGACTTTTTAGACAAAAAGAATGGCAGAAAATATCTTTAAGGAGTTTAAAGACAGTCTAATGCAACCAAGTTTGGACCTGTCAAGTTCCAATCCACAATCATAGAGGCTCTAGGTTAACCAAACTTTTAGTAGGTTCACTGTAAGGTGTGGTTTCTTTTCAGGTACTTCTGGTAAGTTGTTATTGTTTTAAGACAGTTTCACTATACCCTAGCTGGGCCTGGAATGAACTCTAGACCAGGGTGGCCCTGAACTCACTACCCGCGCCTGTCTCTACCTCTCCTAGACTGACTGACTGCAGTCAGTGCCACCAAGCCTGGCGGCAGGTACTTGTGATAGGTGTTCTTGGAGTGCGGTGGAGCCTTTCTTGCTTTTCTTGGCTTTATCTCAGGTTGCTAGGATGTAGGATGAGCTGAGCTCACCTGAGCTATCCCAAGACACTGGCATCTGATTTCATTGTCTACTGTCCCCCAAAGAAAGGTGAACAAAGAGTAAGAAGAATGAATATAGATTATAAACCAAGAGTGAGTAGGTCAGAGAGCATAGGGTAAACGAGAGAGTTTATTACACCTCAAGCTATGAGAGTGCCAGTGGCTACAGGGACCTTTATGGAAGAAAACACCCCTGGAACAAGAGTGGACAATGCTCAAACTACTGCACTGACCTTCATGCTTAGGCCGGGTAAATATTTCCACAGCTTTCCTGAGGGTGTTTTTCTATTCAGGTATCTGACAGACTAATTTGGGCTAACTTGTTTTTGAGATTCTATCTCAAGTAGCCCAGACTGAGCCTGAACTGAATATGGAGCTGAGGATAACCTTGAACTAATGGATTTCACACCACACTTCCCAAGTGCTGGGATTCCAGGCATGGGTCAATAAGTCTGCCAATTTGGGTGAACACTTACAGGTGGGGACAATGATATGACTCTTATTTTCCAAAAATCCTCCGGATGTAATATTTTAATCTCACTGGCATTCAGAATGCCATGTCTATACCCAGGGCCAGAGATTCAAGAGTACAACTCAGATTCTTTTCAAGCATAACTAACTTATTTAACAAAATAGGTAAAAATGATTTTTCGAATAAAAATCTATAAAAACAGCCATGCTGTACTACTGGGAGAAAGTAGCCTTTCTTTAATGGGTCTCAACAAAGCCCTGCCTACATCTTCCTCCCTTTCAAGATAAAAATTCCATAAACTGCAAATTAAATACTTCTTAAATTCATCCACTCAGAAACTTGGAGAGGCAGACTTGCTGGAGAATTGGATCCAAGATTAAGAGCATCTGTTGCTCTTCGAGAGGACCAGGAAAAGCTCTGAAACAAAAGCTAGTACATAATTGTACACCACTTATAAAATAGCGAAAAAGTCCACCTTTACCAGAATTATATATTTGGGTTATAAGTAGCAAGTAGCGCGCGCGCGCACACACACACAAACACAGAGAGAAGAGAGAGAGAGAGAGTGAGAGAGAGAGAGAGAGAGAGAGAGAGAGAGAGTTTTAGAAGTTCCTGGATAATTATTTTTCAAACTAAGCCTAGTCCCACTCGCCCTCGCCTCTTCCCGCCGGTCCTTACCCCTCCCCGCCCCGCCCTAGCCCCGCCCGAGATTCCCCGTCGCTCCTCCCTAGTTCCCACCAAGGGTTGCCCATCACCGAGACTGACGTGAAATTACCGCACGCCTTAACTACCCGCTTCGCCCTAACCCCGCCCCTCAACCTCCATGCCCCATCAAAACCCCGCCCCAGTACCTATAGCCCCGCCCCTCGCCGCGTCCCAGCCTCCCGCTCACGGCCACCGCGCTGGTAGGGGCGCGCGCCCGCCTGCGTCCGCACCCGGAAGAGCCGCGGCGGCCGGAAAGTTGAGGCGGTGCGCAGCTCGGGGTCGGCGGGAAGCACAGGCTCTGCAGAGGCCGGGCGAAGGCAGCCGGACGAAGCCTGCGCGCCCCCGCGGAAGGCGGCCCCTGGGGCGGCCGCGCGCACGTCCCGCCCCCTCCCACGCCGCGCGGGCCGGAGTGAGCACCCGCGGGAGCTGTGCGTCCCCGGCGACCAGACAGTGCGTGTCAGCCCGTAAGTGAGCGCCGCAGCCGCATGTCCCGGGGCTTGTTTCCCTCCTGTGCTTAGCTTAGCGTCAAGTCTCACCCGCACCCTTTAGTTTCTCAACTACCCGCGGAGCCGGGAGGCCCGAGCCGCCACCTGTGGATCGGAAGCCGTTTGGAAAACATCCCTCCGCTCGGCGGGGATCTCTGGCCAGGAGGCGCGCAATGAGCTCGCACCCGCGAGTGGAGCCCAACGTGGGGTTGAGACGCGCGCCCCGGCGGGGGCGGGGCCATAGCACCCGAGGGGCGGGGCTGCGCGAGCCTCCGGGACCCGCGCTAGGCTCGCTTCCCGAACTGCTCTTTTTGGCACCACCTTGCCTTCCACAGTATGAAATAAAATAAAGCCCTTTCACGTCAATAAGACAAACGGAGAGGGAACTTAACAATTGCACATACATCGTGCCCCACGCAATAAATGGCTAAGTCTGTACCGGGATGTCCGCGTTTATGGGTTGGCCGACTTACCTAATTGCATGGTTGATGAAAAAAAGCTGTGTTTAAAACAACCGGTCCATTTAACAGTGCAATTTGCCGGTGAAACCAAGCAAAAATTTAACCTGCTCTTAATATGTACTTAAAATTCTTCAGCTGCCCTCTTTATGCACAGTTGGAGTTGTTTTTCTAGATTGCTAAATCTGCTGCACTACAATTGCTCTGTGTTTGTAAACTCTTAAAGACCGTCATTTAGTCACTCTTGAGAGTGGTGCCGTTACTTTTTTTTTTTTTCAGCAAAGACGACATCATAAAATACGGTGTGATCCCTTTCCAAATACTTTCTGTTTTACTCTTGGTTGGATATGTGATCACCTAACCAAACCAAGCTGCTTAGTGTTGTAGTGTTGACTTGCTTCCCTTGATTCTCTAAAGAAATAATTTGTTTACCTCTTAATCTCATACCAGCTCCCTGTAATTGCCAGTGTTCTGGGCTTAACTGTGATGTCACCTATTATCGTTATACCTCCCAGCTAAGCAGATGTGCAGAGATGGCAGAAGGCAGGATCGTGCTGCTAATAAGTAGCCAGTGTGATCCAGCGAGGGGATGCTAGGCTGAACTCTGTGTATCAGTCTAATTCAGTCAGCATGTCTGCAGAGTATGATGAATGTTGGGTAAATAAAACAAGTCCAGTTCAAAACACGCCTTTGCTAAGGTACTGACAGTTTCTCCTTTGGCGCTTGTCACCTCATTTAAATTAAATCCCTCCCCGTGTCCCTTCTCTTTTATGAGTATGTGTGTGCCTGAATGTTATGTGCCACGTGTGTAAGTGGCATCAGAGGCCAGAGAATGTCATCAGATCCCCTGGAACTGGGGTTAGAGGCCGCTGTGATCCCTCTGTATATTGGTGATGGGCTCCAAATTCAGGTCCTCTAAAAGAGCTGCCCTTTGCTCTTACTCATACTGTGTTTTACTCCTTGGCAGGCGGTTTTGTTTACACCTGTCACTTGGGTCTCTGTGGGCGTGGTAACTTTTACTATGCTTCTTTCACTAGTGAGGATAGTGGCTTGTGCATGGTAGGTATTGGGAAATTGGTGCTGAAGTGGGTTTAGAGTTTGTGATATGACTGTATACGTGGAAATGAGATAGGCTCCTTATCTCCTTTTCACTTCAAGAGAGTGAAATAGGTGACGTGCAATATATCTTTCAGTTTTATTGTCCGTAACTTAATGCTTCTTTCATCAGTTTGTCTAGCTTTTCTATGTCTATTGATTGCTTTTACTGAAGCCCATCATTTTCCTATGTTAATCAGAGAGAGCAGGAAACACATTTACCTGTAACGTACAAATGTACAATCCTACAGCAAACCACTAGTTGTATTAGTACTGCCAATTGGATTAATAGTGTACTTTGTTTATGCAGCAAAGTGTGTGTGTGTGTGTGTGTGTGTGTGTGTGTGTGTGTGATAGGGAGAGAGAGAGAGAGAGAGAGAGAGAGAGACAGAGAGAGATTGATTCATGTTTGCAATCCTAGCATTTGGAAGACTGAGGCAGGAGAATTGATACAAATTTGAAGCAAGCCTGGGCTACATAGTAAATTTCAACTCAACCCTCCCAGAAGACAGAGACCTCCTCCAGAAACCAGTAAAGGCAGGCGTGAGTGGAGGGCGGCTCAGAGCTTTCTACAAATCATCTATAAATTGTAATGTATTAATAAAGGACTAAAGAGGAGAAAGAGCTGGAGAAAATATGTGAGAAATACTTTGTGCCACTTAATACTTTGATGATCAGCATTATCCAGTTCTGTGAATCAAAATTAACTTCCCTATTTTTTTGTTAAGAAAACACATTTATGGTCTAGGTCTGAACTTTCTTTTTGAACCTTAGGCCATGAATTCTCAGGGAACAGGCTTCAGCAGCATGGCTGCTCCTTCCCATGGCCTCACAGGGTGTGCTGCTCTGGGTGCAGCAGGCTGGTACTCCAGTTGCACCCAGGTGCTTCGCTCATTCCCATTTTTCCCCCAGTCATCTTCTTTCACTATTTCAGGAATCTGTCCTGACTCCTGCGGTGCCCAGGATGCTCAAAATGCACATTGATGCTGGAAAGATCAATGCACTTAGCTGATTTAACACAATGCCATCAGCATGCTCAAACTCTAGACTCCTCTGGTTTTTCCATGACGACATTTATGAAGCATTCTTTTGAGCAGTACCCAATCCCTATCATCTGCAGCTTGTCTTGTAGACTTGCATGTGTGTGGCCAACAGAACCCTCCATGCTTTTTAAAGGCCTTAGAGAATATAGAGCAGACCGTCTCCTCTTTTATTTGTCGTTTAACTGAGTTACTGGAAGATGGTTGCTGCATCAGAAAGAACTTCACTATTATTTTATTTTTATTTTTTTATTTTTTTGGTTTTTCGAGACAGGGTTTCTCTGTGGTTTTGGAGCCTGTCCTGGAACTAGCTCTTGTAGACCAGGCTGGTCTCGAACTCACAGAGATCCGCCTGCCTCTGCCTCCCAAGTGCTGGGATTAAAGGCGTGCGCCACCACCGCCCGGCTTATTTTATTTTTATTGGGGGGGGGTGTATGTGTACTGTAGCGTGCATGTGGAGGTCAGAGGGCAACTTCTGGGAGTTGGTTTTTGCCTTCCACCTTGAAGCAGGGCCTCTCTCATTTCTGCAGTTGTGCTGTATATTCTAGGGTACTTGGTCCTTGAGCTACTGGGCAGTCTCCCATCTCTAGCACTGTCTCGCAGTCTTAGAACTGGAATTAACTCTGTGATATGTGTGCTACTGCGTCCAGCCTGTTGAGTAGGTTCCTGGCATCCAGACTGGGTCCAAAGGCTGTGGTGAGAGCCCTTCTCCCATTGAACCTCTTCTTCAGCCCCACCATCATTGATTTCTTTGTTTGGTTTTGTTTTGTTTTGTTTTGTTTTTCGAGACAGGGTTTCTCTGTAGCTTTGGAGCTTGTCTTGGAACTCACCCTGTAGACAAGGCTGGCCTCAGACTCACAAGAGATTCACCTGTCTCTGCCTCCCGAGTGTTGGGATTAAAGGCATGCGCCACTACTGCTCGGCTACTGTCACTGATTTTTAAAACATGTTTTACATAACTATAGTGGGTTCTCTAGGTAAGACTGGATTCAGATACTATTTTGTGAGTATAACCAAAGGCTGGGATGTTTATAAGAATGGACCGTTTTGTTGAGTGGTGTGCAAAGCTTGAGTAACAAAGGTCTAACACCATCTTTTCTTTCTCTTTTGTAACCTAGAGTCAAGATGAATAGTGACCAGGTCACACTGGTGGGTCAAGTGTTTGAGTCCTATGTTTCAGAGTACCATAAGAATGATATTCTTCTGATCTTGAAGGAGAGAGATGAAGATGCTCACTACCCAGTTGTGGTGAATGCCATGACCCTTTTCGAGACTAACATGGAAATTGGCGAGTATTTCACTGTGTTCCCCAATGAAGTACTAACTATTTTTGACAGTGCGCTTCGAAGGTCAGCCTTGACAATTCTGCAGTCCCTTCCTGAGCCTGAGGGCTTTTCTATGAAGCAGAATCTTCACGCCAGGATATCAGGTAAACCATGAGAGAATGTTGTCAGCATGTAATATTCTGAGAAGGTTTGAATAAATATGACACATTTGGGTCAACACATGGGACTCAGAGCATTAAGAAATAATTGTTATTTTGGGACAGGCAAGATGGCTCAGCAGGAAAATGTGCTTGCTGCCACGGTTGGCAATCTAAGTTTGGTTCATGGAACTCATCTGATAGAACTGATCCCCAAATATGTCCTCTTACATCCACATGCACACTGGCATATGTGTACACACACACACACACACACACTAAATAAATCTAAAAAGAATTTAAAAAATAATTGGTGTTTATTTTGAAAATATATATCTCCTATATGACACATATCAATGGTTGTCTTCTGGACATGAGATACCATGCCAACAGCGGGGAGGGAGAGAATATGAAAACATCAGTGTACTTGTGTCTGTGTATTTGTTTGTGTGTATAAAGTTATATAAGGCATACTTATGAGCTTTTGTGACTACTAACAATAAAATATTGGTAAAGTGTGAATCAGAAAAGATCCTACCCAGTGATCTTCATAACTTTTTTATTAAACTGTTTTTATACATTAGGTGAGCATTGTGCTGCCCGACTTTCAGGAACTCAACACATGGTTGTTGAGTCCATGCTTTTAATCTATTTGGTGATGATTAAATAAATGGATTTTATGTGTGACAGGTGGCAGTATTTTGTCCACTAAGTGTGGTTAGTTGTATACTTAGAGGCTACCGAGAGCTCTCTGGTGAGAACCAGTTCTCTCTCAGTCCTGCTTGTGGCTTCTAGAGATGTGCTTTCAAAAGAGTCCATTGATTTCCATTGTCTGAAATTTTTAATTGGGTTGATAATCTGATTTTCTAAAGTAAGACACAAACATGGTCAAGTGCTTTCCAAACAATCATGAAGACCTCACTTTGGATCCTTATCATTCATGTGTAATGCCAGTGTGATCCCAGCGCTCTGGAGGCAGAGGCAGGAGAATCACTGGGGTTGCTGGCCAGCCATTCTCACAGAATTGGTGAATCCCAGGCTCAGTGAGAGACATGGTCACAAAATATGATGTGGAGAAATAATTCAGGATGGTACTGAGCATGAATATCTGGTCCCCACACTTGTGTACCTATCCACCCACACATAGTCAAGTTAAAAATAAGACATAAATATTTCCCCCTAAATTTATGCTATTTTAATATTTTCTGGTAAAGACATGACATTCTGCAGAGTTAGTTATCAAAGTATAAATTGATGATGTTATTTTTCCATTAGGTCTGCCTGTTTGTCCTGAACTGGTAAGGGAACACATCCCTAAAACCAAGGATGTGGGACACTTTTTATCTGTCACTGGGACAGTGATTCGAACAAGCATGGTGAAGGTCCTGGAATATGAGAGGGATTACATGTGTAACAAATGCAAGCATGTATTTGCGGTCCAGGCTGACTTTGAGCAGTATTATACCTTCTGTCGGCCATCTTCATGCCCAAGCTTAGAGAGTTGTGATTCCTCAAAATTCACGTGCCTCTCAGACCTGTCTTCATCTCCAGCCAGATGTCGGGATTACCAGGAGATCAAAATTCAGGAGCAGGTAAATGTTCAACTCAATGAGAAAAAATAACACAGTTGGGGGTGTTATTTTCTACTGGAGTCAAAGGGCTGGATTGGAGAAAACAGCTTGGACACAAATTGCCCTGTGCTTTCACTTTATGGAAGATGAAAGTCAAACTTGTCAAACATGTATTGGAAACCATGAAATAACCATTGTGTTAGAGCACTGATGAGATTTTAGAACCACTTAATAATGTTAAAATTTAAAAGTAAATATTGGGATTAGAGACATGGCTCTGTGGTTAAGAGCGCTTGTTGCTGCTCTTGCAGAGGGCCTGGGCTAAGCGTTGGCAACTCCACTTCCAGATGATCCCAGGCCCTTGTCTGGACTCTGTAGGCATTGCGTGTACATGATGCACAGACAGACATGCAGACAAAACACCCATACACATAGAGTAAAAGTAATTAAAATAAATGAACAAAAAGCTTATATTAAACATTCTAAACTAGCTGTACTTAGGAATGTGAAAAAATTCAGTCAGTTTAACTGGTTGCCAAACATTGACGAGGACAGAGTTTGGGGTTTGGTTCAATTTGAAAAAGTATGAATGATCACTCATGAACAAATAAAGGGGAACTTAACTTTCCTTAAATACAAAGGTTTGTTTTCTCATGTAAATAAGGAGATAGGCAGCTCAAGGCCAGCATGTAGGTTCCTCAGTGTGGAGCTCTTCCACCTCACTTTTCTTGTCCTTCTATTGGTTTATTTAGATAGGTCTCGCTTGGTAGCTCATGCTGACCTGGAACTCACCATGTGTGGGGATAACTTCTGAGAAACACTGTTCGACTTACAATTCAAACTTTTGCCACACTTAGGTACAAGGGAGTTTGGGAAAAAGTCATTTGCAACGTCATGTCTTCATGGAACAAAGCCAGGGTTCTGTTACTAAGGAGCAATCAAGAGACTGGTTGATTCTCCAGATATTCAGGCTGGATGGAGATTATGAAAGAAATGTCTCTCAATTGCTAAATAAGTAACTTTGCCACAAAGTTTAAGTTGGTTTGAATATTTATTCTGACCGTCTACAGTATAGATTATAGCTGGAGATATTTTCCATATTTGGTGTTTTAACTTTACTATAGCAAATTCTTATTTTTTAAGTTTTATTTTTGCATATGTGTCTGGATCTCTTGTGGATGGGTGCCGACAGAGGCCCGAGGGGCAGATCCAGTGGGGCTGTAGTAACAGACAGCCGTGACACCGGTCCTCTGGAGGAGCAGAGAGCTGGGAACTGTGGTGGTATCTCTCCAGCCCGTAGTATTAGTGAATTCTGTTTTGATTTTTGTTTTTCCAACACAGGGTCTCACTATGTAGCCCCGTAGCCCGGCTGTCCTAGAACTTATGTAGACAGGCTTGCCTTGAACTCAGATCTGCCTGCCCCGTCTTCTATGTACTGGGATTAAAGGAGCCCAGCTAGTGTTAGTGAATTCTTAAAACTGGTATTAGTCATAATTTTCAAGAAAAATTCCTTTAGTCCTATCAGAATCAAATCTGATACTATTAGAGAAATGCAATCAGTTTCAAGTACTACTACATTTTGGATACATAGCATCTAGTTAAGCACGCTCATGTGTTATCGTTGTGTGTTTTCTTTGGCTAGGTCCAAAGGCTATCTGTTGGAAGTATTCCTCGGTCTATGAAGGTTATCCTGGAAGATGACTTAGTAGACAGTTGTAAATCTGGTAAGGATCACTTAGATTTTGAGACCACATTTCTGTGTTGCTCTGGTTTGTCTTTAACTCTCAGGCCTGAGTGGTCCTCAGTCCCCCCTCTCCTCCCCCAGCAACTGGGACTGCATGTAGCCAGCAAGAGTAAACTTTTGATAGTTTGTGTAGGAGGTTCTCAATAGTCATTTCTTTTTATTTTCCACAATATGACTGACAAGGGGATGGGGGCTATAAGTGTTTGCTCTGTGAAGAGTTGGGCTGGGGGTGGGAGGAACTAAGAGCTGAAGTGGGACTTACCAGTCTACCTCTGCTGCCTGACTACTGACAGAGCTGGAGCATAGGTCCAGACCCCTCATCCAGTGCTTTCTTCAGTGGGCCCTGCTCCACAGTGTCATCTTCAAGAGGGCCTAGTGGATTTGGTGGACAAATGATACAAGATGTGACTGTCAAATGCTACTAAAAGTCTTACTGGTACCTAAAAAAAAGGAGTTCTCTGTGCTGTGTGTGTTGACATCACAATAGAGTGATGATGATTTTGTAGATTAGTAGAGAATAATGTTTACATTCCATATAATTTAATGAAACTGAATTATGTCTGCACTGAAATCTTAGACTATATTCTTTCCATTGTCATTAAAAATAAATATTAATATTTATTAATAATAAAGGTAAAAGCAGTCTGTTAACAGCCGTTGGTCTCTTTATGCACAGCTAGCTTCTAAAACCTTAGAAATCAGAAGGTAGAAATAGTGTAATCCGGGCACTCCAGGAAGTCACACCCCTCAGAGCAGTGAAGCTCATTGTGCTGATGAGGAATGGATCCCACTTCTGACATCTGCAGGACTAAAGCTGTTGGAGAAGGGAGGGGTACACCAAGGGTTTGGAATGTTTCAGTGGAAGAACTTAGTTAGAACTTAGTAGTTTGTATTTTAACAGTAGGAAAATGCAAAAATTTTAAATGAATGTTTTGTTACTGTGAACTTCACAGTTGCAGTGATCATATGAATCTGCCATTTAGTAATACTTGTATGTATGAAAACATTTATGTGTTTTTAAGTGCTCTGTAAATGCAAGATAATTTTAATATAATAATAACTAAGTTGAAATTCCGTTTATATGCATATAAGTAAATTTATAAATAAACCTAAAACTTTATTTATAAAATATTTATAAATAAGGGGGCTGGAGAGATGGCTCAGAGGTTAAGAGCATTGCCTGTTTTTCCAAAGGTCCTGAGTTCAATTCCCAGCAACCACATGGTGGCTCACAACCATCTGTAGTGGGTTCTGGTGCCCTCTTCTGGCCTTCAAGCATACACACAGACAGAATATTGTATACATAATAAATAAATATTTAAAAAATATTTATAAATAAGTATTTAAAAATATTTTATAAATAAGTGAATTACCTGATCCAATTTATTTGCCCAAGAAAAGTGGCACTAGGATCAACATCCAAGCCAATAATAATGAGATTGTTATTCTTGGCCAGTCTTCATTACTCTGCATTTTCTGCATAATCACTGTTTATTAAAGTCTGATTTTTACTAATGGATACTATATTTAAGTTTGTCATTTAATGAATGTGGGAAAACCTCAGTAAAATAAGAGGATGTTCATATAAACTTATGAACAGTTGTTTTCACCTAAAATTTAAGAGGGAATGCAGTAAAATGCCATTATTCCAGATTGACTTTGAAAGGTATTCAGCATTGACTTGGGAAAACTCTCAGAAACACGTATGTAGAACACGCATTACCGTGCTTGTCCGTATTTGGCATTAAGATGCATTTAGCTAGAAATGTGTCTGGTAGTGTGTGTACTAATACTGCCATTTCTCTGTAGTCAGCACTAAGGAGCCTTTCTCCAGGAAATCAAAAGCTCTGCAGATTACGTATTATTCATAGAGATTTAGAGTGAAAAGCATTTTGTATCTTAAAAACATGTGATAATCTGCCTACCAGGAATAGGTTTTCCTTGGGTAAAAGGAGCAAGTTGGTTGTTATTTTCTGCTTTGAAGTAGAGTCAGTATCCATTGATTTATTATTGTTCATTTCTTCACTGAAAAAAAGCAGGAAATTGTGGGTAAAATATTAAGAAATAAAATAAAAATGATCACATAAGAAACTAAAGTACATGCCAAACAACACAAACTGTCTCCTTTCCTGATTCCAAGCTAATGCAGTATCACTTTCTGGCTGATTAGTCTTTAATATTTATTTATTTATTTATTATGTATACAATATTCTGTCTGTGTGTATGCCTACAGGCCAGAAGAGGGTACCAGAGCCCATTACAGATGGTTGGGAGCCACCATGTGGTTGCTGGGAATTGAACTCAGGACCTTTAGAAGAGCAGACAATGCTCTTAACCTCTGAGCCATCTCTCCAGCCCTGGCTGATTAGTCTTAAACAAATCTACTACACTACTCCTGGTGAGGGGTAATAATTGTGTGATTATTATATAGCAGACTTCAAAAAAATGATGACTTTTGACTTTATTCAGAAACAATTACTTGTTGGGCGGTTGAGAATCTGGGGTATTTTGCCCTAAACTTGCTAATTCCTTTTGAATGAGTGTGCATACTTGGAAAAAAGGAGTATGTGGGTAGCTTATTTCTAATTTCTGGTCTTTTGTCAAATGATCTAATGCCAAGCCACCATGCATGATATTACCAGTGTACTTACACAGTGCTTTTCCTTAGGGGATGACCTCACTATCTATGGGATTGTAATGCAACGGTGGAAGCCTTTTCAGCGAGATGTACGCTGTGAAGTGGAGATTGTCTTGAAATCCAACTATGTCCAAGTGAATAATGAGCAGTCCTCAGGGATGGTCATGGATGAGGAAGTTCGGAAAGAATTTGAAGACTTTTGGGAACACTATAAGTGTGATCCCTTTGCAGGTTTGTGACTAAGGACATAAGGCTCCTGGAGACAGCTTATGTGCTGTGCAGCTCAGTGGCTTTATTCAAGTGCCGACATTAGTATCTCCAACAGCATCTTCCATTCAAGTCCATTTCTAGCATTGAAATTTCTGCTGTGTGTGGTATGTCTGTGCAATTCTGCTGCATTATTGTGTATGCAAGTGAAAGCCAGAGGAGTCTTGCGTTATTCCTCAGGAACCAGCACCTGTGTCTATGCTCCCCCCACCCCCCTGCAAGTTGCCTGAGTAGAAGGCTCTTAGATTTGTGGGTCAGTGAGCCCCAGTCATCACTTGTCTCTGCCTCCTCTGTCCTGGGATCACAAGCCTGTCACCATGCCCAGCTTTTTATGTGGATGATGGGGATTAATTAGACTAAAGTTAGCTTTTATGCATTAAAAACATTGGTTTCTAGCATATTCTGAAATAAAGACAACTTGCTGTTAGCACAGAACTTTAAACTAGGGAGTTCAGTTTGAAAGACTGGAGAGGTGATGCACACAACACATTTTTCATCATAGCGGTAACTCTGACTGTAAGCTTATTTACCATGTGTTACATGAAATAATACATCATAGCCTTGGGTTTGTAGAGCATGGGTTTTTATTGGGGAAAAAAACCCACAAGTGTCAAACATGAATTAAATCTTCGTTTTCATTCTTCTTTGGTGACATCCTGAGAAAAATATTTGCCTCCAATCTAATGCATATTATTCTCAAGTCACAAGCTGAACTAGACACTTATTTTGCAAAATAAGGCTTTCATTTGTCTATAAGGCAGTTGACTATTGACAGAGGTTCTGTCCCACTCAGTACCACAATCGTTCAGTCCCAAAGAAACACGCAGAGGCCTACATTAATTATAAACTAGCTGGCCTATTAGCTCAAACTTTCTTATTAACTAACTCTTACATCATACATTAACTCTTTATTCTTGTCTGTGTTAGCCATGGCTTGGTACTTTTATCATCAAGGCATTCTTACCTTGCTTTCTCTGTGTCTGGATGACTACTGTAGGCTGAGTCTTTCCTACTCCCAGAATTCTCCTGTTCTGGTCACCCTGCCTATACTTCCTGCCTGGCTACTCACCAATCAGCATTTTATTAAAGCAATACAAGTGACAAGTCTTTACAGGGTACAAGACCATTGTCCCACAGCAGTTTGCTTCTATTTTGTGGGATATTTTTTTTAATCTTCCATGTGTAATTCAATGATCTTTATGTGATGAGGGTAGAAGAGAGCCCAAAGATCTCTACACTATGGCTTTACTAAGCAAGCACTTTAAGAATCATACATTTTTAAGTGCAGTTTTTGACAGAACAGGTAATGTTTCTTTGGACCATGTTCATTACTTATTCATTCTATTGCCAGAGCTCATCTGCCTTCACTACACCATGCTCCACACTAGATATTTCCAAGTTCTTCATGTTGATGATTGAAGATGTCTTGTAATTAGGAAACTGTAGCTATCTAACTCATTTGTCAAAGGACAAAATAAGTGTAATAGTTAGGAAGACTAACCCTAACTATTAAGAAAATCAGAACCTTCTTCTTACTTTCCTAGATACTGATGTGTGTATTTGACCATTTTGAAGTTGTATGTATGTATCTTACAAGTAGAGAAGCTGTAGCCGAGGGGCATCTTTCCTTCCCAGCACAATGCTGTTACTCTTGGGTTTGACTTGCTTCTCGAAACTGTGGGAACGGACTAGGCTAAGCTAAGCAGCTTTGTTCTGATCTGTGGGGAGCCCAGTACTTAGGTGCTAGATAAGAACCCCAAACATAGTACCTGGGTCTGCCCAGCCATTTGACCTCATACTATGCTGGTTCAGTTATCTTACATCAGAGTTTTTCTGTAAGGTAACTGAGGGCCAGACATTTAAGTAGGAAACTTGGCTCTAGACACCCTATTAACATGGTCTAAAGCTAGAAATTTAGAAGGAACTAAATTCATTGTGTTCCATGATAGAGCCGTGGAAAACAGGGGCAGGAAAATTGAGGCTCTCGCCCAAGACAAGTGCTAGGATTTATGTAGGTTGGACACTGTCCTCTTTACTGTTGGTTTATAGATTCAGTTAGCCATGGGACCTGTGTCCATGCTGGATACTAAAACCTGCGCCCTTTACCATTGTAGTATGACTTCTGCTGGCATGTGATAGTTTTGGCTTAGCTTACCTGTTCTTACACGTTTCTGGTTTTTGTGTAACCCTTGAATTTTAGTCAGAATCTCAAGTCTTTTTGCTTTAGAGCCCTGACCATTTTTTCTAGGCTTTCTATCTAGAAAGGAAAAGATTCCCTGTAGTAGTTAATGTTCTTCCTAGATTTACTGCATCTTCCTTCTGGTTCCCTTTTTATTGAAGGATTCCTTTCTTTGTATTCCTTATGTTCTGGGCCCATCACCATCGATTACTTACCACTGAGTTGATATGGAACCATTACCGGATGGGAAGTAGCTCAACAGTTTGTTCTGTTCCCCAAACTAAAAACTATTCTGATTCATTTCAAACAGTAGTCTTTGTACATGAGGCTATCAATGATGGGAAGGCTTGGGAAAGACTAATTAGAACCCTGTAGACTGATCAGACCAACAACTGAATAAAACACTTTATTTATGATATGCTAAAATGATTCCCAGATGTCGTGCTTTTATTTAAAGCACACAATTAGACTTCCAGATCTTCACCTTAGATTACTGGGGTTGTAGTTTGCAATGATCTTAATATATTGTTACCATAATAACTTAATCCAAATAAAACAGTTTCCCAAACAGAACAAATGCTAAGTCAGTTTGCAAGGTGGATTAGCTTTACTTCTTTCTCTTGTACTTTCGGACGCTCCACAAGCTCCAGCTTACCTCTTTAACAGTCGCTGGTTGTTATAACACCTAATTTCTGAGTAGAGGGCATTACCAGAGAATATATGACTGTGTTATATTAACGGATAAGTCTTGACAGCTAAAAGTTGAAGAAAACTCCTTTTTGTAAAATTTAGTATGACAAATTTATAGAAACTTGAGTAGGCAGCACCCAGGAGTGGGGGTGCGGGAGGGGCACTCTTTTCATGGCACTAAATTTAGAACCTTAAACAAGGTTAGTGAGATATGGTGGCATACTCTATAATCTTAACACTTAGGAGACTGAGGCAGGAGGACCATCTCAAAACTGAAAGAAAGAAAAGAGCCTAAGTAAAGCTCTTTACCATTTGACGTGGCCGTCTTCATCTGTTTAGATTGGCACAAAGAGTATGTTTATAAGCAAATGGCCACAGGATTGGGAGATTTCTAGGAAAATTATTGATAACTTCTCTTCTTTCTCACTTCCCAGGGAGGAATGAAATACTGGCCAGCCTGTGTCCTCAAGTGTTTGGAATGTATCTAGTAAAGCTGGCTGTGGCCATGGTGCTGGCTGGTGGGATTCAAAGAACTGATGCTGCAGGAACAAGAGTCAGAGGTCAGGACCTACTGGCACATTTTTAGAATACTAACACAGAGGGGAAGAGACTCTTTCTTGAACAAAAGCTGCTTTTTGGGGGGAGTGGGTGGTGAATGAATCATATGTTTGAAAATGACAAAATGAAGTACATTACTTTGTATGCTAACTTAATTTCTCATCGCTAGATTTTTCCTATAGCATATATCCATATTTATCAGAAGCTTTCTTCTCTAATTCCAGAAAGATGAAAGAAATCCCTAAATTTTTTCTGTGACTATATACTACAAGCCTGTAAAGGCACCACAAAAATGGCTCCCTATCTCAAAAAAAAAAAAAAAAAAGAGTGAGAGATTAATTAGAAATGGTGTCTTGGTCTCCATCCGTGACTGCCAGCTGCTGCTCACACTCTGCCTGCTGGTGCTCCTGCTGGTAGGCAGCAGTCAAGTCATCTGCCAGGAGTTGCTGCTGTAGGTCACATTCAAGCAAAGACTCCAAGTGTGGTAACAGAAAGCTGTGCAGCAAGCATGGCACACACAGGTTGCTAACCAGAGTTAACCCAAAGACAAAAAAAAACTCTAAGCCAGGTTGTTAGCAGAACTCCGAGACCCTACAGTACAGCAGCAAATAAACAGACACATCTTAGGAACTGTGTATTTGATCACCTGTTATCTGCAAGGCACTTTGCTAAATGTTGAGCTTAAATAATTGTTTCTTATTAATATAATTAGAAAATACTTATTACTAAAGAAATTGATTTGTCCAATAAAAGTATCTACCACAGGACAGGTTATGTCCATTTGTGTTACATGTGAAAATTGAGTAATCATTTTAAGGTAGACTTCACTAAGCTATGGAAATTTACATAAATGAAAGTGCACAATGATTTGACATATATAAAGCATTTACAAAATCCCCAACATCTAGAAGTACTTTGAAACCTAGAAAAACCTTGTATGGCTTATATGGATAGCTTTAATCATAGTAGTTTAGATTTAAAAACAGATAAAAATCAGAAAGTTGTTTTAAGTCAAAGATTTTAAAAATGTTAAGAATGGGCCTAAGCATCTGGAAATAGCACATACTCTACTAAATCTTCAGTGTAACATTCAGTGATCAAAAATTGCTGTATTTGTGACAGCTATTTTTTCTAAGGATCCTCTCATTAACTGCTTCCTGAAGAGCCTTGCAATAAATTTATCAAAATACCATATAAAATGTTGGCATTTCTTTTTTTTTTTTTAGCTATATGGTATTCATAAATCTTTTAAGAATTTTGAACCTTTACACCTTTATTTTTTTTCCTAGGTGAATCTCATCTTTTATTGGTTGGGGATCCTGGCACAGGTAAATCGCAATTCCTCAAATATGCAGCCAAGATTACACCAAGGTCCGTACTGACTACAGGGATTGGATCTACCAGTGCAGGTACTGGATGTGACAATTTTAAGTAAATTAAATTGACATTAATACAGAAACTAACAGTAATCTTCTTCTGAAAATTATCTGTTGTAGAATTCAAGTAGTTATTTAAGTTACTGCCAAAAATTGAAGGAAATATAACATCTGTTTTGTACTATTAAGGAAGTATCTTTAAAAAGTTCCATTTTTCCGTTTAGAACTTAGTTTTATGTACGAAAATGTAAAGATGTCATTTTATAAAGATCTACCAATTTCAAATAAGGAAATTCATTTTACAGAATAAGTAGATAGCATATAGCTTAAGGCATTTTCATGGCCAACAGTGGCTCCTAATGACACCTTTTAGAGAGATTTGTTTATTTAGAAAACATATGTTCACATATGTACTAAGAGATTCTGTTCATACACTGTAATAATACTTCAGCAAGTATATTTAAAAGCTTTTACAGACAGACTATCAATATCTGGTTATAAGTGACAGGAAATTTAGGAGAAATTTTTTTTAAAATGTGTCTTGATGTTTTCTGTTTTTATGGTTTTGATTATTCTGTTCTTGTAAAAATAGAACTTTGGTTTCACAGGGTGTTGTTACATGTTAAGATAGCCAGCACTTGGGAGGCAGAGGCAGGCAGATCTCTGTGAGTTCGAGACCAGCCTGGTCTACTAGAGTGAGTTCCAGGACAGGCTCCAAAACCACAGAGAAACCCTGTCTCGAAAAAACCAAAAAAAAAAAAAAAAAGATAGCCTCATTCTGTAGCCTCTACTCAGAGTTCTTATGAGATGCTTATAAAGATCATCACAAAAGAAAATGTCCCAGGAGTTCCATCTGAGGACTTTAAATACTGTATTAGTGACTGCTGCCAAGATGGGATCTGTGAATTGAGAACACTAGAAGAGGAGGAGTGGCCATAATGAGCACTGCTTGTACATTTTGAAATCTTTATGGCCCAGTGTGTTCTACATCCTAAAATCAACAAGACACTGTGTGAGTAATTACATGAAATGATTCCTAAGCAGTTATGAAGAATGTCAAGAAACAAGCCCATGCTATCTTGCAAATAACTAATAATGTCAGACTATCAATATCGAGGAAATAGTACCGTAAATGGCTATGGCTTCAAAGTGTCAATGATAAAGTGAATTAGCACTTTTCCCGCATTTTAAATGTCAAGATCAGAATCCAAATGCGAGAAAAAAGATTAGTAAAGATTTTACAATTGTAGAAACTTATTGCTACTTTGTACCACTCCAAAGATGCCACAGCCTTTCGTCATTCTTTTGAAATCCATTTAGAGTCAGGCTGCACATAGTTTAAGGTGTAGCAAAGGGGCCATGTTTGTGAAAAAAATTTTAATATAAATGTGTAGTTGTGTTGCAGGGTGTTGCACGGTATCACTATGGATTGTGGTAGAAAACCACACCATAGTCTTTCATTTCTTTAAATTTTATATTACTTTCATTTCTTTTGTGTGTGCATATATGAAGTTAGAGGAAAACTTGTGGGCATTGGTTTTCTCCTTTGACCATGTGAATCCTGGGTATTAAATTCATGTAGTCAGGCTTGGCAGCAAGCCTTTACCTGTTGAGCCATACTGACAGTCCCCCAAAGACTTTCTTAATAAAACTAGACCCTAAAACTATAGGGTAAAATAGTAGAAAGTTAAGGGTCAGACAAGGTTATGAATGAGCAAATGCATGCATGCATATATACTTCCTCAGTTTCTAGAGTGCTTCCTTAACTCAAGGAAATGATACCTTCATAACCTACTCACCTAGCTCTTCAGTGGTATAAATGGGCAGAGGGGTGTGTGTGTGTCTTTTCCCCAGACATTGCATTGTGGCATATGTCTTTAATTCTAATACTCCAGAGGTACAGGCAGGCAGATCTCTGTGAGTTGAAGGACAGCCTGACCTACTTAATAGGTTCAAAACACCTAAAGCTATATAGAGAGATGCTACCTCAAAATAAATAAATAAATAAATGAATAAAGGGGTCTGGGGATGTTATCTAAGCCTTTTAGCTATAATCCAGACATAATGTCTATAAACAAGGCTAAACAGGAGGGAATTCCATGCATGCTAATTTCTTAATTCTTTAGTTCTATTATTCATTTGTTTTTTAACTTTAAATTCTACAGAGTAGTAACATTTAGAATAATAGGCAATAGTTTAATGTCTCAAACTTATGACAGTGAGCTATACATTTAAAAACTGACATAAAAACCTGAACATATAGTATTGCAAAGTGGTATTTATAATCAGGTAAAGACTCAAGTAAATTGTTTTACTTGGTGATTTTAGTTTTTACTTTTTATTTCTAACAAACTCTTCCTACGGTATTGATCACTTAACTCTTGTTTTAACATTTTTTCCTAATTGTAGTTAGACAAAAATGAGATTTTTCTTTTCAAATACTTAAGTCAGAAGTATTTTATTTTTAAAATCTGTGGACTGGGATATGGACAGTACTGTAATGATTTGGAGTATTGAATTTCAAAGTTTTAACATTTAACAAGACTTTTTTCACAAATTCATATTCTAAAATACACATGCCTTTCTAAAAAAACAAAAACTGCCTTTCCTTTCCTTAAAATGCTTTTCAAAGCGCAGTATAAAAGCTTAGATGTGAAGGCACTGCATAACTTGCATCTTATGGCTGTCCTGCTTCCCATTAGCAAGGGTCAAAAGAAAATATTCTACTGTAAATTTAATGGAGCAAATCCTTGAAGTAGTTATTTCTCATTAAAGAAAATATGCTTTTGGCCCATTTATTTGGTAAGTTCCTTTCTAAAATTGCTCTTCAAAAAAAATTATCTGGAAAAGCTGTCTAGAACATGTCAACTACAGATATGCCCTGATCTTATCACTTTAATGAGAAGCAGAGGATATGGGGTATTATAGCCGTGAACAAAACTAGCCAGCTTATTAGGATAAAGCAAAGCAGACCTTTCTAAATTACCTTTCTTATAGCAACACCGCCGACAACCCAAGTTCAGAGTTTCTGTAAACTAAACAGCAGATCTTTTTGGCTTTTCAAGACAGGATTTCTCTGTTTAACAGCCTCCTAGCTGTCCTGGAACTAGTTCTATAACCAGGCTGGCCTTGAACTCACAGAGATCCACCTCCCTCTGCCTCCCAAGTGCTGGGAATTAAAGGTGTGCACCACCACCATCCAGCTATAATCTAATCTTACACTTTAGAAACCTTGCAATTGCTCTTGCCGTGTTGAAATCTCTGGACAACAATCATTTGTGATCATGGTCTCTCAGTTCTATTAGTAGGGAAGCATAAACCATAGTCAGAGGGACTTCAAAGGCAGCCACATTTATTACATAAAACCACAAGTCCAGTGTTAACACAAGCCGTGGTGGTAGCCACAAGATGCACTGGGGTGGCCTAGGAAAGCCTTGGTGGCATGTAGTTGATTTCAAATTCCCTTTTTAAAGATAGCTTTTCACTACAGAATGGAAGTTTGCTCCTTAAATTAAAAGGACGCTATCTTCACAGGAAATCATTTTAGTTGAAGTAAACTTTGTTCTTTTAAAGGCTAGTAAAAAGTATTATTGTCCAAGAGGCTAAAACACCTTCACAACCTGGTCTAATAATTGATAACTCTTTTTTTATAAATGCTTTAATTACATATAAAGGAGAAGAAAATAATATATATACTTTAACCAGATTAGTTTCAAGAACAAATAAAATAACACATTAGAGAAAAAAAGTACTTAAAAATAGTTGTATTTATATTCCACAATTTGCTCAAATACTGGTTTTCTTATAAACTTTCTACAGGATGTTTTTAAACAGATTCTTCACATTTCACCTTGACTATGTACTTACGGAACTTCAGGGAAATAGTTCTGTTTTTAATAGCTTAATCTGTACTAATGGGATGGCATGTTATCACATGCAGTCCATGTGGGATTCTAACATGACATTCAGTGAGTTTTCTGACGTGGACCATCCCTTTGATGCTGAAGGTAATGCATCTGTTGAAAGAAGTGACTGTAGATTTGGGTTACTGCTCTCTGCATCTTCCAGTTTTTCTGTGTTATCTTCCCAGTTAATGTGGAACCTTGTGACTCTGGGATTAGATGCCAAAATATTTCTTTGAAGCTAGAAAGAAAAACAGAAAAGTTAGATTACCATATGCAAACTGGGTGGTTCTGTTAGTCCTTTTAAAGGACTAAATTCATATGCAAAGCTATCAGAAAGAGAAGCAGTTACACATAACTAATAGTCAAGGACTAATGCAGCATTTCCAAACAGGAGACAGGGAAAAATTCATCTAGATCATTTCATCCCTGCAACAAAGTGTCTTGCTTTTATACTTCTGCTTCCTAATGCTAAGGGGGGAAAGGTACTGCCCATGCTTTAGAGAATGTTTTTAGTTAAATAAGTATGTCTTTAGCCTAATGTGTTTGCAGGCTGGGAATGTAGCTCAGTGGAAAGAAGTATTCTGGCTAAGTCTGTAGGTTCAATCTTAAGCACCAAGAAATAAAACACAAAAAACAAAGACTTGAACAATTTTCCTCAAGTAGAACCTCTATAATAACTCAGATCTTAACTATATTAAAATGCATTTCCAGAAACAGTATTATAGGGGATTTTTTATTATTATTGTTGTTGTTGTTGTTTTGTTTTTTACTGCTATACAAAGGTTCTATCAGGAATAACCCTGGCTCAACAGGACAACTCCAAATTGTGGAAGACATCTCAACCCACCAGCAGAAAGCAAAACTTTCTCAAGTTTGTAGCAAGTCTGCCACATAGAGTACCATGGTCAATTTATTTAAAAAAAAAAAAAAAGACTATTAACTAAACCTGTTAACTGTTCCCAGTGGGAAAAATTTAAGATACTAAATGTTTTTAAGACTACTGAATCAAATTTTAATGTCTCAGAATTTAAGTTGTCATCATCAAAAATAATAGGATAACCTATATAGCTGTTCTAAATATTAATAAAAATAAGCACACACTGCAGGGTGACAACTGTAATCCTAAAA